CAAATGGGGAGACTTTATCTAATGATTTATAGCTGCTACAGGTGTGACGTATGTATGTATAGGTAACATTAAAGAATGAGATCTAAGACTTTCACGACTATTCATTTTAATGAAACTTATATTTTCGAATTGGTTCGCGTATTTTACTATTTTAAATACTACATACTACTACTCCCGACGGTTCGGTTACGTTAAGTTTAAGAAGTGTGTAACAAAAGATAAAGTTAGGAGAAGTAGATATTATTACTCAATACAACTATATTAAAAATCTACCTAACACAATAGTGGCCACAAATATTTAATAGAACGTCATTTACATTTATATACAAAGTGGTAAATATTAAGTTTGATACAAAAATCAAAAGTGTATTGATGAAAAATATTTTATATATTAATAATACATTATAAGTACACAAACGAACACATAGATGACTTTATAATGAGTGTAATCAAATATAAAGATCATTATTAAGTTCTCAAACAAAATTAGGAACAAAGAGGAGGGAGGTGAAGTTTAAAGTAAAGTTGACAAGACAGAACAAACTCGATAAATCATTAATAGAGACAAGACAATAGTATAATGTTACCCATTACTGTGATACATCAACAATTATAATTAAATTATTCTAGATTTTCTACTTTTTAGTCACAATATTAAACATACGATGTCACAAAGATAGACGATATCTATCATAACTGTAAGGATTTTTAACAAGCTTATATTATCTTGGGCTGTATGTACCTATGTATGTCATCGTCGTCGTCATCAGCCTATCAACGCCCACTGCTGAGCAAAGACCTCTTTCTCACATGGAGAAGGTTTGAGCATTAATCACCACGCTTGCTCAAGACGGGTTGGTGATTTCAAACTTGTAATTGCGAAACTATAAGTCCAGGTTTCCTCACGATGTTTTCCTTCACCGTATGTCAGTGGTGTCTAAATACTCTCAGAAAGTACATATGACTCCGAAAAATCACATTGCTACTTGCCAGGTTTGAACCCGCGCCCTGGGCAACGAGAGGCGGGCCCTTTAACCACTAGGCCACCACTGACTTATGTATGTATGTAACGGAATCTTTGAACACGATTTTCACCGGTTTCTAAACATCTGATTAACTTAAAACCTTCCATATGTCTGAAAGACAATACAATAATTTGTTAACAATTTCCCATTATCCTTGTTAGAGCCGTCAGGATTAATATATTCTTTTCATATATTTTTTAGTTCGGTTTGCTATAAAAGCGTGTTTTTTTAGTTTCTTTAAACTATTATTCTACATATTATATTGGTGTTTACAATTTACGTCAATTATTTGAAAACATTCTCGTTATATTTCAGACATCAAACAATGATGCACCATTTATTTTTATACATTAATATATTTTTTAATTCGATACAAATATATAAAGATATAGAACAAATATTGTCTCATTGAATTTATATTTTGTACATGTTACGATTTTTGTATTTCATTATAAAATAAGAGACAGAAAATGCAAAAAAAAAACATTCTTTTCGTTTCATTGTATGTTATTAACCTGTCCAAAGTATAAATATATCACATATAAAAAAAAACATCACCTCTTAAATAGTTATTTCAAAAACAACATTAACTAATAAAATTTAAGTTTATATGAAAACAGAATATAAACGGAATCTTGGTGAGTATTTTATAGTGAATATTTCTATTTGCCCAGCGCCCCATTAGAAGTCCGGGCAAATTGCAATAAATCCGACACAAAGCTGTTTGAAGCACGCATCAGCAATCACTACAGCAACCATCATTATCATATCGAGCGATTGAAATACGGAAGCGAGGCTCGCCGGGAGGCAGAGCGATATTGCTGTTTACCTCCAACAAATATTTGGACGGGCATCCCGCCCCGCTACTTACTGGAGTTAAATCAATATTGAAATAATTTCAAACTTTGATTAATTTGCTGGGATATTGTTTGTACTGATGTCTACCTTTAGATTATTAGAATATTAATATTAGGATAATCCTACGGAAGGTTGAATAGAATTAAATTCCTTTATGTGTGATTTAATGGAGACAAAACTTTAATTAGGTTTCTTTTTATTGTACAAAGGTTACAAATATTAATGTTTTTCGATATAAATATATTTATTATTCATCCAGACACTTGATACATGTAGATAATATCTAAACTGTGGCTATTAACGGGTTCGGGGCGTAAATGTTTTATGCGGATGGTGTCATCCCTATCCCTAGGGAGGGGTACATACTAAACTCTACTAGCACTTAATTAAGGAGAAGCGGAGACGCAATGAATGTATTTTAATTAAGACCAAGATCTTACTTATCTGGTTTAAATTCAATTTGAAAAACGTTATAAAGAAAACGAGAAACAGATAAGCTTATTCGAATGCAAAACGAATAAGCAAGTTTCAATAACAAACGATAGAAATTCTAACCGGCTCACTTAAGATTTCCTCAGCAAAACAAAGTAGCCCCGCAAAAGGGAATATTCTTTTAAGAATTTAAATAAATTCGTCTACAAGGAAAGAGACGCGTCCCGTTACAAAGAGGGAAATGGGAACTAATAAAAATGCCGGAATAAAAACGTGCAATTTTAAAGCAGTGTCAAATGGACATAAATCCCTGTGTTTAAAATTCATTTACGACTTACATTTGAGATTGGAGGGAAAGATAAAATTTATGCAAACAGTTATATGAATACGTACATTACTCAATTAAATGTTTACGTGTTTTATATGAAAATTATTAATTGTTTTTCTTATGTTTTTAACATTTTAAAAATGCGATGCAAAATATTTAAAGATACAAAATTCGAACAAAGTATGTTAATTATAAAAACAATATTATTTGTATTAATAGATACAATTTAATTTTTAATATAAAAATATATATTGCTGAACGTTTATTCAATGGTGAGTTTATTAAATATATTTGATGAAGAGCTTCCATTTTTCTCATTATTACTGCCATTTTTATTTCACTTATATAAGACATTTTATTAGTTACTAGAATTTAAAAAATGGATATCAACTTCGATATCTGTTACTTAATAATAAAACTACAGCTATTTCAACATATTGTTTCTCATTTCTTTTTTTATGCTATGGCTTCATTCGGACCGGAATCGTGATATATTCTGCCAATGTAAACTTTTTTATTTATTGGAAGAATTATAATCCTAAGTGATATGGTTTATCATTTCTATAACTCCCGCACCAATCTTCTTCTTCTACCTGGCAATGTCCCAGCTTTAGCCAGGGTCTGCCTTCTGTCTATAACTCCCGCATCAATAACGGCGCCAAACTTATACGTGACATTCCCAAGTATATTATCAAAGTGCGGACCTTTCCTGCCCTGGCGTTAGTTAAATGCACCGGTGATTCGTCACGCGGTCACATAACCATTAATTTCTATAGAAAACTACACTGGACGCTTTTACAGCTCCTTCGATAACATCAAAACTACATTAGAGAGCTATTTTTCAACAAAAAAACATCGTTCAGGTATTTTTCATACATTCATTTATATTATGTATGTAACGTACTCACTTTTTTATTTTTATTGAAATAATAGCAAAAAGTTAGAAAAAGGCAAATTACCATGTATAAAGTTTAAGTGAGAAAAGCCATTATCTTTTATATTAGTGGCCTTTATTTTTTTTATATTTCATGAAAGTGCAAAGAAATGAGAATGGAATGTATTTTAGTTACAACTATTAATTTTCCATTGGTTTATTCGTTTATTACTTAATAAGTTATTCTTAAATAAATTTACCACAAGTTCTACTGTCTAAAACATAAGAATCTTCATATTAAAGGAAAATAATTTATACTGAGTTTAAGTGAAAAAAATAATTAGGGATGTCAATAAAAAATGGTTCAGTAACAAAGCGATAGACATGTTCGTTAGGTCCCAGTCACTGATATTTTAAAATATAAAACAAAACCTATATAAAAAATAAATATCTCACTTTTAGAGTAACCAGTTCCTGAACGTATCTAATAGTATCTCTGCATTGACTCTGTATGTTATTCTACATTATTATATTATTTTACATTTCTAATATAGTGTATTATCTATGGTTATTCTATTCTTTAATTTAAAATAAAACCAATATTATTTTAGATAACATTAAACCATATACTTTACAGACCCTAAATATAATATTATAGAAGTCAAAATACAAATAACATAAAAAATATCCATCTTAACCATATAAAGTGCAAAAATTATAGTTTCTCTTTTAATATTTGCGGAATCCAATTTTCAAAAAGAAATTTGTGCAAGTTGCCGCTCAACTTTGAATTGACTTACATAAAAGATACTGGCAACTTAATAGCAAGTAACATACATATATAACAAGAATATTGAATTGCTAAGGTGTATACTGAAATTATAATTTTTTTATTTTTTATTTTTTTACATTTAATAATATATAATTAAAGTATTATTGTATTTCACTTCCCAAAGATTCATAGAGTATAGCATTTTACTGCCGCCTATATGAAGTCTGTGCTCGACTCTTTATTGTTTATGCCTTAAGCTTAGTATAGGTAATCAGTAAAGTGTTTTGCCATTTGGCTTTGATGGTTGTTGTAGAATAATATTTTGCTTTTAAGACATTCTTGCATATATTATTTTTGACTTGAAACTTTGATGTTCATGAACAAGAACAAGTTAGAAAACTCACAGATTTCACAGTAACTGGTACAAATTGAAACACTGGGTAAATAAAGTTTATAATTTTAATACATATATTCTGTATGGCAAATTTTGCTAAACATAGTACATATTAATGTAAATTCATCATGTGAGACCTCAATAAAAATATAAGAACAATAAAAATCATTTAATAATACCCTCTCTTAAAAATATAAATATTGAACACACGTGACGCCATTAAAAACGTTAACTCTGCGTAAATTTGAAAGTACAAAGAAGCAGTTCTTTTTAATTTTAGGCATCGCAATTTTTTACTTATTTCTCTGTGTAGAAGTATGTCTGAGCGTGGTCGCGGACGCGCTAGAGGCCGGGCAGGTCGTGGTGGAGATGGGACTTCGCAGCCGCCTCGAAGGCCCGGAGAGCAGCCCCCTCAACAACCCGGGCCGCCCAGACCTAGGCCTCAACCGCCGTCAGCTTGGGGCGCTCCATCGGTAGTCCCGCCAGTCAGGGCCGGTATGCCCACACAGTCTGTAGGACGGGCATCACATCGAGCGACCCCATCTACTCACGATCACCCTGGAGATGTGGATATACAACAACGAATGCAGTCAGTGGCATTAGGTAGTACATATTCTAATTCTGATTCTGTATATCAATATTCAAAGAAAGATAAGATGATTGAGGCGTTATATGAATTATTTCTATTAAAAAAAAATGAATAATAAGCATTTATTTAATAAATCTTTTAATCCGCAAGACCTTTGATTGTGGATTGCTAATAAATATTTAACTGTTCATACTTCTACAAAATCTTCCTGGCAATTTCCCAGCTTTAGCCAGGGTCTGTTTTACATGTTGTAAATAGTTTTGGCTAATTGTTTTTACGACCGGCCGCCTGCCTGAAATCAACCCTCTTTGGGAATGCATTAATCACCACACTTGCTCAAGATGGGTTGTTGATTTCAAACTTATAATTGTGAAATTATAAGTCCAGGTTTCCTCGCAATGTTTTCCTTCACCGTCTGTAAATGGTCTCTAATTACTCTCAGAAAGTACATACTACTCGGAAAAATCACATAAGTACTTGCCAGGATCGAACCTGCACCATCGTGCATGAGAGGCGGGCCTTTAACCAATAGGCCACCACTGACTCTCATACTTCTATAAAATATTTCAGCCATAAAATAGAAAAAAAAAGAACATTTTAAAGTTTACATAGTTATATAGACTATAACAGATAGTTAATACATTATAACTTTGAGGTACTTCTTATTGTTTAAATCAAATAATTCTGACTCTTTATATGTTTTTAAACAAACCCTTTAACTATTTCTCTTTTAATCTTTATATACAGTAAAATCCTAATTCAAATTGTAACACATAATATTTTTAAATTATTGAGTAATTTCCAATTAAGTAGCTTTACAACAACATAATTATAAAATAAGAAGCTAAGGTCACAGTAATATGATCTTTTGTTTACTGAGTCATGATTTTATGTCCATTACCAAGAAGATCTCATGTTATTATATCTCTGATTCAAAAGCAAAATTGTTTATTATCTTTTTTATATTATAAATACTAACATATGTATGTCCTTTAACTTTTCATATTCCATCCAAAACTGTCATGATAATAAACTACTGATAATATACTTGTACAATATTATTCATACATATATAAACATAATATATATATATTTTTTTTTGTCAACAAGAATATGGTTAGGAACATTCTAGTATTGATAAAACTAATCTTATTTTTATGTTGGTATTATTGAAATATTATTCTATTGTAAATGTTTGTTTTAGGTCCATCTCAGTCACACGGTGGTGGCGATGCAGCCCCAGTGGTAGGCCGAGGCTCACATCGAGGAGCAGGAAGAGTTCTGCCTGATCAAATGACCATTGTTCGAACACGCCCACAGACTGTGACTTCCAAGAAAGGTATACTAAAAACAAAGCACTCAAAATTGTTCTTATACATCAGTTAATATCTCAATCAATGCAACCTTTTTGTTTTTTATCATAAAAACAATTAAACTTGAGAGTTGGGCAACAAAAATTTAAGTGTTACTCTTAAGAATTCTGACTCATTGAATAATTTGAATGAAACTGTAGGTATGTGGTTAAACATATGTTTTCTGTATAGAAATGAAAGTTCTAGAAACCGCACACATAAAAAGAGTTTTTATAATATAAAATCAATCATCATCAATGGCTTTGTTAAATAACTATTAATTAATGATACATGTCCAAATAAATGTAATATGTTATTAATGCACACTTTGTCCTAGTACTCACAAAATCTATGATGAAAATAATCATCAATTACCATACAATGCACATTAAATATTAACTAAATTTTGTATGTTCATGACACACCTATATTAATTTTGACTATTCAGGAAGTACTGGCATGCCATTGGATCTTTGTGCTAATTATTTCACGATTCAAACCACTCCTCAGTGGTCACTTTATCAGTACCATGTAGACGTTGACCCCGAAGAAGACAATACTGCTGTGAGGAAAGGCCTCCTTCGCATACATGCTAATACTTTGGGAGGGTAAGTGATATACAGGGTGACTGGTGAATTACTATCAATATTTAAGGAGCATACTCAGTACATGATTCTCATTCGAATTATGTAAAAAAAAATAGGTACTTAATTTTTGACCAAATTTCCGTATAAATAAATAAAGTGTGTACACGTTCCAAGTGTTCCAAGTGTGGACGCGTGCGGTGGCGTGCTGATACAACAACACGCCGCCGCGCGCGAGTGTGTGTGTGTGTATACCTAATCTGTAGGGTGTTCATACGATGCGTAATTAATTACATAACTTTTGGTTAACTTTACTTAGAAGTTTATTAATATTTATGTTATATTAATTTTTATTTTGTCATATATGATCGTCAAATATCACGTCCTCAAGTATCGATAGTAATTCACCAGTCACCCTGTATATTAGTTATTAATTCCTTTATTTTACTTATTAATTAATTTATTTTAATATTTAATAACTTATAGGTACCTATTTGATGGAACTAACTTGTACACGGTTAAAAAACTACACCCAGACCCCATGGAACTATACTCTCAAAGAACAACCGATGGTGAAAATATGAGGTTACTTATTAAGGTACAATATTATACAGTCGGCTCTCGTTAATTCGAAACTGAAGGGACTCAAAATATTTCGAATTATCGAATGTTTGTAATATAGTTCGAGATTTGTGAGAGAAAATAAATAAAGTTCGAATTACTGAGTATTGATCAATAATAACTAAGTAACTGCTATAAGTATACTAAACTGCTATAAGTTTAGAGTGTACATACACACACGTACATTAACGTTTCTTCAAGTTTGAACCTCTCGCCAAATTTACTTGCATTAGAATAATCGACCTGTTTCTCTCAGCAACTTTGAATTGTCGAGTGTTGGAAGCCGATGATTTCGAATTAACGCGTCGTTTTATTATATAGCAATGATTTTTTCGTTCGAATTACCAAGTGCATAAAAATGTATTGATTTAGTTCGAAATATAAAGAGATTTTGAAGCGAACTCTTGATGACTGAATTATAGAGTTGCGAATTACCGCAGGTTGGAATTAACGAGAGTAGACTATATTTAATAATTATATTTATTATTATTTTATACTTGTATAATAAATTAAAATTGTATTCTTACAGCTAACAGGTCAAGTGAGTCCCGGTGATTATCACTATATACAGATATTCAATATCATGATAAGGAAATGTTTCCGTATTCTGGATTTAAAACTCATGGGTAGAGATTTCTTTGATCCCATAGCTAAGGTAACTTTAATTTTGAAAAACATAATATTATATGTATAGCATATAGTCATATATTCAAATGTATCACAGATTGACATCCCCGAACATCGTTTACAAGTATGGCCCGGATATAAGACTAGTATAAATCAGTATGAAGATCGTCTACTCATGGTTACTGAGATCACTCACAAAGTAAGGACTTTTAAATATAATTTATTATATAAATTAGGTTTTTTAACCTACATTACTGTATTCTTTATTATTTCTCAGGTCCTACGTTTAGATACGGTTCTTGAAATGCTAAAGGAATACACATATCAGTATAAAGGTGACACATACAGGAAGATGTTCTTGGAAGATATCGTGGGCAAGATTGTTATGACAGATTACAACAAGAAGACTTATAGAGTTGATGATGTTGCTTGGTCTGAGACACCGAAATCTACTTTCAGGATGAAAGATCAAGATGTGTCCTACTTAGACTACTATAATTTGGTAAATATATATTAACCTACATAAATTCCATATAGTATGTATTCATACATTAAAGGATGTTCCCGTGCATATGACAAGCCCTACTATCTTTATCCAATCTGCCATATTCCTAATATTTATCAATACTAATTACATTTTATTTCACAGAAATATAAAATCAGAATCCAAGATCCTGGCCAGCCTTTATTGATCTCTCGTTCCAAGGAGCGTGATATAAAGCGTGGTATGCCTGAACTGGTTTATCTAGTGCCGGAGCTGTGTCGACAGACGGGTCTCACAGATCAGATGCGAGCTAACTTCCAATTAATGCGAGCTCTGTCTACACACACAAAGATCGGTCCGGACATGCGTATACAGAAACTACTTAATTTCAACCGCAGATTCACTCAGACTAAGGAAGTGGTTCAGGTAATTTTATATTTAAATTCAATATAATAAGTGTTGAGGGCCCGTCTCTGAGGTAACCTGGACTTATAGTTTCACAATTATAAGTTTGAAATCACCAACCCGTCTTGAGTAAATGTGGTGATTAATGCTCAAACCTTTTCCATGTGAGAAGAGACCTTTGCTCAGCAGTAGGCTCTGATAGACCGATGACGATAATAATATTAATAAGATAAGTTAATATATAACAGGAACTGGGGACTTGGTCATTAAAACTATCGAATGACCTCGTAAGGTTCAAGGGTCGCCAGTTACCCCCCGAACAGATCATCCAAGGAGGCAACATGAAGTACCCCGCGGGAGATACAAACGATGGCTGGACTAGGGATATGAGGTGATTCAAAAGATACTAATATTATAAATGCGAAAGTAACTCTGTCTGTCTGTTTGTATGTCTGTTACACTTTCACGCCTGTTTAGGCGTGTTCAGTTGTTTAACTGAACTGATATTAAAGAAATTTTGGTACACACATAGAGTGTACCTCGAGAAAGAACATGGGATAGTTTTTATCCCAGACTTATGAAAGGTTTATGAAAGCTAGTAAATACTAAAATTTTAATCAAATACATGTGTGTGTTTGTGTATGTGTTTATTTCGAATAGTCTTAAAAGAAAAATAACGGAATTTCACTTGCAATATACAAACACAAAATTGTTATGCAATTATTTTAGAAAAGTTGGATGTTGACTATGGGGAATTTAAAAATAACATTTTTATTATACATTACGTAATAAATGTATAACAATATATCTAATTAAATTAGAGATATGTACGAAAAATATCTTCTCTTATTTAAACTGAGATTGTATAATTTACTTTATAATAATTTTAATGTTTTAAATGTTGACAGGTCTAAGAATCTGTTCTCGATTGCGAATATGCCGTCTTGGGTAGTCATAACGCCCGCACGCCAACAGAACGATTCAGAAAAATTCGTAGATTTGATCATGAAGACCGGTTCCGGTTGCGGATTTAGAATGCCCAGACCGGAAATCGGTAATAAAACCTACTTTTTACCTCCCTTTTAATGCCCATTAATGAACTATTTTGTAAATTTACAGTCACCAGTATAACATTTATTAACAATTTAATATGCAGCTGTACAGTCAATCTGGGTAACTTTGATTCATCGGGTAACTTTGACAGTGGGACCATGAACTAGTTTCGATTATTTTTTCGCATGAAACCAACACTATTCATATATGTTTATTTTAGATTTGTGATTTTAATTAAGCTTCCTAAATGTACTTAAAAAAAAAGTAAGTTGTGAAAGTAAAAAAATGTCATAACTTCGTTTCTGAATATATCGCGCGAATTTAAGTTTACTTTAGGGTGAATAACTTTTTGAATATTTTGTGATTTTGGTTGTTGATAAGGTAAGTGAGATGTTATACAGAGCCATTTGTGAGTGTACTACCGCATTTTCATGAAAAAATTACATATAATTAAATCTTATTTTGAAATTTCATGCATAAATATGAAAATACGTATTTTGAACAGTAACTGGGTAACTTTGACAGTGTCAAAGTTACCCTTACATAGAAACTAAAATGGTGGCGGAAGAGGTGGTAGAAGAGGTGATTGAAGAATTTGTTGTTAAAGATGGAGTTTTGCAACATGCACATCAAAATATATTGAGTTCTCACCTAGAATAACAGTTATATTTAAAACAGAAGGCACATTGTTTCCAGGAAAAGTGACAAGTTACACATTCCCGTATTATACACTTGTTGTCATGAGTAGATCAACACAAGGTGGTTGGAAATGGCCAGATAAAAGAGAAATTATTAAAATTACATAAGATGATGTTGTATCTACAGTAGATAACAGTAAAATCGGTATAAAACAGCCTGGGCTCTACACAAGTATTATTGACGATTTGCTCTATATGGAGTAGGGAGAATAGACAAGTTATGCTCAAGATTTTACAAAATGTTTGTTTGTTAAAATTATTCTTGCTTGTTTTCTTTATAATTTGAATAAAAATGTTAAATTAAAGGAGTTTTTTAAGCGTTTTTGATGGTGTTAAACAATGTGTGTAACATTGCCAAATGTCGTAGACTAATTCTTCATATATTTTTTTAATATAAGACAAAATTGCAAAATGTTCCTTTTATTGTGTCACATGCATCCATTAGTTAATAAATATATACCCCAATGTTACCCAGATTGATAAAAATAATACTTATTACTACATTTTTATGCTTGGCTCTGTGTGTGTCAAAGTTACCCATCTTAGGAGGGTAACTTTGACACACACAAAATTTAGATTTTATACTATATTGGTATGTTTTATAAACTTTATGTGGATGTCTAGAGACGGAAAGTAATACGAGAGCACTGATAAAATAAAAACACCCGAGGGATAGGTTTAATTTTTTTAGATACAGTATAAAATATCACCCTTATCTGTCAAAGTTACCCAGATTGACTGTATTGTATTAAATAACTAGATTATTTTATTGCATTAAGAATCTTTTATATAATATAACATATTCATAAATTTCAGTAACCATTCAACAAGACAGCCAATCCGCATATGCCAATATGTGCGAAACTGTCATAGCGAGAAAAAATCCAGCTATGATATTGTGTGTATTAGCTAGGAATTACTCAGACAGGTATGTTTCAAAATATCACCCCACAAATAAAACTAATATTTTTTTATTACCACGAGCAGACGAGATCTCTTTAAAATCTCGATACAAATAGAGATCTCGTCTGCCCGTAACACGGTTTCTGCCAAGTAACCGAAACGTCTGGAGTATATAGTCAAAAACATTATAATACAACAGTATAAGTAAATACGCATGTAAATCTGAAAATATTTGTTTTATTCAAATGAATACTCTCGAAAGTCTTAAATCTCATTATCACCATACAGTAATACCCCGCTTTACGCGAGGGATACGTTCCGAAGAAAATTGCGTTAACTGAAATTCGCGTATATCGAGGTTTATGATTAAACACAGTCAAAATTTAATAACTAAATATAAAAATCATTTTAATCAATCACTTTAATTCTAAGAACACTATACGATACATAGGTACTTCTATTTTTTACGAAATAAATACATGTATTGTTTTTTGGGTAGCGTTTTGTTTACGTTCTTGTAAAATACGTTCATAACACCAAACACTGTTCTTAATCGATTGACACACGTTCAAGACACGGTCATCATGATTGTCTATACTCTGCAATATGTCCCAACCTGAATAAATTTTTGAAAATCGCGTTACAGTGAAACCGCGCACAACGGGGTCGCATCAAGCGGGGTATTACTGTACATTAAATATTTGTATTAAATTTAGATATGAAGCGATTAAGAAGAAATGCACTATCGACCGCGCGGTACCCACACAAGTTGTCTGCGCCAGAAATATGACTAGCAAGTCGGCCATGTCTATCGCTACCAAAGTGGCTATTCAGATTAACTGCAAGGTAAAAATCAATCCTAAATATTAATAAATTTCAAACGAGAATTCCACAGCAAAAAACTGAACTAGAAAACGTATAAAGGAAATATTTGCTATGACCTAAAAATATCTATTCTATATGCTAAAAATGATGAATAACATTAAATAAACAAATCAACTGAAAAGATATTCCTTAGATTACAGGTTCGAATATAATTCGCAACTACAATTTTCTCATTCTATATAGATTACAAGAACATAAGATAAATCAAATACAATATTATAATGTATAATTATATAAGATAAAAAACTTGCTTACATTTTCAAAAGATGCTTTGAATAGCATCTTTATGATACATTTTCTGTGCCCATTTTTTTTTCGTTTCTAGTTTAGAGCAAGTCGAGTCAAATTAATATTTTATTTTAATTAATAAATACTAATATTATAATAGCGTGAGTGTGTGTATGTTTGTTACTTCTTAACGCTCAAACGGCTGAACCGATTTTGATAAAATGTTGTATACAGGAAGCTGCCGTCCAGGAATAGTACATAGACTACTTTACATCCCGGAAATCCGCGGGTAACACCGCGGGGCGCAGCTAGTAATTAATAAAGTTTAATAAATATTAAACACTCAATTTATGGTTATTTCTGTTTTTCAGCTCGGCGGCGCTCCATGGACTGTGGAAATCCCATTGCCTACTCTTATGGTGATTGGATACGACGTGTGTCACGACACGCGCTCGAAGGAGAAGAGTTTCGGAGCTTTGGTAGCTACGTTGGACAGACAGATGACTCAGTACTACTCGTGTGTTAACGCACACACCTCAGGCGAAGAACTCAGCTCACATATCGCCTTCAACGTAGCATCGGCTGTACGGAAATATAAAGAGAGAAATGGTTGGATATATAACAATTATAAAAACTTAACAGATCACAGTAGATGCCAAGTAACAGAGACAGAGAGTGGGTAGTTATAAAAAATATCCGAAGACATAAGTTTATTTAAATAATAGTCTTGTTAAAAGACGTTTTCCTTACATCTTTTTACATTGGTAATAATGGCTTTGTATAAAACGCTATATATATTATATTTGATTACTTACAGGCGTTTTGCCCGGACGTATCTTTATATACCGAGACGGCGTAGGCGACGGACAAATCGGATACGTGAAAAGCCATGAAGTAAGGATGTTTATTCATTATAATTATATAAGGCATGACGGATTTCTATACTAAATTCATTTCCAAATATAGAGCGATAGATTTGGCTATATAAGGAGATTTTATAGTCAATTAATAAAAAATGTACAAAGAATACTCTTAAAACATCTAAAGCGATATTCGTTACTATAATTATTCATATCGAATAATAGAAAACAATACAGTTTAGTAAAATTACTTTCATTATTATAGTTTTGATGTATTTTGAGTTCTACCAAAACATTACAGGTAGAAGAAGTGAAAGCTAAACTGGCTGAGATATACGGCGGCGGGGAGATCAAAATGGCGTTCATTATTGTGTCTAAGAGGATCAATACTAGAGTATTCGTGGACTGTGGCCGCAAAGGAGAGAACCCACGGCCTGGGACAGTAGTTGATGATGTTGTCACACTACCTGAGAGGTCTGTATAATATCTTATTCTACCTGGCAATTTCCCAACTTTAGCCAGGGTCTGCCTTACATGTGAATAGTTTTGGCTAATTGTTTTTATGACCGGCGTCCTGCCTGACATCAACCCTCTTTGGGAATAGATCTGTATACTAATATGTCGGTCTATAACTAAAAGTATATCTCAAAGGTTACAGGTTCGATTCCTACTTGTGTCTATTTTTAATTTTATATTAAAATTTTAATGAAGTTATCAACTTAACATAACTTTGATGTTAAAATAAATAAAATTTGTAACTTAAGTAACAGTTTGCATTCCTAACGAAAGTATGACCATTTTCCTGTCCTACAATCTTTTAAAACACTTCATATTTATGAGTGAAAAAGCTAAAAATACTGTTGCTCAAGTCAATGAATATATATTATGTAGTACTACAATTCTTATTTTATTGTATAGTTAACTTTTATACATAACATTACTTGTAATAGATTATATTTTTCTATTATTTCACAGATACGACTTCTATCTTGTGTCCCAAAACGTTAGAGAGGGAACCATAGCTCCAACATCATACAATATTATAGAAGACACTTCCTGCTTAGATCCGGATAGAGTAAGATCTTTATAATTTAACACTGAAACAAAGTATATAACACTCCAAATTATCAGTTATTAGTTAATGTTTTAAACATATCTGAATTTGCTATGCATAATGTATAAATAAATCTGAATAGTACAAAATATTATATTATATCAGTAGGTAACTTGCTTTCAACCAATCTTCTATATATATAAAAATGGATTGCTGTTCCTTAGTCTCGCTAAAACTCGAGAACAGCTGAACGGATTTATCTTATCTTAGTCTTGAAATATTCGTGGAGGTTCAGGGAAGGTATAAAAGCTGAAAAAAATTGATTCATTACTGGGAAAACCATAAAAACAGCCCTTTTCTATTTCCCAAACAAACGTTTTCTTTGACATTAGATTTGACAACTAACTAATATGTCAATCATTCTGTTCGATTGAAGCAGGAAAAACCTAACTATTTGTGGCCTCTAAGACGGTATAGAGTTCGCCCGGTCAACTATACATATATTACTAATGACGAAACTAACGCGGACGAAGTCGCGGGCAAAAACTAGTAACAAATAAATATTGCATGACATGTGACCTTTAACAGAATTTAAAGTTAATTAATTATTTGATCAATATATTATTGCATTCAATGAATTTCATAGTTATCAAGATTATTATAGAAACTAAAACAATAGTCTTATTTTTGGTTATGTATGTTTGAAATTGATAGTTTTAATATACTTTACAGATCCAACGCCTCACATACAAGCTGACCCACATGTATTTCAACTGTTCAACACAAATCCGCGTGCCGTCTGTATGTCAGTATGCTCACAAGCTCGCCTTCTTAGCAGCCAACAGTCTACATAATGCTCCACACCACTCTTTAGCCGATACACTATATTTCCTATAAACTTGTAAACTATCATAAACATTAAATCTATTCTGTGTTGAACGCATACAATGATAGGGACTTAACTGAAGTGATGAATGAAAATTGTATTACCAGTACATATTGATTGATCCAGTACTGTTTTTGTATTGTTAATTCTTAGTTATAAGATAAAACCTTCTCAGATTGTGAAAAGACGCTGTGAATGGCATCGTCAATAAAAAAAGGTGCCAATTTTTTTTCGTTTCTAGTTAAGTAAGTCGAGTCAAATTATTAATGTTTCTTTTTTTTTTGCTTATTTTTTATAAATACCATTTTTTCGTTTGCTCTGGATATGATTGTCAATATTTCACCCACCGTTATAAACAAAGATTAGGAGTAATTATGTTTTTGGGTCCTACAATGTTGATTTAAAACGGGTTTCAAAGCATATAGTTTTAACGTTTTGTACTTTAAGATAAAGTCAAAACATCTGATTTAAAATTAACATAAGTCATTGTATTGCATCTAAGTTTTTTTTTAAGTATAATTTTGTTTGATCTGTTTTGTTTTGAACATTTAATACCATCACTGGTATTTTAGATATAGTTTCATCCTATTTCTTATAAGGTTATGACAAATATCTATTTTTTGATATTTTTATAGTTTTAGGTGTTTTACAATAAGACATCGGCTATAATTGTGATAAATGTTATAATATCTGTGGATTGTATCTGAACAAGATCTGCACCATGAGTGTATACTTAAATGTTTGTTATAAAAAAAATATTGAATGTTTATCATAAGTCTACACATAGATATTTCTTCATACATTTAATAATATTGTTGTTTAAATGAAAGTAATTACAAAAACCTATTTGGTGCATTCCTTCCTCTATGTTTAAGATTATCGTAAGAGACGAGCACTTTTGTTATTGACACTTGATTAAATTCTTTTTTTATATTTTTCTTTAATGGTTTTTTATTTCTCATTCCAATATGTTTTGAAGGCTGAGTTTTTCTTTCCATATGATAAATTAGCGTGATGAATATTAACGACAGACATCCAATTACAGTAGAAACTCGATTAACAGGACTAATTCAATGTTTATTAATAAATTATTAAAGGATACATTTTCTTAGATTACAATATACATGTAGGTACTAAAAATTGCAGATTTTAATCATGGAATAAAATAATAAGTTTAATTTAGTTTATAATATTTGGTAATTGTCATTTGACGTACGCCACTTTCAACAACACCACTCTCTTACGCTTTGATATTTTTTCTTGTCGGGACCTCTCCGTGGTCCGGATAATCGCGAATCCGTATAACTGAGGGCCGGATAATCGAGTTTCTACTGTACTGGCATAAAATAATTCTTTCAACGTTCAGTATCAAAAGTCAATTGAAATTTTATTCCCAATTTTTTTTCATTATTTGATAGAAACAATATGATGGTTCCCAACATGTGGTCCGTGAACGATTTCAAGAGCCGGGGGTGACACAACGACCGCCTGTCGATCTAATCGTAGTTAGTCCGATAGACTTAAGCTGAGCTTTGCATTTGTGTGAGTGAAATTAAAAGTACAGTTAGACAAAAACCTTTTAAAATTCAATTTTATTGTCTTTTTATAAATACATAACATAAACGCTATAAAATAAGCAAAACTTATAAAATACCAAATGGAAATATGAATATTATGGAAAAAAATTATAGGTTAACAAAAATTTGGAAAAATTATACGAATTTTTATTCACTTGACATTGCGTTTTCAACATTTGATATTGCTACCAGTACAAAAGGTGAAGGGAGGAAGGTGCGGGGCGGGGTAAAAGTAGAATAAAGTATAAAGCGGTTAAAAACTAGAAAAGAACGTTTCATTAAAAAAATTGACATCTCACCTACACTATCCGTGTGCACTCACACAAATGCAAAGCTCAGCTTAAATCAAACGCACTATAATGTCGTAGGTCAAAGAGTACTTTGCAACCCGTTTAACATGGATAGTGGAGAAAATGATAAAATCCAAGAAGACATCATTGAGCTACAAAATGGACAGATGTAGGGAAGCTTTTAAATGTAACCCTATGGAGAAGTTTTGTTGTAAAAAAGCAATTTCTTAGGTAGATACACCAATTTTCAGAAATGGCGTTACGGTATCTAATTGTATTTTCTAATTCATATTTATGCGAACAATGGTTTTCCGCCTTAATGGTCCTTACAAAAAAAAAAAACGATGTTTAAAAGTAGATACCTAATTTGCGAGTAACTTTGAAAAATAATATTAATCCTAGGATTGCAGTGGGTTCTTGTGCAGAGCAAGCAATCTCTTTGAAATTACATTAATAAAATAATTTCGTTTTCTTTTAAATTTCATTAATGTTTTAATAACATATTTTTGTCGATACAAAGTACATTGAATTTTTTATTAAAGTTTATTTTCTTAGTATTCACTTTATTTTTTTTTGTATATCGTGGTCCCATGCGAACAACAAAGAATACAAACTGGTCCTTGGTCTAGAAAAGCTTAATGACCACTGATCTATAATAATAAATAAAATTGAACGGTCTGTAATTTCATATCAGCAACTTTTCACTAAACTTCTACAAGTATCTACGATACCTATAATGATAAAACTATTAATAATGTTTGCTTGTGCCGACTCATCTCTGGAACGGCTGCATTGATTTTGATAGAAACTTAACTCATGTATTATTTTAATTAACGAGCAAATATCCTAAGATAATTCCATAGTCACAAAATCAGGATTTGATAGTGTTTTTGATATATCGAATGAAACCTTATAATATGTATGTATAGGATCTGAAATGACTTGATATACGGACAAAGCCGTAAGCAAAGGTTAATATGAAATAAGAAAAAATGTACTAAAATCATTTAGAAAAGTGAAATTGCTAGTACCTATAGGTACCTTATTATTTTCCTTTCATTTATAATCATTATTGGATTACTTTACACAAAAAATTCAAAGCATATTATATTTTAAACCTATATTTATGTTTACAATGGACTCCTTTTAATTAGGTTGTGACATACCGCTTATTGTGCCGATACAAGCTCAGCTCTACGGAAGGATCGATTGCCATGTTTACATGTTTTCAGTTCGTAGCAACCTCGTAGTCAGTGGATACGTGCTACTGTTTTCATTTTGAAAAATAAATATCAAAACGAAATGGAAGACGAGAAAAGCAAGGAGGATACTGAAGATTGGAAAGTTTATGAGACGCTCAACCAAACTCACGTAGAGGTATTCAGAATTATTATTTATGTGTTCAAACTGACAGAAAACTAATAAATAGGTTATAATTAAACTTTTTGGTAAATAAAGAGAAAGTATTTTATTTTTCTAACGCAAGTATCTAAAGCTTACATCCAATTGAATTCTGGTAATAAAAGTTATTCAATAAAAATATGTTTTCTGTCCTCAAGATGTAATACTCATTTTCATTAATGTTATACATACTTGTATTGTCAACGACTTTTCTCGTATTTTCTTACAGTCTGCAGCAATTCGTTATTGATTTAAGATTATGAAATAATAAATAACTTTTCTTTCTGGCTAAAACATTTATAAATAGTTGTATAATGAGATCTAAGACTTTCGTGAGTACCTATACATTTAAATGAAAATAATATTTTTCGGATTATGCTACGCGTGCTTTAGGTATTATTGTAATTCTCACCTCACATCTCGTCTGTCCGTAATCACGGTTGCTAAAAAGTAATCGAGACGTCGGAAGTTTGTCGTTTTTTACAATAAACCACGAGTAGTATAATAAGATGTTCTATAAAATTTGAAATATTTTCGGAATATCAATCACCATTATTTTATATCTTACCCTCGTTTTAGGGCATTCCAAAACAGAATCCTGTTAAATTTTAATCAAAATAACAATTAACTTTATTCATAGTCAGTCTTCTGGCTTATAACATCTTTAGCGTATTGTAGAAAATTTAATGTTAATCCGAATCCTAAAAATATGTCATAAATTATAAAAATATATGATCCAAATTTCACTATCACCAAATATATAAATAACCAACTAATTCCATGGGGACGAAAGTTGGAAGATAAGATATGAAATTGGAAGCACACTGTTTAGTTGAAACAGATACGAACTCTAAACCTATACTGAAATAAAACGCCTAGTCTAGACTCATTTATATTTCGTTTTATATATTCATTCCACTATTGATAGCAGTCCTTCGAACTATTCGAATGGTTTAATATTAATTCTCAATAGGTGAACATTTGTATAGAGAAAATTTGTATACCTTAAATACGAATTTAAATAAAGAAAATACGAATCCCATATTTATTTTCGTTCATAATATATTTGAAACTATTAAATATTAGGTATATGCGAGGGTTTATTCATGAGTAACTTAAGTCACATTTACTAAGACGTAATAAACATGTGGTCAGGGCACTGCAGGTGAATTATTCTGTTAGCTGCGAACAGATCAGTCAAAATAGTCTATGGAAACTGAATTTATTTAATTTATTAAAAAAATCTAAGAACAAAACTTATATGTCAAATATTCTTTTCATACATTATCTTAAGAATAATTTAGAGCATTTGTTAATTTCATTTATATCATATATGTACTTCGTTTAATGAGATACTAATAAAAACGGGAATAAAAGATTTACGAATTTTTAAAAGTTTCTCAATATTCCCCAAGCTTTATTTGATTGATGGCATGTTTCGAACCCCATCGATGGTGCCTTGCACGAGACTCGCCGTTTATACATCTGAGTACTTCGTTGGCTTTAATTAAGGTACTATAAAATCTTAATGCTCTCTAAATATCGAATATCTTTTATTATCGGTTTTATTTTAAAATAATCGTGAAATATCAAAAGAAATATATTATTACCTATGGAATAACTTAACGCAACTGATAATTTAGAAAAGAAATCGTTCTTTAATCGATAATGATACGTTTAAACGATAACAATAGAAATAGTTTGTGATTTTAATGAAGTAAAGTTAATAAAAATAGTTTTTTTTTAATAAATCAAGGCATAGAGGCATATTCGAATACGTATACCTGACGTAATCAATTACCAAGGACGTCGGAGGGAGCGATGTTATGTAAATGACGGTACAAATTGTGTAGCAACGTAAATTTATCCGTACATAAGAAGATATCGTGACTCTTTGCGGACTTGAAATAGCAACTGATATCACGCTAGCTTTACCGGAAAATACCTTCTTCCACAATTATGTCTAGTTGCCTTTCGCACGCCACGGGATAGCAATCCTTTGAAAAATATAAAATACTTACTTTCCGGGGGTGTTTTTTTTATCTTTTTATAGAAATGTGTAAGCTTTTTTGTTTATAGCTTTCTGTTTAATTGGAATAAGCTTAAGTTAATTTTGAATTTTCATCCGCAGATGGAAACGGATTTAGGAAATGACGTGATCACTACCTTGAGAAGTGACTTAGCAGGACTGCAGTATAAAAGAGACAAATTAATATCAGAGGTAAGTAAGGAGCAGTCATTTAAAAAAATAATATATTTGTGATGATAGATATATAAAAAATCTATTTCCTTTTAAGAATAGCGATTTAAAAAACCAAATGTTATCCCGAGACCAAAGAATACTCGAACAACAAGTCGAGATTGATCACCTTCGTGAACAGAATGCTCGACAGAACGCTATTATATCATCTCTTAAAAAGAAAATCCAAGATCTCGATGAAGTCCAACGCAATCTACAAGCGTCACAAGGCCGAAGTGACTTGACGGTGCAAACACTTCAGAGAGACAATCGATACTGTGAAGAGAAGATAAAGGATTTGGAAAAGAAATTACGATCTCTTGAACTAGAATGTCACAATGAAGAACAGCAAAAGGAAAATGCGCGATGTCAGTTCCACGATCTCGTGAGAAGACTTTCTGTCGCCTTGGATTCAGATTTCTGTGATACCACACACACTCATTCCCCTGAAAGTCTAATCATTAAAGCATCTGAACTAGTCCAAGAGATTACTAGACTTAAAAATAAATGTATGAACACTAGTGAAAATCTCACAACCATTGAACAGGACTTTCGAAGTTGTAGAGACTCATTAGAAAGAGCGAATGCTGACAAAGATATTTTGCAAAGGCAACTCTCGAGCCAGCTCCTAGACATAGAAAGACTGAAACAGGAGAAAGAATCTCTTTCTGTATCTAATAGAGTACTAGAAAGGGAACTTCACGAAGCTCGAGAAAAATTGTCACACTGCACGAAGAATTTAAACGTTGTTACTGATAATGTAAACCAAAATGAATCAATGATAATCCAACTAAAAGGTAAAAACGTGTATAATATCTTATTATTCTACTGAAATATCAAAAACCATAATCTGTTCCTTACAGAGGACTTAAGACATCGCGACGAAAAGTATCAAAGGCTTCAAACGGAGTTTAGAAACACAATGGAATCAATCGCAATCCTCCTCAGTCTGCCCACTCGTTTTGTTGAAGCTCACGAGAGCACTATCAAAGACCGTATAAGGGAAATTTTAAGCGAAAATAAAGATAAAACCGCCGTACGTATTTAATCCATCTTTTGTGTCTGAATACAACATTTTACAAATAATATTTCCATTTTTACCACACAATAGCCTCTTGTTTAGCATCATACGCAATTTACGCTTAGCGTTTAATACGTTTCTTTTAATAAAATAAAATACAAGACTTGATTTAATTCTATTTAAAGCAATTAGAAGCGTTGCGTGAAAAATTAGGCGTCGAGTGTCAACAGTTGGGGAGAACGACGCATTTACACGAACAGGCCACAACACGCGTAAGAATACTAGAAGACGAAAGAAATATGCTTGAAACTAAAGTTCACAAACTGGAGACAGAACTGACAGCTTTAGAAATGTCCAGAGATAATTTAAGAAAAGATAAAGCTAATGTTAGTATACTATAATAATGTTATAAATAATTTATGTTATTATAAAGAAATCTTAATACCACAGTACAAGAACTAAATGACTTTACAATTTAAATTATAAAGATTGTTTTATGCATTGTAAATAAAAGCGGTAATAAGTAATCGTTGACATCCTTTTATACAAACGCAATTTTATGTTTCACGCAAATGTGAAATGATCTCAAGAAACGCATTAATATGTATCCAGCTGAGAGAAATAGAGTTCTTTATATAAATCTTACAATCTTGCAACTGCCATATGAGCATACGATAAGAATCATTAGATATAAATAAAACATGACCTCGTAATTACTTTAATATCTCCGATACATTATGTTGCTACAGTTTGTGGCATTCTTGGAGCGTTTGAGTCGCACTCTCAATATGGACGAGTTGACACAGAACATCGGCTTGGACTTACACACAGACTCCATCATTCAAAGAGCCGAACAACTAGCGAGACTTGAGAGCGACAAAATTATTGACAAGGTTAGTTCATAGTTACACAACTAAAGGACCTTTTACATTCACGATAAATATATAAATCACTACATATTCATACAATATTTTCACTTAGTATACACGTAAAGTTTCCATTTACTTCCCTTTATTCATCGAGAGATGGAATAAATATTTATTTCAACAAGGAAACAATCAGAAAAATGTAAATAACTCACCCACAATGTTTTATGATAATTTTTTTTACTTATATTATTTATTGTTGTGTTGTTTACCTCACATTAAAATAAGAGACCTGGAGATATATGGTAAAAGTAGAAATTCCGACGGCCGTACACGGTAAAAACAAAAATGTCATACATTAATATGCTTTGAGTTCAGTGCGTGTATTTTGCTTTGCTATACTAACATAATTTACTTTATAGCTGTGATTTATAATGTCTCATTTGTGAGCGACACGAGTCATATAAATCAAGTAGATTGAATTTGAATTCTAATATTATAGGCGTATACGTAGAAATATTACAATAATAGTTAATTGAATATCTGTTTTCATAAGATGCTGTATTACGGCTACTATGGCACACTACCGAGACTAAGAAGAGAGCGTTCTTTCCATGACTTACCGTACCTTAAAGAAGTAAGATTTAATACACAAAAATTGGCATGAAAATAATATAAAAATATACTTAGGTATCAATCTCCCAGATGTATTCTCATAACCATTAATTATTCACAAATACCTATTACTAATTACACGTCATTAGGTAAGTCATAGCACTGCGGAGCAAATGTTTCACGCCATTTACGAGCTATTAACAAGTTAAATATTATAAACACAGTTAATGTTGCAGACGCTAACTATTAATAGATTTTTTTTTAAACCAAACGTAATTAAAATATAAGTAAGTAGTTAGGCGATAAAAAATTAAACAAGAATACTTAATAGAATGCGAGCACTAATATGTATTTAATTGTAGATATTTTTTTGTATTTGTGTTATGGTTTTATATGTTATGTTTATGAGTGTATTTCAGACCGCCGTTGTGTATCAACTTCAGCGTCGCATAAGAATACTGAGAGAACAGCTCCAAAGAAAAGATTTACATTTAGATTTACTACGACGTAAACTTAGCGTACAGGTAATGTGGTATTATTGTAACGAACAAACAAACATATATTATCTCATTAGATAAACTTCTATCTTAAACATAACTAATAAAAAAACATTCAAATATATCTCAATATAGTCTATTATATTGTTTAGCCAGCAAAGTATTAATTTTGCTTAAACTTACTTGAAAATTCATTCGTATTTCAACAAGAGTTTTAACGAATTGTCAAAAGTTTAACATAATATAGTACACCACAATATATAAAGAAAAGCAATCAGTATTATTAATTTCACAACACCATTTGCTATAAAAGTTAAGAACAATACGTATATTATAGAAAATTCTAGAAGAATCGATCACAATGTGTTTATCTATCATAATATAACATAATAGGAAGAATCGTCTCGAGTTAGGGCAGTTCTTCAGGCAGAACGTGATGAAGCTGTTAATAGAAGTAAGAAACTGGCTCGTCAGTGTGACAAGCTTGGGGTTCAACTGAGTGATGCGAGAGCACAGGTCCGGGATTTAAACACGCAGTTAGCTGATGCCGCTGAATATAAGGTTACTGGATATATTATTAACATAATAATTCGTTTCTTACATGAACAAATCTTAAATTGAATTATTGGACTGTATCATTGATTTAGCGTTGCTATTCAGAGAGTGGTGTTTCGGAACTAAAACAGGGAATGAAAAAGAAGGTTCTAGCCTATAAGGAATTTCTTTTATAGAATTAATCGAAATTTAAGTAGATTTAACAAAATTATGAAGTATTTCATGTTAATATAACGTCAACATCTGAATGGGTTTTGAGTTTAAACTATTGAACAGAGATATTACTCCGACTGAGATATCAGTAAAATGTAAGTTGTAAAACAAAGCTTCAGATTTAAAGCACATTTTAAGTACGATTTTCCTCAAACCAAACGAATCATTCATATTAATTGTCTCTTGCGTGACATTATAAGAATAAATAATTACAAATAAATAATTAGATTCTTTGTGTAAATGACTGTAATGTTAGCCTCGCATCAGATGTGTCAATGTAAATGTAATCTTAATAAAATCACACAAAAGACTCGTTCCGATATAAGTCATATTGTGAGTGGATTAACTGGAATTATTTGCTTACAAGGTTAAAATTATTTACTCGTTGCTACGTGGTTATTTGTATACTCTTTGTGCACCTCGATCGTACTCAACTATTGAATAGAAACGTAATTATACTGTTTATCTTTGCTAGAAATAATCTTTAGTATAGGCCAAGTAAAAACTTCGTATTTTTTATACATAACCTATCAATAAATGATATATTTATTTTACTAATTGATCAAATTACATAACGATTAAACAAAAAATATATAGTTTGTATGTAAAATCATTTAATTTTCAATACAATTCCTGTTCGTAGTCCGAAGGACTTCATAGATCACGTAACTAAGGTAATTTATCGTTTTATTACAACGCTTCAATAGTTTAGCCTTGCGAAGTCGTGTTTGGATTGAGATAATTGAAGATTAAGAAAATTTATTTAAGTACACCAATCTACATTTAATTGGATACGGAAATGTTTTATGTTTTTCCTCAAATAACTTAAATCACACGTAAATTGTGTTTAGATATATACATTTTAATTTAGATAACAGCGTTGGAGAGAGCGAGAAAGATAGAAGAGTTGCAGAAAAAAATTGACGAAGCAGAAATGCTTCGTGTGAGATACAATCGAAAGGTGAATGTACTCAAAGATCAAGTGAGGACTACTGGCGAGACGTACGAACAAGAGAGAACGAGTACTGAACATCAGATTAATATACTAAGAGACGATCTCTCAAGGACTAAAGAGGCGCTTGCTGAATGTCAACGGAGAGAAGCACAGCTACAAAGCTTCAGGTATTGTTTAATTAATAAATGTATATCAGTAGGGCCACGAAACACCTTCACACGGAAAATTACGTTAACCCGCCCTTGTCCTTGATCATTAACATGCAGGAGCGGACCGATTACAAATCCGAAATAATCGATGTATAGGAAAATAATATCAATGTGAAGCTAACAGGGTTAAACGACTTCTATAATATGTATTATGTATATGTATACACACACACAAACACAAACAGACACACACAGACGTGACTGTATGTGTGTGTGTATCTTAATAGAAAAAAAACAATAAATTAGTAGTAATATTTAATAACACTTACCTATACAGGGTGACTGGTGAATTACTATCGATATTTGAGGACGTGATATTTGACGATCATATATGACGAAATAAAAATTAATATAACATAAATATTAATAAACTTCTAAGTAAAGTTAACCAAAAGTTGTGTAATTAATTACGCATCGTATGAACACCCTACAGATTACTCTACACTACACACTCACACATACGCGTGCGGCGGCGTGTTGTTGTATCAGCACGCCGCCGCACGCGTCCACACTAGGAACACTTGGAACGTGTACACACTTTATTTATTTATACGGAAATTTGGTCAAAAATTAAGTACCTATTTTTTTTACATAATTCGAATGAGAATCATGTACCGAGTATGCTCCTTAAATATTGATAGTAATTCACCAGTCACCCTGTATAATATAAAATATCGATGTTTAGTTTTAAGCGTACAATTTATATTAATGTACGATTAAGTTTAATTTACCTACGCTTTATTATTACCCGTAATAAAATTACAAAGTTTCATATAAATTCAAACATAAAACTTTATACAATACAGTAGTATACAATACAATAATATACAATACAATGGTATATATCAACAGACATTCAATCGCCAAACTGCTCGGTATACTGGTGCCGTCATCTGTGCCGGACTTCGAGATGGTGTCTCGTCTCCAGAAGCTGATTGATGCTCATCATGACTTCACTGTAGTGTCCCGTCGGTATGACGACCCAGCACTGCTTCGAGCTTCATCACGATCTCCTCCTCCATCACGATGTAGAACAAGAACACCTGATCGGTAATTAATAACAAATAAACTATATAAAATCTTATTTAAAATTAAATTGTGTGTGTACTAAATCGACTCGTTCTTCGTAAGAGAATTATTATTTCTAAATGAAAGAAGTTTTTGGATATACTACGTGTGCTTTACTTTTGTTAAAAAAAACTGCATACTCCCGACGTTTCGATTATATTTCAGCAACCGTGATCACGGCCTACGGGCAGACGAGATTTAAATCTTAGTATATCCGAAAAACATTAGTTTCATTTAAATGAATACTCGCAAAAGTCTTAGATCTCTATTATTTCTTCTGTAAATATCAATATTATGTGTACTAAACAGTAATATGTAATTTTAATCGCAGATCACTCCGTTACGATGATTCAGGATACGCTGATCCGGCGTTTGATCTCGAGGACGAGATTTACAAAACTCGACCGGCCTTGTGACATTCGAGACGCCGCGCCCGTTTCTAGGCCGCTCTCGTATCATTATGACAATGCCCTTATCAAAACTACATCTTAAACTATTTGATACAGATTTTACTTAATATATAAGTATTCTTAATAAACCTTCACCAAGTGAGAAAAAGGCCTTTGCTGAGCCGTGGGCTATGATAGGCTAATGACGAATATATAAGTATCAAATAGTTTCATATTTTATCCATAGATAGCTCTGTATTCAGCATTTTATTTTATTTTATTTTTTTTGTTTATTATTATTAAGCAATGTATTATATACGTATTGTCCTTGAGATTACAATAATCTTATACATTTATTGTCTTAATTTTAATATGTTACCATAGTGTATTCTATAAATATGTGCATTTAGACATTCTAGTGCTTTTGAGTGTTCCCCGTCACGTACTAGTCTCGTTAAATAAAAAATCACGTAAAAGAATACTTCAAAAGATCTGGGTCAGACATATTGTATAATGACCATTTATGACTTAAGTTATTTGAAGTACTTAAAGAATAGTTTTAAAACATAAAAGTAGTTGTTGTATTTATAATTTTAGTATATTTTCTCACGATAGTTCTAACGTTAACCTTAAAATATGAAACTTTTTTCGTAATTTTATTTCTTGTTAGAAAAACATTCTTGTATTTAATTTATGTTTAGTAAATAAACAATGTGTTTGTAAAATTAAGAAATAATGTAGTTAACTATAATAAATCCAATACCCCATCAATTTAATTAATATTATAAGATTTATAATAAATGAATTGTATTTTAATAAAATGAGTTGACTAATTTGCAAAAATATATTTAGAAATAAATATTAAAATACTGGCAACCAAATTTTTTTTTCAATTACCATATTTAAAAATGAAACTTTAGTTACACGATCGAAAGTTTTAAAGTTTTAACAACTCCTTAATAAATTTCTTAAATTTGGAAACAGCTGTAACAATATTTCGACGGGTTTAAAAAACGATTATTATGAGTAATAATTCAGAAAAATCACAACATTGCGTAATAATAAAAAGATATAATGAAACATCGGTTTATCTTTCCCTATGGAATGCACTTTAGATAGTAATAATAATGAATTGTTATTAATAAAAACATACATATTTAAAACGAAAGTAAAACATGTCAAGGTTGGTTACTGTATCTCAATTAACCAAAAAGTATTGTACCAAAAAGTATCGTTATAAATGACATTTATCGATTCGAGTCGAGGGTAGATTAATATTGCTTATTATTTCTAAAGATTTACCACAGCAATAACATCGATCAATACAAATTGTTTAACATTAATGTCAATACACAATATGTTTATACTCGCATCAATTATCCTGCTGTTAAATCCCGGTGAGTTTCAATGTATTACACGTATTGCCAGTAAATGTGATTAATTATTTGAAACTTTAAATTGTTGTAATTACGTTCATTGGTCGCTTCTGTTCTGTGTACAATTATAATCTATTTTGTAATTACAAACGGATATTATTTTAAATAATAACAGATGTAATTAATATAAAATAGGTTTTAAACAATAATGTTTAAATTTGTGGGTATAATTTATTTGATTTAATATGTTTTTGGTATTTAAAACAAATGATATCTTTTATAATGTTTTAGCGTCAATCGAATCTCGTCTATCACATTTCCATGATACCGGTGATGAGAAATTATCAGGAGTAGCCTTTGACACATCTGATGAAAATGACGATGAACAAGATGATGATTTGGAACCAGGGAAAGTTGACCTCATCAAGGACGGAATGTGGGCTATAAAGGCTAAATTGAAAGAAATAAAAGCATTCAACAGAGCACTGGTAGCTAATATAAAATTAACAAACATGAAACTCAAAGAGATTATAGAAAATCAGATCGCTATTAAAAAACATCAACATAACTTACAAGATAATAAGAAATTCATACACAAATATCAGGTAATTTTTATAAAAAATATATTATAGCCTTAATCACTTTCTATATATATATAAAACTCTTATAATAAATTGGTAGGACATAAAATTAAGTGCTATTAAAAAATATAATCATGCTATCACCATGAGAACGGAAGACCTTCGGCTGTTAAAAATTAAAAAAAAAAAAAACAAGTATCGAACAATGCGTGACATTTAGGAGCAATCATACTTTTGACGCCAATGCATTCCATGTAATTGATGAAGTCCTACGTATCCCGACGACTTTCCAAACATGGCGTGTTAAAAAATAAAGATGCTTTTAAACTGTTTCAGCCTCAACCTTACCAGCTGTACGAGGCGCGGATATAGCATGCCGTTTATTGGAACAATTCATTCCACATAAACCGCCATCGACGTTCGGCTACATTAATTATTAATTCAATTATCACTCACAGATCTTGTTAAAATAAACATTGTAATAAACGAAGGTTTCACTGTACATGTTTTACAATTTATTTCATCTGTGGATGTACGTCATGAGCTCCTTAAGAAAGTGAATTACATAAATTAAACTCTTAATTCGGAAGGTCAGCTGTCGATGTTTATTGTTGAGTGTTGTAGTCAAACGCGGCGCGCGCGCAGGGCACACGTGTACTAGAAGTGATTCGCTCTCTCCGATTCGTTTAACGAATAGAGAAGTTGAAGCCTCGCTTAGTTTTACACAGCCAGCCCTTAGCGTCATCATGATAAGATTATAAAGTTTATTAATATATTAAACCAGTAATGATGATCTTGATACATATTCCTGTTAAAGTGGACATGTCTCTATCGATACAGTAAAATCGATCAGCTGTTTGTGTGTTAAAGTTCTCAATAACGAGATGAGGATCAATTTTATTCGGATTATTTTTTTGGTACGCATAAATAATTATATATGTATGTGTTATTTTTATGTTATGCTATTCATCTTATACATACTATGTAAGATAATTACATCGGATACTAAACGTCTGATCTAATTAATAGAATATTTCCATTGCCTTTATTACTTTAAAGGTCTAGGCAGTATATAGTGCGCCTACGTTACTTAACCTTCAATGTCAGAATGAACGACTGCGGATTTTACAGTTCTTACAATATAGCACCGAGTGAGTTTCACTTGAAATTTATTTGGTACTGAGCATTTAAATTCTGGCCACAGCTCTTGAAACGAGTCGGTACTAAACAAACTATCTAATTAGTATATTTCTTAACCTGCGAAAACAAATGCCGGAAATATTGCACAAGTGTCTATCAAAGTGTAAAAAAAATATTATATTATTAATTACGACTATAATAATAAGCATTCACTTTAAAAGGCCTTTGTTAAAAACATCGAAATAACTTGTAACGTTATCATAAAAAAACGGGCGGTAAACGCGAGATATTACCAAATTTTTACATAAATAATTCAACTTTTCTTACATACTATAGATTTATTGTTGGTTTAATTTCATGGAAATTTAACCGTTAAATATATGCTGTTAAGGGTATAATTTGTGTACATATCGCATAAATAATGTAGACCCTGACCCTGAGCTGACGCTGGTGCGAGCGCGTTAGGAATCCAGTCTGCACGCATCGCATTTAGATTAACAACTATTCCAATACATCGATAATACATCATTGAACTTAATATTTCATAGAAAGATACATTTCCACCACAGTGTTATATTCCTTGTAAGACATTCCGATCTGGTTCGCTGACTGTATGTAGTCCTTCACCTAAAACGAACCTTTGATAGTATTAAATCAAAACTATATTATAACACAGCGGTAACACTTTAACACGTTCAATTTTAATATTGTTTAAAATGTAAAGTACGAATATTGTATACATTTATTTTTTAATTTATTATATTTATTTTAATTTCAAAATTTTTAGACTTGTTTTAACTTGTAACATTGACAACTACTTGGACATTTTAATACTTCCGCATTATGAAAGTGACATTACATTTGTCAATGGACACAAGTCACTACTCAGATCAAAGAGCTATTCATTTAAACCATTCACGTACATATTTAATGCACGTTTAAGGAATGTAAGTACAAAAAAAAAGACGTAAAATTACTGTGAAGTAATAAATGTCACAGTGGTATTTAAAGCAATCGCCAGTAACGAATTTTATTCCAGTCGAGGGCGAAACAGGTTCAGTCTAGGTGATCACTTCCTTGAGTTTTTATTACACTACAATTGGGTGTGTTCGTACATTTGTCAAAGTTCTAATACAAACATAATACATTATAATGACAAAGCATATAACATTTATCTTTAGCCTGCAATAAATCAATCGCTCTGTAAGTACTGACCAATGCGATGAATGTTTGTTATAAAGATTTATTCGTAACATAATAAGGCAAGTGACCGTTAAAAATTATTTATAAAGCCCATAAATGTTTTGCACCAATAAAAATATATCAGCTGCTTTAAATCTCATAAAGTACGACTCCCATAATGCGTCCCTATAGAATTTTTCTTTGTGGTTACAAGTACGCTATCATCTTGCAATTTATTTTGCATTCGAGCTTAAAATACCTCACGATCTGGTAAATCAGAACTGGTTTCTTTGCCTCACCCTATATACAGACCATATATAGGTATTGAGACAAAGAATAAATTACTAAAATGATCTACATTATAACATTCAATAAAAAGACATTGTGATTAAAAAACATATGATAATGTTGCCATCTTACCATTGAATTATAAAAACGGTAGGATACTTGAAGCAAAAGTATGCAACTAGTATACCAGAATGTAATTTTTTTTTTATAAAAACCGATATTTTATGACATTTTAGTTTACGATAAACAGCCAATCTGTATCTGTCAAAATTGTAAATGTATCATATTACACGTGTAACATTTAATTATAATCAATAAGTGTTTGCAAAATAATAGCTGACATTAGTAGAGCATATAGTATTTAAATAACACGCCCAAACATCAATTTTAGCAACGCATTTATTATTTATTGTCATTACTCAATCTACTTGAACTGAGAGCAACAGATTATATTAGCCTTATATTAAATGACTCAGTAATAGTATTTTCAATTACTTATTAGAAGAAATAAAGATTACGGTATTAGATATTACGATTGTAACTTTTAAATTCTTACAAAAGTGATGTACTTTTACTAAATCATGCAAATCTACATAAAAGATTCGGTTGTCATTTTAACATAATTACTTAATACTTTTCGTAAATAAAATTGTAGTATAATTATAAATATAAAATACATATTTGTTTCATAAAAGAATATTAAATCAATAATTGTTTATCACGATAATTTTATTAAAGCCGTTTGAGAAAAGGCGTGCGAAGGCCGGCGAGTGTGTGCATTGATAGTGTTGGACTATTGTTGAGTGAACACTGAGTTAGTTAGAGTGAGTGAGTGAGTTGTAGCACCTGCCCGTGACTGTCATATCTGGTTACCGCGGTTGGATATAATAATTAAAGATAAATTACTAGCCTTACAATACTTGGAGTAGAAAGTTGTCAAACAATAAGTAAAGTGATTCACAAGATCTGTTAATAAAACGTCAGAAAAAATATGCATGATTATAAATAAAATATTCAATTCAATTGATATACTAAAATAAAAAATCGATATATTCATATACATATACATGTATTTCGATATAAATCGATAGTACAAATGGGCCAAAACCATTTTTTTAATATTATTTAATATTTTCGTCTCGCTATAATTTTTAATAGTAACTTTACAATTAAAGTGAAAATATACTTCAATAAGTCTTTATTTTCATGGTTACGACATTAAAATAGTTGTTATTTTATACAACTTATACGATGTCAACTCGTTCAGTACTTTGTACGAAATAATTTTTTATCTGCCAAAAAATAAAAAAGGTTCTTATTATATTTCTTCCTGTTTTTTTTAATATAGAACTTATTAATAATTTAATGATTAAAACAATTAAATTTAAAATGTTATATTTTAAATAAAAACTACAATTACAACTCTCGCTTAATGGCCGATAAGTTATTAATGACTAAAGAAATTGGTGGTTATGTTAATTATTATATATTGTTTTAACAATTAAAAAATAACTATTTTTATACTATTGACCAATGCAAATATAGTTTTTTTTATAATGTTTTATTAATAATTTTGGTTCCTCCATATATTCTTCTGTATAATTTTTATTATAATTCCGTATAATATTTTGATAAGAACTCAATTTCACATCTATACTAATATTATAAAGCTGAAGAGTTTGTTTGTTTGTTTGTCACTAATATAGTTGCCAGTTTTAAAAGATAACAATGAATATTGTACCTTATTTTCGAGTTTAAAATAAAAAAGAAAATTTCAATAAAAGCAAATTTCAAAGAAAACTGAAAATTGATTTCGACTTCAAAACTTTTTATCGTAAAATCTGAACTGAAAAAAAAAACGGATACAAATATAAGAATGCAAAATCGGTTATAATTTATCTTTCAAGAATATAGTTAAGAAAAATCATTTCATTATAATAATTTAATATAATTATTATTTATTAAAATTTTCCTTCTCTAATCATAAGCGAGACTTATACAGAACCAGTATGTGAAGTAAAGTTTGAATCGTTACTGAACGTTAACTTAACAGTTTTTCATATAAAAGTATTCATGTGGTATTAGGTTATTGAATGAGAAACAGTTAACGCGACGTATGTAGTATGTTTATGATAACTTGGACTAAGGATACTGCAACTTAGTGAGTCTACATCGTCACACTACTTATAAGGCGTTTCCAGTTTTTCATTCATCTAACATCGATAATATGGATAGCAAAGATTATTAAAGATAAGATAAATGATAATTTCATATAATTCTACCCTGTGAAGGATAGAAAAAGAAAATTGGCAACATTTTAAGAGGTTTTATGATGGGAACAATACTAATGAAGGAAACATATTACGTTCTCAGGAACACAAATTACAAATGTAAAAGAAACAACTAGGTATTCGTAGCAAAAGAAATTATCTTAACATTTCATACTAAACCTTTCCCATTGCTCATACAACTTACGTACCTACTTTCATATATAAAGATACATTAAACAAAATCTTTTAACCTCCGTCAACAAGATCAAGATCTGCCTAAAGACGATTCACACATAAAGAGTAATCTAACTTGAAAAATAGCTATAGAAAATTAATTATATTAATAAGAATCCCTTCAAAACTCGTACGTGCTTTATAAAATAACACTCTTAGAACATAGAAACCATTTTAAGTAAACCAACACAGCGGAACCGTGATATTGCTTAAGCGCTAGTTATCAATAATTATCTACTTAGATTTACTGTTATCAAGGATACTCGCCCACTCACTCTATAAATAATTCATTTTCAGGGTTCCGTATATCAAAACTATGAATTATAATGTTTATCATCTTTATATTCTTGCTACACATGGCTTTAAATGACTTAGCTCGGGTATGACAATCTAGAGTTGTTTATTTGTAGCGCTGGAACCTTTTATAGCTCCTCTAGAGTCATTACAATGTTAGTAGGTATATTAAATAAAATTAAAGATTAATTACATAGTTCTTAAATAAAATAATTTCTTGAAATATCATCTTCAATCACTTTAGTATGGAAATGTGTACCTACGTATATATAAATATATTGAAACATGATTTCCATTAAAATTAAAAAAGTCAAATGTTCGAAAGCCTCGTTTTTTTCAAACAAATTTATTATACTAGCTTTCCGCCAACAGCTTCCCCCGCGTGGAGTTCGGTTATATCGCGTTTCCAAAAGAACCTTTCAAAAGTCTTTGATAAAAACTATCCTATGTTCTTTTTCAAGGTCAGTTCTATCTCTGTACCAAATTTCATTAAAATCAGTTCAGTGGTTTAGGCGTGAAAGCCTAACATACAGACAGACAGAGTTACTTTCGCATTTATAACATTAGTAGGGATTTATTTTAAAACGTCATTGATGGTACGCGTAAAAAATTGTTATCAAGAATCTTTTGTTTCAAAGACGACCAAATGTTGTCAAATAGTTCTTCAGACTAACAGTTTCGTTGTGAAGAAATATATTTATAATTTTTACCCCATTAAAATTTTATTATGTACTATATTTTTTCTATTTTCTATATAGATTAACATAAAAATATAGATATCTTTGTTTAATTATATACATGAGGATAAATACAGTCAATCATGTTAACATCCGGATTATACTCAGGGTCGGCACAAGTGAAGAACTGAAAAGAAGAACTTTTACCACGAAATATCATTATCTAAATAAACACATATAGTTATTTTCATATAGTCTTTCCCCGATATAGTTATATGAATGTAAACGAAATATATAATTTGACGCCGGAAAACCGACAAATATTTTTATTGAATCCGAAGTTAACTACATCACTATTTCATTGATTTTAAAATCCATATAACCCATGATAATAAAAACTTAAGCAATTCTCTCTAAATAAAACGCCATTATTGTAATAATACAAAAATATGTCCAAAATAATCTTACAATACATTTGACATAAATTAATGTCAAATTGAACATTAATTTATTAGTGACAATGTATAGCAAATCATTTTCGCCAACACTCACGACTTACGAACAATTAACATGGACAGAAACATTCATTCATAAATGTACAACCCTACTTTATAATCAATCATTACAACTTGGAACGTGAAACGTAATAAATACTAGTTTTACAAGCGTTCTAAACTGACTGACATATATATAACATAACATATATTTTTTGTATTACAAGTAAAAACTAAAAGTATCACGGTAACAATTATGCTTATTAAACATCATATGTCTTGGTTGCATATTTGTGTTATAGATAAAACAGTTCCACAGAAGTTTTTCTTAAGACTCACTTTAAAAATATATAGTTCACATTGCTTACTTTATGCCAGATATACAACCTTTTTCGTGTTAGAAACTCTCATATTAAATAACGAATATTTAATTACTTATAACATTTTAAGTCAGAAAATTAGAAATTTAAATAAAGAAATATTACCATTAATTACGTTTTAGTTTTCAATGATACAGAAAGATCATTATAATGATTAACTTCCGTAAACATTTTTTCAATCGTCGACAGATGGCGCCCACGTTTTTGCCTCGAAATTCCAAAAGATATTTTTTGCTATCGATTTGACATTTAGGATGAATATATGCAGTGCTGAACGTTGACAAAAACTTTAATATTGAAACATCTTGATCAGTATTCATTAATCTTTTGATAATTACATTCTGATGTAAAAATGATCTGTCTTTTAATCCCTCAGTATGTTTTATAGGTATAATAGTTTTCTCAGGAAAAAATGATAAAAATAGTCTAAACTAGCATTAAATTAGAAATATGTTTAATATACTTACCAAGCGACATTGGTCGAAAGGTTGAAAGGTCACACTTAACCATATTAAGCTTTAAGGACAGTTGTCAAAATGGCCGATTAGATCTTACTTTGTCAATTTTATGCAGTGTACTATGAAATATTAAAGAAAAGATACCAACCTTAGAAACATTAAAGATCCTTCAATTATTCAATACTTTTTGTAGCACTAAATATTAAATAAATCAAACATAGAAATAAAAAATGCCTCCAAATATGTAGGTAATTCTTAACAGATATTTATTATTAATATCCGTTTGAAATCAATCTGTCTAGACATCATACGAGTACCTGTAACGAACCCAACAACTTTGTCTTAATCTTATAAAATGACAAAGAGCAATAAACTTTTATAGTCCGAACCCAAAAAAGACAAAAAAAGTATTAAATGCGCTTATGTAGATAATCTAATCCGCGGCCATCTTGTTTTTAATTTTTAAGACTTAATCATAGTCAATATATTTAAGACTAATTGCTTTATAAAATCTCTTTATACTCTTAAAATTAAAAAAAGAAGAATTTTACGATGATTTTTTGGCCTTAATTTAGATTAGGTTCATCATATTCATCAATTGTATTCTGTCATGAACTGAGCTCGTGGTGAGTGTTCTGTAGAACTTGGTGTGGACAAGGCCGCGCCGGTCACTGACAGCAGCTGGCAAAAACCATTTCCGCTCCGGTTATTAAGGCTATGGCTTAATAATAATCATATAGATATTTTCTTCTTTATTCTATGAAAAGGGTCCAATAATTAATTAGTTAAATTTTATACACAAAGCATATCGCGTCAATAAGAGCATTTATCAGAAGACATTTTTGAAATGGATGAATGTATATCAAAAAGTAAAAATAGAATTTTTAAAATTGTTTGGTTTTTCTAAAGCCGCAAATAGTTCTAAGACCGGGTTACCCTAAATTTATTAAAATTTTGGCACAATGTCAATTTTTGTTAAATCGTAAATACATATTGAGTTCGAAATTAGTTCCTACAAGTATGTAAATATGAAGATCATATATTTAAATATAATATTTGAAACTGTGTTACAAATATTCTAAATACGATGCGTTAAACGTATTTGCTATACTCAATCACACAAAACTGTAAAACTAATTTGGATAAAATGTCGTATGAAATAAATAATTAACAAAAGTTCCAAATTATTATTTAAGAGCCAACTATGTACCAGGAAAATGAAAATTAATATATAATTATTTGAATTAAACTTAAATTTATAAGAATTTATATAAAATATATTTAAAATCTTTTGTTTTTCTATTTTCAGATATTGTCTTACACATTAGTGGCTTCCCAACCGGTGCCGATTGCTGACAACCATTATGTGAAACAGAATGTACCCCAACACGTACCCAATGCTCAAAGTATACCAAAGCAAGGAGATACTTTAAATGAAAACGACGAACAAATTATATCTGTAAGAATAACGTCGTCTGTAGCTGTTGGTAGAACAAAACCAAGACCGAGTATAGCAAATAATGAGAAGAGCAAAGATGTAATGAGTCAAGATACTCGTATTACTACCCCTGCAATTGAAGTAATCCAACCATTTGCTTCTACAACCGACATTGATGACGTCACCACAGCTCTCCCAACGACAATTTTAGAAGATCTCGAATCTGTCACAGATATACCGCCAAATTTAATCGGCGCCAACATAGAGTATATAAATCAGTTAAAAGCTAAAAAAGGAACAAGAGGTCTTAGTAATTATGAAAGACTCCATTCATTTACATCGAACGATGGATATCCAAGTAGTAATAAGACGAATGATTCGGTCGCTGAATCATCCATATTAGGACATGACGATGAGGTAGATGAAGTACCGATAGCAAGAAATGTGCCTTTGTCATATTACAAAAACAATATACAGGAACCAACACGAGCGAATACTAGATTGACAACTGTTAATTTTAATGTAGTACACGAAAACCAAAAGGTTCCCAAATATAACGACCGTTTACCTCCATACGTAAATCAAAATCAGAATGTTGGAGATCAGAAGTTTTATAATACACCCTCCCAAATATACAGCCAGCCGGCACAAGTATACAGCGAACCAGCTAAGTTTTATAGCGAACCGGCTAAAATATACAGTGAGCCAGCAAAGATATACAGCGAGCCGGCTAAAATATACGGCGAACCTTCGAAGATATACAGTGAGCCGGCTAAATTTTATAGCCAACCCGCGTCATTACATTTGTCTCCCGAGCCTGAACAGGAACGCCGGCCGTGGCAGCCACAGAAATTGAAATCAACCACAATTAGTACCACACAAGCTGCCTCAACTGGTCCATACCAACAGAACCCTCAAAGGAGCACTGATCACGAGCCTGAGAGGAATTATGAAGTGGATGAGAAGCTCAGTGTGATGACAGACGGCAGGAGTCACGGCGAACAGACAACTGATATAGATAATCCAGAGAATTGTAAGCAAGAAAATTGCAAAGTAGGTTACGTAGTAGAAGGCCGTCAGTTTAGGAAATATAGAGTGGAAGAAAGAACTCCTGATGGCTTCATAGTAGGGGAATACGGGGTTGTGAGGAATGAAGACGGGGCGCTGCGTGGTGTGAGGTACACAGCGGACAGCGACGCCAGCCCGCGCCTCATACACGACGCCCTCATGAAGTTCCTACAACTGAAATAACCAAGACGTTGAATACAGCGCCCGAGTCATATACGATTGCTCATTTTATTTATGTTAAAATTATTTTTAATTGCTTTTTTTTATTTATCACTCATTTATCGTGAAACTTTGTTTAATGAATTTTGTCTGTTAAAAAAAATATGGTCAATGTTGACGTGAAAATTCTTTACATTTTCGTCACTATATAAAGATTATGATTGTTTCAAACAAATAAATTACTTAATAGCGCTTTCCACGTAGTAAATAACTTTGCTCATCATAAAATACGGTGCCATGCTTTATTGTGATAAGGCACACCACGTTATATGTAATAGTATATTATAAGCAATTGTGAATTATTAAAAATCTATGAAGACATATGTTTTTATTAATAAACACGTGCCTTTATTCATAAACTAATATTTTTGTTTATATTTCAAATGACGTTGAAATATATACTAAAAATTATCCAATGTTTTTTTAATAAAACAGCCAATGGAATCCAGAAAACAAACCTCTTTATTCAATATATAACATGCAAGCGTTCGCAACGCTCAATATGTATTCCACACAACAGATAACGTAAAAAATTTACTCATCTAACGAACTTGTATGCATTATCTATTTGAGCTCCAACAATTTTAACATTTCTTTTCAAATATTCAGTTTAAAAAATATCTGTATATTTTACTAAATGACAATTGGTAGCATTAATTTTAAAATTCATTAAATAAAAATCAAAAGCATATAGAAGTATGTAGATCAGGAAAATTAATTGCGTAGCTTGGAATGCATCCTGTAACAATTATTTGTGACTTTGACAGTTTAATGACATTTATTTTTTTTAATTTTCATTTTCATGCACAAATTATTCTGCTCACTATTATTCTTCCTTAAAACCTCTTTTATTTATATTTTATTTATAAATGCAAGCAAAAAACATCAGCATTATATTACAGCGAGATAAAAGTAGTGAAGATTACAGTAATACAGCACAAACTCTACAAGCATTCAACATTTTAATAATTTAATACCTATGAGCTATATTAATACTATATTAATATTGGTGCCACAAAGATAGGTCACGATGTAACTTCTTAATTAACTTATACAAAGATTACAATCCATTAATTATATCAACTCCTTATATATAACATACTAATAAATATTTAATTTCTAAACAGCATATAATTAACATCCAATTTTATATATTGAAACATTAACTTTCATGATAATTTTTAGCAACATTAAAATCATTTGTGTTAACAAACTGCGTTACTATGAGTTTTGTAGTTAACGGGAAACGTAATAGATTTCGTTTTTTGTTTTTAAGTAGTGACTGAACACGAAAAGTTTGATAGTTAACTACAACACTCATAGTAAGGATATACGTGTTTGCATTGTCGACTTAAACATCGACGAATTTCAACGCTTTCTATTTATAAATATTCGACTATTTAAGGAGATTTACGAATAATGATTATTGAAACCGTCGGTATGTAGGTAAACGATGAAAAATCGTATTAAATGTAATGAATCACTCGTGGAAGCACGTAAGACACAGGCGACATCTACACCGGCCTTACAACGATTTCGATGTTTCTCTTATTATCCGATTAAATATTTATCTAAATTTCCTAAAACATCTCTAACATTCAACAAGATGTCTCACGAAATATTGTTATCATTCATAAGCAAAATTTAAACATTACATTCCAAATTTAAATTTTAAAAGTTTAAATTTCGAATAAATCTGTCATATAATTTGTCATTAATATTCTCGATCAACAAAACACGTGGTCCTTTATAAGCATTACTCTAAAAAATGTCATTTTGTTAACACATTCAAATTTCAAATTTCGAACACATTTTATAACTGGCTTGTAATACAATTCAATTTAAGAACAAATTAAATAACCTTGTGATTGGTCACAGGACACTTTAGAAAGCACATTAATTAAGGGTCAGTTTTCATTAACATTTAATATAATGAACGAATGGAATGTTTGTTTCTGACCTTACATTTAAATAATTATTATTAGGCTGATAGATTTAAATGATATGTATAAATTATAGTAATTATTTATATCTATTTTAAAAGATTTATTTTATGACTGACACTGGTTAATAGATTTTTTTTTGCTTTCAAAAATAATAAATGTACAAATAGATTACTATTTGTATATATAATATTGAATACTTCTATCTACTTGACTCCGTTGCAACGGTGAGTGTTAACCAAAACAATATAATCAAGTAAAAAGTTAAGGATTTACTCTAAAAATTTAATACGGATTTCATATAAAATGGTTAAAAATATGAACAAATATCAAAAACACTATCAAATCACAAACTGTGATAAAAAAAATATATAAAATAATCAAACTAAAAGCGAGGTGCAAAAAATCACATACAAAATTGGCAGTGACGCATCCATCGATGGTCCCTTTAAGGAACTGAATAAAAAACAAAATAAATTAATAGTGAAGCGATCAAGCTTCGGTTTTATCGATTTTTGAATCGATGTTATCGATTATTGAATCGATTTAATCGTAAGTTTCCGATTCTTGCTGCACTAGCTTGAACCGCCGAGGACTCTTGACAGCCACTGATCCGTGGCCGTCCAATGAGAGACGTCCTTTTATTTGTAAATACCTTTAATAAATATACATATATTAATTATTATATATTATTAATATATTACATAGGTATGTATGTAATTAATTTTACCTTTTCATATAACGGCATACAAGTTTTGTTGGACGTTGTTGCCACTCGTCCAGAACCTCTTTGGGCGCTAGAACCTGAAAAATATTATACAGGAGATTATTTTAAAGTGGTTTTTTTATTTCATTATGGCAACGGAACAGAAATCTCTTGCTAGTTACGTATTTTTTATATTTCGAACCCAGGAATCCATATCATTTAGGAATTTTTCAACGTTTATAGTAAAAATAATAGTCTTAATATATATAGGAGTAATCTATAATCTCCCCGACTTTGAGGTAAATCTGTGCGTGTAACAAATTTTTCTTAAAAATAGACCAAGAGCTCATTATTAACTCCAAAGACACATCTGAACCTTTGAACGAAAGGTCTTCATCTAAATCATTAAATCCTAACATAGTCTAAGAGTTCACAGTATTGTTACAGTATGTTCAAGTAAGTTATAGTCTAAGAGCTCACATTATTGATACAGTATGTTCGTGTAAGTTATAGTCTAAGAGACATTATTGATACAGTATATTCATGAAAATTATAGTCTAAGAGCTCACCTGGTCCCCCTTAAGCCTATCTAGTAGCGTGACGCAAACAACGGCCGCCTTAATTCCAGCGTGATGTGTAAGAGCAGCGAAGGCCAATGACTCCATCTCTATATTAACGACGCCGAATTTGTGGATACTCTCGAGATATTCCATCTTATCAGTCTCCGTGAAATCACAGAATGCACCGTCCAGACGACCTTGACCTACGAATACATTAGAAAACATAAATTATAGAGTTCTCATTTAAATGGTGAGTCAGTTCCATGAGACTTATAGAACCTTATACAAACGGTATATTTCCATTAATAAATTCTATTTTATTTAAATATTAATATAGTCTGCATTCTTGGTACTCACTTCCTATATAAAGGTCTAGTTTCTTCTCGAGAAAGAAATACCATAATAAGTGCAAATTAGTAGTACGTAGAGAAAAATGGCGGTATTGGAACAAAAAAATTTTTTTTTTTCATCGAAAGATTTATATGGAGTATTGAATAGAAATGGATTATGATAACCTTCTATATACTACTTTTTGCCCGAGACTTCGTTTGCGTTAGTTTCAGAATTAGAAATGTATAGCTGATCGCGTGAACTCTGTTCCTCATTAAAGACCTAGTACCTATTAGTACATTTTAGGTTTTATCCATTTATTTTTTTATTTTCGATCGGATGAAAAGTATCATATGTCCTTTTCCTGATCCTATCTTTCCACCAATTTACAGCAAACCCGTACGTAAATAAATTGTGTATAAACTAACACGACTGTCTTTAATATATATAGTCTTAGTTATATTTATATATCTTCAACCTGGCAATGTCCCAGCTTTAGCCAAGGTCTGCCTTACATGTCGTGAATAGTTTTATCTAATTGTTTTTATGACCGGCCGCCTACCTGACATCAACCCTCTTTGGGAATCAGCATTGATGTCTAAATAATCTTAAAAAGTACATATGACTCGGAAAAACACATTGGTACTTGCCAGGGCCAGAATCGAACCCGCGCCCTCGTCCATGAGAGGCGGGTCTTTTAACCACTAGGCCACCTCTGACTGTATGTATATGTATGTTATATATGTATATATAACTAAGACTTTATTCCAATATAAGTCTAATATAATTGTTACCTTCATAAAAGTCGTAGGTGCACATAGTTTTGCCCATGACCGTGTCGTAAGGGTCCTCAGGGTCTGATAGAGCCTTCAGTTCACGCGCCAGCCTCCTGTCCAACTTGGCCGGACGTTGGACTGACTTGCCCAAAACTGTCTGTTGATAATACGGTGATAATTATTACACTATAATATATAAATTAATAAGGTGATAATTGTTATACTAAAACTAAGATGATAGCGAATAAAGGGTGTTCTTTTTACGATACGGTATACACATAATTTACTAGCTTTTGCCGCGACTACGTCCGCGTGGAATAGTGACTTCCGGCAGATTTTTGGTTCTTCCCACATAGTTCCCGTTCTTGCGGGGTTTTCGGAATGGTCGAGTTCCCGTAGAATTTTCAGGATAAAACCTGTTTTTTTTTAATTCACAATGAACTCTTAACCAACAACATATTTATTTGTTTATTTGAATAAGGATTTATATTATTATGTTGATACAACTTAAACAAATTATTTCGACCAAATTAAGTACCATAAAAACGGTTTTTGTGAGTTAATCTTAAAAGATAGACATATACTGTCGCGGACTGTTTTTTAGATCATTAAAAGAGCCATTATTCTTTAATACATATTTTTTTGTGTATCTTGAACCGTTTTCACGGCGCACGCAACGGAAGGCTTCAAAGATGAAATAATTTCTCCCGTTTTTTACACATATACCACTATATCTTTGCTCCTATTGGTCGTAGCGTGATGTTATATATCCCACAGCCTTCCTAGATAACTGAACTATCCAATACAAAAAGAATTATTCAATTCGAACCAGTAGTTTCGGAGATTAGCGCTTTCAAACAAACAAACAAACAAGCTCTTCAGCTTTATAATATTAGTATAAATTTCAAAATATATTCAGATTTGACGATTTAAAAATCTTTTTAAATAACTTTTTTTTGAGCCTTGAAAATTTACTGAGTTTTAAATTTAAACTGTTCTTTTTTTTTGATAAAATCACGTGTATACAATATTTACCTCCTCTCTAAAGGAACCGTGATTATTTTTCGTCCATTTATTACAAACCACAATTTAGTTTGTAATACAAAACCATAAATTAAAGAATCTTTTTAATTTATTATAAAATAAATTTCATTTACGAGAATAATTTCATACAAATATAGTTATAAAACTGGGTTAAATCATAAATGCAATTCATATTTTCTATGAATACAAAAAGAGATCACGAGCAGACTATTTGCTTGGAAAACGAGAGATGAGAGAATTTCAAAGGAATTCAAAAGCTGCGACCACATTTAAAAGAACCAGCATTTTAACTTGGAAAATACGAATAATAGAAATAGAATGCCACTGGCATTACATAAGGACTGTAAATACTAGTCTTATAATGAGATCTAAGACTATCGCGAGTATTCATTTATATGAAACTAATATTTTACGATTACTACTCGTATTTTATTATTGTAATAACTTTAAGACGAGATACGTCTGTCCTTAATCACGGTTGCTGAAAAGTAACCGAAACCTCGGGAGTATGTAGTTTCTACAATAATAAAATTCGAAAAATATTAAGTTTCATTTAAAGACGAGTCTCTTATAGGATATAACGTGGTTCAGCAAATTTTGAAAACACGATATGAAGAAAATTAAATTCTGCATGTCTTAAAAGTAATTACATTTTATTTTATTTCAAGGCAAATACTGAACACATAGTTTTGTTGGCAAACTTCTTCTTCTAAAAGATAGAAAACTCTATATAAATTAATACGTGATTTTAAATAAGCACATTACGCTATTTGGTACTTTGAGCAAAAATACAGTTTTAAAACCCCAATACGAGATCAGTATGCTTTATTAGTATTATTAAGCACTAGCTTTCCGCCCGCAGCTTCGCCCGCGTGGAGTTCGGTTATATCGCGTTTCCAAGATAAACTTTCAAAATTTCTTTCTCAAGGTCAACTGTATGTCTGTACCAAATTTCATTAAAATCAGTTCAGTGGTTTAGGCGTGAAAGCGTAACAGACAGACAGACAGAGTTACTTTCGCATTTATAATATTAGTAGGTATAAGTACATTACATATAGCCATATTTTCATATACCACACATTTTTCAATCATACACACAGTAAATTTTTGTTAGAGAATAATCTTACCAATTCCAGAACATTCCTGAGAGCTCCATCAACAGTATCCTCTGAGATAATGACCGTCCCACCTTCATAACCCACGCCCCCGCAAGTACCGATGCGGAAGAACACAGGATCCCGTACTTTAGCGTGGTACATCAGCTTAATGACCTCGTGTAATAAGATACCCACTGACGGTATGCCCATACCGTGCTGCAAAATAATATATACATTAAAATTTATAGCCTACTAGCTGCGCCCCGCGGTGTTACCCGCGGATTTCCGGGAGGAAAAGTAGCCTATATCTTATTCCTGGACGTCAGGTTCCTATATACAAAATTTTATCAAGATCGTTTCAGCGGTTTGAGCATGAAGAAGTAACAAACATACACACACTCACAAACTTGCGCAATTATAATATTAGTAGGATACATTTTTACTATTAATTTTATCCTCGAGTATTAATAATATTTTTATCATAATTAGTGTGATGATGAAATTATAGAATATTGAGAAAATTAACCTATTAGCTGGCAATATTAAATGATACAATAACTAGTCATAATTTCGATATTGATATTAATGGAAGAAAAATAATTTATAAGTGCTGCCATCTTTAATGGACTTCACTCGATAAACAATATAAATCAATTATCTTTTAATAGAAGTCGTCTCAGTCATTTAGCATCGCGATATTCATCAACAATTGTATTGAACTAAATCGAAAAGCATCTACGTGCATTGCAAATGGCAGAATATTATATGATATTTATAGTCTGTGATCTATAGCCGATTTAAATTATAACGTTTATATAGTCTGTGGCAATAAAGTTTGTTCGAATTTATTTATTTTATTTATTTGAACGGCACATCGACAGTACATACATTAAGCACTTAAAACTAAACATTTAAAACTAAACACTAACTGATGTATGTACCAATTATGGATGTACACAGCACTGCTAAAAATTACTGTCTAGCTTACAAAAATATTATAAAAAAACAATTTAACAAAAGAAATAACAAAACTTTATAAACTAAATAACAAAACTATTACTCAAAAAATACAAATGAAGAAGAAAGAATATCAAAAAAAAATCAAAATAACAATCGAAATAAACCACTACAGCTAACCACCACCACTACTACTACTTATACTATCAGGACATGACAAAACATCATAGATTTTCCGCTTGAACATCGGCAAGGAGTCGGAAAAAACATCAATATATTGGGTTATTGAACACAGATCGTTATACTGGCAGCATATTCTGTTTATAGGGGAAAATTTAGCTACATTTGTGCGTGACTTAGCTATGTAGAACAATTTATTAATAGGTTTTCTAGGAGGGCGACATGGGACTGAGATCTTAATTTTCTGGAGAGCCTGTTCACATTGAACAGTGCCATTCATAATTTTAAATAATAAAACTAAATCGAGAAGTTTTCTACGATTTCGCAAAGTTTCCATTTTAAAAAAATTTAGGCGACTGTCGTATGGCGCTCTATGGGATATTCCGCTGCATTCAAAAGCTAGATGTCTAGTGAAAGCACGTTGAATCGATTCAACTCTTTGTGAATTAACAGCGTATATAGGGTTCCAGATCTGAGACGCGAACTCTAAAATTGTCCTAACAAGAGCATTGTACAGGTATAGCTTTGTTTCAATCGTAAATCCCTTTGTATTTCTCTTAATGAATCCAATCATTTGAGCTCCCTTGGCATTTATCATGTTAATGTGGGGCACAAAAGTTAATTTTTTATCAATGATAACGCCTAAATCTTTAACCTCGGCTACTTGTTTAATTGATTGCCCACAAATTGTGTATGAAGAAGTAGTAGGGAGTTTTTGTTTTGAGAATTTTATATGAAAACATTTTGTTGGATTGAGTAGCATATTGTTATTATCACACCATTGCTGAATTCCAAGTAGATCACTTTGAAGTTGTGTGCTGTCAACAGATGATTTTATAGTTTTATATACTTTAAGGTCATCAGCAAATAGAGCAAAACGGCAATTATGTATGAAATATTTTATATCATCTATGTAAATTAGAAACAGCAATGGGCCTAGGTGTGATCCTTGGGGGACCCCAGTTTTTGCATAGTATGTAATAGATTCATAACCCTGTGCAGCAACCACTTGCGGGCGATTTAAAAGATATGATCGGAACCATTCCAAGAGTAAAGTGCCAAAGCCAATAGATTCTAACTTTTTCAGCAATGTAGGATGATGTACTTTATCAAAAGCGTGACTAAAATCGGTGTATATGGCATCCACCTGATGCCCACCATCCACTTCTTGTGCTATATCACTGACAAAACATAAGAGATTTGTTTGAACAGAATATCCTTTTCTAAAACCGTGCTGAAAAGGTGTTAAAAATTTGTAAACAAAACAGGATAATCTGGAATATATAAGCTTTTCAAAAATTTTAGAGAAGCTGGATAATATGGAAATTGGTCTGTAGTTTATGATGTTATCGGGTGCACCCTTTTTAAAAATAGGTATGATTCTAGCTTTTTTCCACAATTCAGGAAATATGCCGTCTGCCAAAGATCTATTAATAATTTTAGTAAGGGGCAATGATAATTGTGTTGCACATTTTTTAATGAAATAAGGAGAAATATTATCAGGGCCAGGTCCTTTTTTACTGTCTATGTCCCGCAATACCTTGCAGACTTCCACTTTATTAAATTTTAATTCACATATTTGTTCGTGATTACTAGCCGCACAATTTTGATTATTAATTATATTATCAGAATACACAGATGAGAAGTGATGCGCAAAAAGATTAGCAATTTCTGAACCAGCTTTCGCAGTAACGTCATTTAAATGCATAATTGCCGGCAATGATGATGAATTTGAACGTTTGTTTTTAAAGAAACGCCAAAATGTTTTACCATCTCTAGTAAGAATTCGAATACTATTAAAATTTTATAGTAAAATTAATCTTTATTGATATTTGTAAACTTGTAATAAATATTTTCGTAGGCGCTTTTTTTACTTTAGACAAATCAAATTTCAAATCAAATGTATAACAGCATTATATACTTTATCGATTCCATAATTCCATTTAATTTTACAGAAAAAAATTTTAGAACATTCCAGAAAGTAATTAGGATGTATTCCCAGCAAAAGTAATTGCTTCTACCATGATACTGTTCACCATCTAAATTACATTCTACTTACTATCTAATTCTCATACAAATAAGACTGTTGTAGTAAATCGAAAATCACTCACACTGATACATAGTACGGGGCCAACTTTGTACATGGAGTATCTGTATGAGAACTGGCTTATATCCTGTAATGTTGTTCCACAGGGTAGCTTGTGACCTATTTCAGCCATCACGGTGTACGCGAACTGTTCCATGCGCTTCGGAGTACCGCCCATACAGACGAACTGATACAAGGGAGAAAAAAATCAAGTTATTAATACCTATATGTCCTACTAGCCTTCGCCAGCGTGGAGTTCGGTTATATCGCATTTCCAAGAGAACCTTTCAAGTCTGGGATAAAAACTATCCTGTTCTTTCTCAAGGTCAACTCTATGTCTGTACGAAATTCATTAAAATCAGTTCAGTTGTTTAGGCGTGAAAGCGTAACAGACAGACAGACAGAGTTACTTTCGCATTTATAATATTAGTAGGGATAAGTTGATTGGTAGTGATGTCACACTCATATATGTGGATATTAGTGTTTAAAAAAACTAAATGTCTTTGAACTCGTACAAATAAAGTACAATAAAATTTACGAGTACATCTTTGAAATCTCTTTAGAAATATTGGAGATTAAAAACTCTCGATAAAAATAATAATACTGGTAACAATACTTTAATACGAAAGCATTTTGTTTATTTAAAAATATTTTAAAAAACGAAAGATGAAAAGTTCAATTTTAAATCTTCATTCGGATTGATATTATCTATATATATAAAAATGGATTGCTGTTCCTGAGTCTCGCTAAAACTCGAGAACAGCTGAACGGATTTATCTTATCTTAGTCTTGAAATGTTCGTGGAGGTTCAGGGAAGGTATAAAAGCTGAAAAAAATTGATTCATTACTGGGAAAATCATAAAAACAGCCCTTTTCTATTTCCCATACAAACGGTTTTTTTGACATTAGATTTGACAACTAACTAATATGTCAATCATTCTGTCGCACTTCAGAACACGGAGATTTATGGCTTAAAGGTAAACTCCAAAAAAATAAATAAAAAAACGTAATAGATATTTCTTGATTATATGGCGATAAGTAGTTCGCCAGGTCTTCTAGTTATAAATATAAAAACTCCACGGATAGTTATTATTGAACATTCACAATAAGAACACAAAACATAATATACGGCTTTCGTCTTTTTATTCGAGACTCCAATAATCAAGATTCTAGAGCGTAAATGTTAACGCGTTCAACTTTTTGCATTACAACTTGTAATATTAAAACGGAGTTGGGTTTTATGAATACTTAATACAGTATCTTAACAAAATAAGTTTTTTGAAAAAGTTTTAAACAACATAAATTTAATGTCAGCGGCTGTAAGGTGAAAATCTTTACTTGTGCTTGTAGCAACTACTTTAATATAAAAAATATATAAACTTTTTGGAAACAAATACACATACTGGCAGCGTAATTTCAGATGACGTATAATGATAAAAAGAAAACAATTTTTCATAGAATTATATAAAAGTCTAAAGTTGTCATTGTATGCCGAAATTGTAAAAATAAAAAATTGTAAAACATATATATGTTATAATTGTAAAACATATATATATATATATATACAGGGTGACTGGTGAATTACTATCGATATTTGAGGACGTGGTAGTTGACGATCATATATGACAAAATAAAAATTAATATAACATAAATATTAATAAACTTCTAAGTAAAGTTAACCAAAAGTTATGTAATATATATATATATATATATATATATATATTCGTTAGTGGTATATATGTACATAACTAAAATCGATACGTCAAAAATTATTGTGACATTGACAATTAAGAATGAATGAAATACCTTAACATCTCCGAACATTTCAACGAGATCGTGAGATCCGCTGCCAAGTGCTAAATGATAAAGAATATCTTGGTCCATGAGTTCGATGTTTGGATTCCGTAGACGCACCGTGCCATCAGGATACCTATATATAATAAAATATATCAAAAACACTATTTACGTTATTAGGAAAACGTTTTAGGTTGTGAAATTAAATATCGATGTTGATGATATATTTATTAGTTTATCACGTTAGAATTATACAATTTGACAGGAAAAAAGTATTCAAACATATATATTTTTAATAAACATAATATCAAAATAATGTTGAAGAGTAACCAATTTTGTTAATTCATTAAAAACATTTCATTATCTATAATAATTTAACATATCGATAATTTATACGTAAACATACGAAAAAAATCTGTTTATGTAATTTATGTGATAAAAAAAATACAATAATAAATCCTCCATTAAATCATAATATTAACAAACTTGTGACGTACACGCAACGTATTAAAAAATAAATGAACATCGCCGGGGCAACATCGTTGTATTGATAAAATATCATATTACAAGTGACGCCGCTGGCTCCGCGAAACGAACACCAAGCCGTGTGAACCAGAAGATTCCTGATACCACACAAGCAATGAATGGAATTGCTATCCTAACATCGGGACAATCATATAGTCTTGTGTATAGATTATAAGTTTTAATACGTAATTCGTATAATATACATATAAATTTCGTAGTTTTCCTGGAACTTCTGCTTCAGCGAAATTCACCCAATATAATTACCTAGTATCTACGCCCATTTCGTCACATGTACCATTGTGTTTGGAATGTCCATTCGTTCCGTTGCTCTGAGGCATGATTGCAGAAGCTGTTGACATTTTAAAAAACACAACATAATAAAAAATTATTAAAAAATATATTAAAATAAATTTATTTCCATTAACAGCGATGGAAAAGACAGAAAATTGGCTTCTTTATTATCCTCTTTCCTTATATTTTTCGACACAATAATAATTCCCAAATTTGGAAGCGACTTCATAAGTAATATATTGTTTTGTCAGTGCATTTTATACTGTTAATTAATATTATTGCTTCATTAAATAAGTTCAATAACTTTGATTGTTGCGAATGTTAGCAAACTATTATTTCAAGGTTAAACGAAAGTAGTAGAACTCTTTAGAATGAACATTACTATATACGATTACATATTGTATGAAAACAATAAATTAGTAATTTAATATATAAATTTAATATCATACTCTCATAATACAACAAAAAAATTTGCAATACTCATCTCAGAATATTGTATGTATGACGAAATTGAATATATTATTGCGGTTTATATGTAACAGATTTTTATAATAATAAATGAAAAAATGTAAGTAAAGTATTAAGAAAGTATATATACTCACGTATTGATACTATTTCACTTATAAATTAATAAATCACTCACTTATAAACAAATAACTCGCGGCAATGTACGTACACGGCTTCGCAATGGCGAATACTGTTTGCAACAAACGTTCAGTAACACTGACGCTTACAGCAAAATAAACATGCGGTGACAACAAACGTCACGCGATGATGTTTCACGAACACTATACATTACTGGTTACATATAATTAAGACGCATTTATTATAAATCCACGCGTCAATGTAAAGCATAATTAACGCATACATTTATAAACAAAATATTTTTGATGTTAATAGTGACGTAATAATTACTAATATCAGAATGACGTGATTTATACAAACAAATATATCGAATATTGCTTCTGTTATATATATTTTAGTACTATTAAAAAAAAGGTTAATTAAAATCGACCTTCCGTCATGTAGTAAAGGGTTAGCTCGTAATTAATCACTTGCCTCTTTACCATAATCTATGACGAGGCTCATGTCATGCAAAATGTAAGATGTAAGAAAGCCAAAATTAACAGGCGCGTATATTTATATAATTTTTAAGTCATTGAAATAAAATGTGAAAATTTCCAATAGACATTCTGATTGGATTTGATTTGGTTTTGATATCTATACTTGCTTAAGCAGAAGCTTTCACGCAATTTCAATATCGTCTCATATCGGAACTACAAAAAAGCAATTCATATTGCTACATCATTCTTTTATAAATTATCTTTGTAATTAAATGTTTGAATTGTGTTTGATTTTTTACATATAAGCAGTTCTGTAATCTAATCTTATTGTTAATATAAAGCTAGTAATGGTTATCACAACAGCAAAGTAACTATTTAGATCAATATATAGATAAAAATAAATCATAAAAGTTATCGACTATATCTATATTCAAGAGGTTAGCCACATCTCTATAGCCTAGTAACTGAATAATTGGCAGTTTAACGCTATAATAATAATTATTATTTTTAATTAGTGTACAATTATACTACGAGAAAAAAGAGTTCATAATACGTTTGTATTTTTTTTACATTAATATTAAAAATATGTTGTTTCGTGTTTTCTAGTATGTCAAATATGTATAGAATTCATAAACAGCGCTCTACCTTGCAATCAAAATTCAAAACGACGAATATTCAAGTAAAAAAATAAGAGTGTGATGACATAATTCTTTGACATAGCAAATTTTGTATTTAAGCATACAAAACTATTGTGCTCTTACTTTACCAATTTAAGAATATAAAAGTATTAAATTAAATTGTTACCTGTGCAATACAAAAAAAATTATTACGTATCTAAAAAAACGTGAAATAATTCAATTGTTTTTGCTTTATGTGGTTTTAAAACACAAAGTAATAACAGATATCAATATACATAAAACAATTATGAAGTATAATAGTTTTAATGTATTTTAAAACATAAAAACTCTTTGGATAATATTTTTAAACGTTTCTAAATGCATAGTTATTCTTGTTCCATATTTAAAATACGCCTACATCTAAACTAGGTTACTGGTTACGGGAGGTCGAGTCAAGTTCACCTACATTTCAATAAACTGTAGCTTCGCTGTTATTGTTTACTGAAGCAACAATGGCTATTATTAAAACTATTATATCATATAAAATCTATGATATGTAACTATTAAGCAACCTTGATTATACTATAGTTGTGTATCTTGTCAATATCATGAAAATTGAAATCATGTATTGTTCTATAGTTTGAAAAAGGAATTTCATTCAAATATGAATATTTGTCCAATGAATTAGATACGTAGTTATACAAAAAACACGAAGCTTTTTTTTTAAGACCAAAGAGGTTCCTATCCGAATATAAATATACGCTACAAGTAAAATATCTACAATAAGAGTATATAAAGTATTATATATGTATTATATATGTATACTTACTCATCACGGAGCTCATCTGTGTCGAAGGACATGTTCATTGGCACTTTTATTATTAAATATAACCTGAAATTTATTTAAGGCGGATCGATTGAATGCAGCAAGCCTAGTAAATGCTGCGCGTCTGAAACCGAGTCGACACTTCCGACAGCGAATGGGCGCGGATGCGTGAAGAAGGCTTGCGCAGTAGATCACAGTGTTACATAAGTTTGTTTTTTTTTAAATAAAATAATCCAAACATCACTGACAGTTCACAAAAGTTCATAAAAAATAAATGTGAATGATAAAATACTGAACGCGTTTAATAAAGCTATGAAATTACAAATACGGTTATCTTTACGTTATCTCTATTAATCGTTATTCAGTATTCGATATTGACAAGCATGTCGCTACGCTATTTTTATAAAAATATTTTTGAGTTATCATAATAAGAAATAGTAACCAATAAGACCTATTATTTAAATTCAAGAAAACAATTTTTCTGTAATTTATTTAAAAAGTATTTTATATATGTATACATATTTAAAAATATTAGTTTTCTTTACAATTTTAGGTGAAAATGAATAAAAAATTTTTGCATTAACCATTGCCATTGTAATGCTTTAGAAAAAAAAGAACATGACATTTGACATATAAACTCTAATTTTGACTTCAATTGCACAATCCAATCGTTTTGAACGTGTAAATCAAACAAACGGAAATTAACTGTGCATGCTCGCTAATTACAGAGACTTCACTCATGATTGAAGTTGCAAAACACTTCTAACTACATATATGTATACGTGTGTCTACAGCTATAAATATGTATGTGTGTGTATTATGCGATATTTGTATGTGTGCGTATGTTGATATAAATACTTTTTACATTTGCCATTTTCATCTTTGACATAAGTTTTAAACTTGTTTCGATATTAAAATTTCGATAATATATTATGTGCATGTGACTTAGAAAGAAAAAAATTCACAGAGGTTTAATTTAATTAAATAAAAAAATCATAAATGCTCAACACACTTTAATCGAACAAGAAATTACACTGATATATGATAATACTAATAAGTATTGTATAAACATCATTAAAATTATATCAGAAAATTAAATACAAAAAAAATTTATTGTAATTCTACTACATTTATATATAAAAAATGATACGAAAGACAAGCGACCAATTAAAAAAATATTTCACTTATATTAAAACACAATGAAAGTTTAGAATGGCAACACCTTAAAACACATCAAATACAATCATATGCAGGATAGGAGTATTAATAAATTCATTATTTTATTGACTAGTACACAATATAACTTAATATTGAGAAATTAAGAACACGCGGTGTTTGAAGATACTAAAACTGTTGAAATTTAAACTAAACTAAACGGTACGCTGACGAAACACTGGCAATACAATAAAATGTATTTAAAAAAATATTTAAGCATCATTTCCCTATTTTCTTGTTAAAATGAATTAATTTATAAAACGTAGTTATCGACATAAGCCAAATTAATAACAAGACGAAAATCAAAATCAGCATATGATTTGAAAAATGGAAGAATATGATATAATAAATTTTAGAAAGTTATTTAAAAAATATATTTTTGTCTTTTTGGGCGTAAAACTACACTAAGGTTTTAACATTAAAGAGAACTCACATTTTTCATATAATCCGTGAGCAAATTACATCAACACACATACAATCATTCCAATATTATATACTACCTATTTACGGATTTATACATTGGCGGTCGCCATTTAATTTCCTAAACAAACAAATCGATTTTTATGTATCAATCGATTTCAAAAAATCGATTTACCTTCAAACACTGGCTGATATATTCATAAATAAAAAAAAAAGATAATAGCAATAATTAGCGGAAGATTTGACATTATAATGTAACATGTGTATAAATTTTTAATATAAATGATTTTTCATAATAAGAATAAGATGTTTTTTTTATTCTAAAATTTTTAATTCTATTTCACAAGGTTAGAACTGTTAAAGATTAGTACCGACTAGTGAACAAGACTATTGAGCTGGCATAAAAATTCATAATTAGAACTAAGAACATATTACTTTCTAAAAAATACATACGTCCTTCACGTAACGCGAGCTAAAAAAATCAAGAACGGAATTCAGGCGAGGTCACTCATAGTTTGGAAACAATGCTAACTAAAGTGAAAGTAATGTAAAGCTATCACTTAATATATCACCATTCTATTATTTAAATTCTAACAAATTGGCCTACAAGGAAAACAGTCTAAAATGAAACTAGCGTGTTTTTAATACAAGTAGTTTTTTCTTGGGAATACGGCATGGGGTTCCTTGTAATTGGGGTCCGGTTGGTTGCGGTAACGACGGGCGAGCCATACTGCGAAAAGCTGGAAACGTTCAGAAAAATATATCATTAATATATCAATTTTTATTTGGTTTTTGAACGCTGCTAGAGAAAAATAACTCGAAAAATCAATAAATATTCTAACAATTACAAAGAAGCTGAAAAAAATTACTGTAACGTAATGGCATTAAAAATGAATAGAAGATATACCTAACAAAAAAACTTTAAAACATACCTACTATTCTCTAGACATACTTACTACGATTTTAAAAAGAAAACAATCATAAAAATGCTAAACAAAATTCAATACAACATGCCATTGCATGCAATTTAGATAAATTAAAAAAAAAGCAAAACGTCAAAAATAGTGCGTGCAAAATCAGTAGCAGGGCGTCACGACCTCGTTTTATCTATATGACGCAAAACCGATAAAAGTTTACATAAATAAATAAATATGAAGTGATATACAACATTTTTAATGAGCTATGATATGTATAATTAAATCTGATTAGTTACAAATAAAATTTCACTACAATTATTTCGAAAATTATAAGTAATGTAATTCTATATGTATAACGACCAAATAAATATCGTGATTGAAATTAAATACACCAATTAATGTTTGATTGCAAAGAGATAATAAAAATTAATAATATATTGGTGCTTTATCGTGCATAACAACATGCAATCATGCAATCATGCAAGCATGCATAGCTATACACCAAACCACCTTATCATTCAGAGAAATGCACTTGGGTTAGCCCGAGGATCCTTCTGATTACGATATCTCACTGTCAACCACACACCAAGAAACTGGAAGGTAATTTGTTAGTCACCGCACCATGTTAGTGTTAAAATCTGGTTAAATAATTACAAACATACATAGTAACACCAATTAGTACAGATAATTTACAATCATATTGTTATGCACTCTAGAAATAGATATTGAAAAGAATATTATTGGCTACCTATGTATTTTAGAGAAATCAGAAAGATATATTTGCCATACAATAGTTTTATATAAATTGTTCTAGAAATTTAATGATGATAATTGATAAGCTGTCTCAGTATGTTTGTTGTATTTGTTTGTTAAACAAATATTGTTATGTCAACTTCGAGGTACATGAGATAAGAAACTCACCTCCGTGAAACTAAAGAACAATCCAATACCACCGCACAGCTTGAATGCATAATCAATAGTTTCTTTTAATTTCTCCATACAAGGCTGACATTGGCAGTCATCTTTTATTGTCAAGCTGTTACAACATAATTGCTGAAAACAACATAAAATATTTAATATATAAACAATTAATTTAATATGAGGTCATTAGAATGGTATTTAAAACATATAACGAAAAAATCATTTAAATGAATCACATCTCATCTGCCCGTAATCATGGTTGCTATAAAGTAGCCGAAATGTCAGGAGTATGTACTTTTTTACAAAAAGAAATTAGTTTGCGTAGTATAATCTGAAAAATATTAGTTTCATTTAAATGAATAAAACTCGCGAAAATCTTAGATCTCATTACAGAATTCACATTTGTCAAAGAACAGAATAATTTACTAACATCAGCGAGAACACATGATGGATGGTCACTGGTAGTGTTTGGCTTGAAGTCTCGGCTTTGGAAGCCGCAGCATTGAAATCTTTCTTGAACCTGGCCTCGGACATCCATATCCACTTGATTCCAACCCTAAACAAGATAAAACCAAGTAGCTATATCCTGAATATTAAAAATGTACACATTCACAAAGAAAAATAAACCTATAATTAGTTTCAACATGGAAAAAATGTATTTATATATATCTATTGGTATTGTCTTTCTTCATTGTCATCAGTGAAATTGAATGAGAAAGGTTACAAAGGTATATTAATAGAACAATAGATAGCATTTTAAAGAGTTAAAATAATATCTAATGAGGCTTCACTTAAAAGAGTGAATGTATGGACTGGATAATAATTAGAACATCCATTGACACACTTTGACATAAAAAGTACTGAATAGATTTAAAATAAATGTAAAACAATATCATTTATATATCAGATTGAAATATAGACTAAATAACAATTTACATAAACTTATTAGTATCATTTTGGCCTGTAGTAGAAGCTAGAAAAAATGTTAACCACACATCAAATATATTAAAAGTGAATGATATTGTAACAAAAATCATAAAAATAAGAGTTTATAAATTCACCTGTTGAGCTAACATCTCTTGCTGATCTGAATTAACGGCAAGACAAGCACACGCAATAGAAAACTGAACCAGGAACAGAAGAAATAGGATCACCATATACTGTATCATGGAATTAAGGAATTTCAACATCAGGAAACAGTTAAATCACAATGTATTCATGATTGGGTTACACAATAAAGATAATATAAATATATTCCTATTTAAATATTCTAATAATACCTTATTTGCACTCTCTTACATGGTCAGATACGTTATCTAGGAATTAGCAAACAGTAGTTCAAAGTGATATATTCATGTTTAATATAGTAACAACAGTATGAAAACCTTAATGATTTAGCTAACAAACAGAGCAAATAAGATGTTTTTGTATTTAAATTTCTCAAAGGATACAAAGAAGAGCATAACTTGATGATGTTTCATAGCTCCTGCCAGACCCAACAGGGATATCAGAATGAGGAAAACTCCACATGCTAGTATACCTCCTACAATAGGCAGGTTGGTAACCAGTGATGATGCCTGCCCATACACCGCCACTGATATCAGAATTGAAGCCACAGCCTACAAGAAATAATTACTAATAATCGTCTTTAGAGACGCAATACTTTAAAAATTCCACATAAACTCTACTTACAACATAAAGAATGTTGAGGGCGATTAAGGCATTTTTGGAACACGTAAATCCACCACACATCTTAAAAATGAATAACTGAACTAAATGCTATTATATTCTTGAATTTTAAAGTTCTTTTGAAACAAAGAAAAGGTAAAATTTCTTCTATTTAACACTTGTTTTTAGCTTCGACAGACATTGAGATATAAGTTATAACTATAATATGGAAAAACACTCGTAGCTTTTACTTTTCTTTCACAATATACCACTTTATGAACGAGCAACACAATGGATCAATTAGACTTTACACAACATTAGAATATCCGACGTACAAGTCTGAACTCAATGATTAAGATTTTACATTGAGAGATTTTTTATTGTACTTCGTAATGACAATAGCAGCTGTCAAATATACTGATGTAGATTACAAAAGTGTTTACCTCTACGATAAAGGATAAACGAAGTTTAGAAAAAACTTGATATTTGTGGATTTATAGGAAAGTATACTTACTAAATAAGAGACAATTAAAAGAAATCAATTAATAAAATATACGGTTTTAATCTTATTGTTTTGTCATGCCATATAATATATCGTTATTCTCTCTACCTTAATTGTTTTATTTCATCTTTGCTTTTTATTTCAAAATGGTGATATTTCAAAAATTTAATATGAAACACCCCTTCCACTCTCCTTAGTGATCTTTTATATATGTTTAATGAAATAATAGCAAATAGTCATATAACAATCAAATACTATCATGACACAATATATTTAATTTGATAGTGTGATTAATAAATGTCTGGCCTCCACAATCTACATTTTGCACTAAAGACTGATTATGTTTTTATGTATGTTTAAGGTACTTATGATAGTTTTTTCATTTTAATGACATAATATTTTAATAAAATTACAAATCTGAGGTCTAATATCTTCTTTTATTTTTTTTCTTTATTTATTTATTTATTACACCATGAACTCTAGGGTCCATGGCCTTTTTAGACTACAAAATTTAATTTTACAAAATATTTCTTAAAAATTTGATCTCAGTTATTTATAATAAATTTACATATTGTTGCAGCTTAGGGCTGCATTAGACATATTTATGTTGATTACAAAAATTAAATATTAAGGTGAATATTAGTTCTGTAAGGCTGAAGGTTCCGACGTTATATTCTTGATGGTATTGAAGTCCCTCGATTTGATTGCCATCTTGATGTTGTAATCCAGGATCTGTCGACTGGTTGCTGTTGTTGCTATAGTGACGATTTTTCCCAGTGCGCCTTGATGGTTATCTGAATAGTAAACAAAAGCCTTTGTGTGTCTGGACATAGCTACTACCGCGTGGGGCACGCTGTTATGCAGTGAGCAGTTGGTAGGGCTGCGTTTTATAACTACGACGATCTCGCTGGTTTGACCTTGTAACTCATGAATAGTCATGGTGCGGGATTCTTCTCCAGTTCCGTATCCTTCTTGCAGCAGTTCAGATTTCTCTTTCTGCGTGTAAGTTAGGTAGAGGGTCCTAGGTAGGTGTTTGGGTATTTTCGCACCAGTGTATTCCTTCAGCATAGCGGATTTTACTATCCCGTTGGAGGAGTAGATGCCGTCGTAGATATCTTTGAGCGCGAGGTCTTATATCACAAAATATTTTTTTTTAAATATAAGGCAAGCCTTTTTAATAGATATAAATCCAGCTTCAGTGTTGACAATTAAAACTAAGTGTCATATTTTCTTGTATTTTAATAAAAAACAAGGAGGAAAGGCCAAATAATCTGGCACCCTATTTATGCTATTTATGAATATTGCCAATTACTATCCATTTCAACTCTAATAATTATTGTGATAAATTATAATACAAACTTCCATTTTATTATTGTTCCAATAAATAAAAACTCAGAAACACAAAGTGTAAGCAAGATAAATATGTATTTCATTGATATCACTTTAATCAACTCTGGCTACACTTAATATTCAACTGTTTCTAAATATACAATTATAAATTTTCTTGAACACCCTCACTGAATTCTTCACTCTCATTTTGACCTGAGTTTTGAACTTCTTTTAACTTTTCTTCAAAAAACTGTTTCCTATGGACCAGAGCTAAATGTGGCTGGCGTATACCATAATTTTCATTACCGAGCTTAGTATATTTTCTTTCACCTTCCTTTCCCATTAACTCCCTTAATGCCTGGTTTCTTTGGAGCAGTTTTTCATAGAATATAACACCACTCTCTATAAAATCCACTCCCAATTCAGTCAGTTTCTTATCAGCTACTGTCTCGTAATGGACTTCTGTCATATCTTGACACAAAAAGTAGGTACCTACTCCAAAAAGACCTAGTAGGGTATACAAAACAATTCTTACATTAGCGTGTGCTGCATATAAGTTAAGTCTTCTGTTCAGATATTGGGCCATATTATAAACCAAGAAGATGCTAAGAAAGGGAAAAGTCGATTGGAATATTACTTTACTGTTTTGGGCCATAAGTATCTCTCTACATATTGCAAATTCTTTAACTTTGTCTGGTAGAAGTATCGCTTCTCCTAATTTTTTTCCTACTTCTGTTGTTAAATCTAGAGGTTCTCCATTGACCTGAAATATAGTATAATTAAATTAAATTTATCATGTTAATAATTTTTTATTCATATATGTATGTTTAATCAATTTACCTGTACCTCCTGCTTTTCTACATCTTCTAATGATTTATAAGTAAAATTAACAGGAATTCCAATGAGGACACCGTATTTAGAGCTTGTGCTACCTAAAAATAAAATTATATTGTGATGTTATATTTATATGATATATATTATGAAATCAAAATATAAGTGTTATTTTGTATATTATAACTCACCAGCATGGAAAAGGTCATAGCCAAAGACACTGAAGGGTTTTATTAACCTTCTGTGTGCGTCAGACAAATTTAAGAGATCCATACATTTTTCACATTTTCGGGATAGTTCATTTGGGAGCTCCACGGGTTGGCTATTCCTGAAAAGAAGAAAAGAATCTTCATCAACATTTAATTAATGTTTAACATAGTTCAAAATAAATAAAATAATAAATACTGATAATAAGCCACCATGTCTTGGTATTTTTCTAGTAGAAAAGTGTGTGGAGAAAATTTCGCGGCTGTCAATGCGAGACCGGTACCCGTCATTAAAGCGAAAGAAAATCGTCGCCCTTGATCGGTTAGAAACCAACTAATAGATTTTCTCGTTGCCATGATATTACTCAAATAAATAGGACTAATTTATTTTATGAATCAGTAAGATTTTACACTTCCGCAAAGTGTACTTTTATTGTGAATTGTGACAGCTGACGAATGACATTTAAGTCTGACAAGTAACGTGACATTTTGTTCATGAAATGTTCACACTTCACGCTTCGTAGGAATGAAGCAAATTAATTTTAATGGACAAATATTTGTTTTTCTATTTAAAGAATGTAATGTTTTAATTAATATACATAATATGATTTAAAAAATTAACAACGTATATAAGTGCATAGACTTATATACATTAGGATATTTGGTACCTTGATAATATGTCATTGTAACTGACAGAATTATTTCCTTTCATATTAGTTATTGACTTTTTGTTGACAAATGACAAGAAAATTGTGATTATCGTAAACAAATAATCGCGCCGGTTGTGATTACAATGTTAAAAACATACAGTTAATATTATTGAAATTGTAACAGAAAACAGTATCAAAATGGCAGAAATCTTAAACGAGATAAATAAGTTATGTTTAGAAAGTTTAAGTACGGATTGGGTAGATTCAGTTTACAATTCCGAATTTTTAGAATTCGGGGATCTTCCGGAAGAATATGAAAGCCTACTTGAAAGTTTAGATATCAAAACAATTTTTCAAGATACAATGAACGCATGCGATTCTTGGCTAGATCCTAATTTCAATGATGGAGAGGAAAGATCATGGTCGGTTATTTCACACCAAATAAAACACCAAAGTTTACTGTCGCTTTTAGCTTACTTCATCGATAATGGATCTAAAAATGTGCTCACTAAGGAGCATAGGAATAATGCTATTCTTGCAGCCCGTGTTTATTACAAGCTGCTGCTTATACCAGGATATAAAGTATACCATATATATCATTCCCAACTGTTTGCACATTCACTTGTTTGTCTCAGCTTCCCAAAGACAATGTGTGATAATGAAGACAACTACTTCAATGCCAGGGAACTCAGTTGTGAAGTTAATTATCTGATAAAGAAATTAGGAAAATTTGTAACAGATTTAAAAACAATTATTGAGACATTACAATTAAAACCGAGTGATATGAACTTTGAAGATATTATGAGCAATTTGGTTGACATCACTGGCGGAGCAATTGTTAATAAACTGAATATTGGTGAGACTAATTCAAAACTCCATAATTATTTGGATATTTAAGTTTCTGTCACAAAAACTGATGTTGATACAAAATAAGCCTCTTATAACTTTTGTCGTTACTTTTTAAGAACATTTTTGATATTCTAAGCTTAAATTTCAAAAGCAATATTTTAATATGAAAGTGTAGAAGTGTTCTAGAACTCATTAAGAACTATTTTCTACAGATAAAATAGAATTGGCAAATGTATCCAGAACAATATATGAAATGATAGACATTCTCATCTGCGGCTCAAATCAAACTCCAAATCCACTATCAATCCAAGTGCTTTTCAAATGTCTGCTACCAAAACTTATTTCAGCATCTGTTGATAGTCGTAATGTACATGTAAGTATTATTTCATTACTTTTTCAAATGTTTAATATTTGTTTGGACTATTAATACCATATAGTTCTTTTCATTTGTAGAATGTAGTCCGAGCATCCTATGTTACATATTCAGGGTTACTGCTTACAAAATATGGTAAAGCTGCTTTAAATGGATATACAATACTTTTACAGCATTTATGTTATACACTTGATGGTCTGGTAAGTTTGGTAACTGGATAATATTTAAATTGGAAAATGGCATTGCAGTTCTAGACCCTACCTGATTCATAACTTTAATGAATCAGTATTTACCATACTGTTGAAGATCTTTTTGTGAGCCCAAGCCCTGGTGAATCTTAGAAGTCACTTTACCTTACCTACCCTAACCAAACCTACCTCTAACAACGAGTTTCCCTGCATCATCAAAAAAAAAAAGTTTTTATCATACTGATTAAGATCATATTGCAATCTTTTTGTGACCCAAAGACTATCTTAGAAATCACTATATCTCTGAAACTCAATATCATTTCGTATGTGCTACTTTAGACTGACTATTGACTGCAATGTAAAATTGTAAATTAAAACTTATTAATTAGTGGATTTATCTCTATTAGAAGTAATTGGTTCTTGAATACTTTAAACTTTCTTTATGACTTAAATTTATACTGAAAATTATGTATACTTGATCTATTTAGACAAAATACATACTTGGTCCATACATATAACATTGTTTGTGAATTTTCTCAAAGATATTTCTTATTTTAGGAGCGTGCAGAGGTGCGCACAGCGCGTGTCTCACTTGTCGTGGGCTTAATGAGCTTATTACCAACAAAATCATACAAGAAAATAGTAACATGGTTGTTGAAATTATCGAGCACATCAAAAATATCACATCGACAAGTGGCTTTGGTATACACAAATAATTAATTAATTATTAATAGAATTTTTTTTTAATTATAATAAAGCTTTTTATAGTGTAGATGTTGAGAAAAATATACAATAAAGAACTATCTTTCAGTTTAATTAATACATTTATTTTCTAGGAAATACTGTCTAAGCTGCTAAGTAATGATCCCGAACCATCAAAAGACAATCCAGAATCAAATTCTGGTAATACAGGTAAGTCACCCACACTACCTTATGTTAACATTTGTTAATAAATGCATGAGATAATATTTTTATAGGAAACACAAACGAGTCCACAGCAAGTGAAAATGAAATGCCAGAACAAGCCAACGACACAGAGATTATTGGAGAAAATGCTGAGGAACAATTACCTACAAATGACGATGTAATAATTTTTCCCACTAATATTATAAATATGAATGTATGAAATGTTTGTTACCAATTCACCTAAAAACTATTGAGTTGGTTTTGGTGAAATTTAACACATCAAAATAGTATATAGAAAATAATATACAATGATAATAATATATTTAGTATACAGGGTGACTGGTGAATTACTATCGATATTTGAGGACGTGATATTTGACGATCATATATGACAAAATAAAAATTAATATAACATAAATATTAATAAACTTCTAAGTAAAGTTAACCAAAAGTTATGTAATTAATTACGGATCGTGTGAACACCCTACAGATTAGGTATACACACACACTCACACAGACGCGGCGGCGGCGTAGTGTTGTATCAGCACGCCGCCGCACGCCTCCACACTTGGAACACTTGGAACGTGTACACACTTTATTTATTTATACGGAAATTTGGTCAAAAATTAAGTACCTATTTTTTTTACATAATTCGAATGAGAATCATGTACTGAGTATGCTCCTTAAATATTGATAGTAATTCACCAGTCACCCTGTATATCGATACGTCCCACGTAAGTTGTTGTATCTCCAAAAGTGTAAATTTACAGTAAAGCGTTTCAAAGATGCAAATTTACCCAAAATCTGCATTTATTGACGCACCTTTTTTTTAAATTTCGTATTTAAAATTAACATAATAGTCTTCTTAACTACGTTAAAAGATATTTTAAGTAATATGCCTATTTGCGGAGATATTGTTCATACAACATTTTACTCCGGAGTAGACGCTAAAAAAGGTGTTGTATCTGATACTTACAACATTATACCGCGGCGCCCAAGTAGCATAGTGATGCTACCACAAGTGTGTGGTATATGATATTTACAACTGTATACGTTGAAAAACATAAGTCTAACTCTGTTGTATGTAACACCTCGCGCCCTGAGTAAATAATTGAATAGGCATATACAACGGTGTAATCCGCTCGCGTTTAAAAATTACAACATTATGCGTCTGACATATCTTTTAAAAATGGTGTTTTTGTTTTTTTTTTTTAATTTTAATGGATGTTAAGATCCATAATAGGATATTTTTCAGTAAAAAAGGAAAATGGCATTTTTTTGGCATACAACAATTAAGTGGGAGGTGTCTATATATTTATCGTGATTACTTTTGTGTCTGAAGTCGCGCATTACAAAATAAAGTTGGCGCTGCAAGTTGATTACCATATGTAATATTTCTTAAATTTAAGTTAATATTGTCATAAAAATTTTAATGGAAGATAAATCGTAAAATTTTCTTAATAAAATGAAAATATACTATATGTTTGGTTTTCCGAGTAACATTAGTCTAGCAATTGGCTTGTAGTAGCTAGTATGGAAGGTATAAAATGACAGGATCATAGACAGAGAATTATGATGACGGCTTTGTTATATATAGGTTAATTTTTTTCTAGGACGAAATCACAGATGAAGAAGTATCGAATCTATTGATGCAACGTGCCCACGTGATTTCTCACTCCGAAGTCTTGAGGGCTGTGTACGAACGTGTTCACGATACATCGAGTACTATTCGGACCCGCGCCCTCGCTATACTCACGGACTGCTTACAATCGGAAGTACCCGCTATAAAAGAGGCTATGCAGGTCGCTAACCGTCAATTAATGTTAATTATACATGTTATCTGTGAAAATCTCTCCCAGAATCTTAAGTGTTAACAGACAAAAAATATGATTGCCAATAACTAAGCTTTCAGTTATAAGTTATTTGTAAATTTTGCATTAAATAAAATCTGATTCCTTACATTTGTGTCGTAAGTAAAAATCCAGCATAGACATAGAATAGCCAGTCTATATGTGTTAATAGTATACATTTTAGAGTATGTGCCTAGGAATTGCATAATATAATTTCTCTATCCTCTTAATAACATCAGAGGAACATACATACTTTTAATATAGTTCATAAATTTTTGATAGTCCATACTTTTGACAATATCTATACTTTAGGTATAGTCCTATTTACTTGTATTGGGAAGAAACGACCCATTTCCTCATAAGCATAACAAAAAATGTGCTTGCATCTGTGTTTCCCCACTTATATTATAGAATACTTTAATTCAAGTCAAGATGGCAATCTTTTTCTAATACAAAGCTATAATTCTGCTTACCAAGTGGTAGGTATAGTCAAGCAATGACGATTGTAATAAAAAATATGCATTAGATATATTTTGATACTACGAGGGGAGGTCAAAAAGTTCGCGGAATGGAGGGGATGGAGGGGGTTGATTTACTCGTCCAGGTAGTAACTTGTTCAACACCTCTTTAATAGTATATATTCCAAGTTTGAACCAAATCGGGTCATAAACTTTTGAGTTATTAACCTGCAAACGAGTGAATCGGGAAGAAGTCAGTGAGTATGAAGAAAATTGAACACCACGCCGTTATTAAGTTCCTCACCAAGCAAGGAAAATCCGCTCAGACGATTTTTGAAGAGCTGTTATCAGTTTACGCGGACTCTGCCCCTGGTAAAACCATGGTTTACAAGTGGCATGGACTTTTTAAACAAGGGAGAGAGTCCATTGAAGATGACCCCCGCTCCGGACGACCGATTGAGGCCACCACACCGGAAATCGTCGCAAAAGTAGAAAAACTTATATTGGAAGATGCCCGGTTGAAGAAGAAACAACTTGCAGCAATGGTTGGAGTATCCGAAACCAGCATTTTAAATATCCTACATCATCATCTTGGGATGACTAAGGTCAGTGCAAGATGGGTTCCAAGAATGCTCACGCCACTTCAAAAGAGCGAGCGTGTCGAGTGTTCTCGCCAGTTTTTGAAGCTCTGTGGGGAGAATAAGGATGAAGTTATGGACCGGATTGTTACTGGTGATGAAACCTGGGTTCACCACTATGAACCTGAATCGAAGCGAGAATCGATACATTGGCATAAAAAAAGGCACAGCTCCTCCCAAGTAGTTTAAAGTGTCACAATCGGCCGGAAAGATCATGGCGACTGTCCTTTGGGATACAGAAGGTATTTTGCTGATCAATTATAAAGATCGTGTTGTGACTATAACGGGACAGTACTACGCTTCTTTATTAGATAGTTTGAAAGAAGCTATCAAGGAAAAAAGAAGAGGAAAGCTGTCAAAAGGTGTGCTCTTTTTGCACGATAACGCAACAGTCCACACGTGCCATGTTGCGACGGCTGCCATTCACCGATGCGGATTCGAAAAATTACACCACCCACCATATAGTCTAGACTTAGTCCCCAGCGACTATTATTTGTTTTCAAAAATGAAAAAAAAGCTGCGTGGAAAAAAATTTGAGAAGTCAAGTCCGCAATTTCGGCCTATTTTGATAGCCAAGATAAATAATTTTTTTCGATGGTATTAATAAATTATTTGTGAGATCCGAAAAATGTATTAAGGTTAAGGGAGGTTATATTGAAAAGGAAAAATAGTTTCGTGTTAAATTTCAACCCCCTTCCCGTTCATTCCGCGAACTTATTGACCTCCCCTCGTACATCCCTACTAATATTATAAATGCCAAAGTAACTGTCTGTCGGTCTGTCTGTCTGTTACGCTTTCACGCCTAAATCACTGAACTGATTTTAATGAAATTTGGTACAGACATAGAGTTTACCTTGAGAAAGAACATAGGATAGTTTTTATCCCAGACTTTTGAAAGGTTTTCTTGGAAACGCGGTATAAGCGAACTCCACGCGGGCGAAGCTGAGGGCGGAGAGCTAGTTTATTATTACAAGTATTTTAAAACCACGTGATATAATGTCCCCAGGAACTGAGTGGTGAGGGCGAGGTATCTCGGCTGGCGGCGCTGGGCGCGCGCTGTGTGTGTGACGAGCGAGCTGTAGTCCGGAAGGCGGCCGTCGGTCTCATACACCGACTGATAGCGAACACGAGCGACGGACAGACACCCAACAAAGAATATGCGGTTAGTACTATATATATATATATATATATATATATATATATATATATATATATATGTATATATATTGTTAAATAATAAATAATTATTATACTGGCAACCCTAAAGCCACCTATATAAAGAGCGCCATTACTGACAATCGGACACTTTTTTCTTCTCAACTATTGTCAAGAGAAGAACCTTTGCTGTAATTAGTCTCGAATATTAATTAATTGACCCTTGGCCGGTTACCGTTTCTTTTTAAAAATCTTAACATGTTTTTCATTTCTAACAATATATATTTAAGAGATAAGTCAGTAGTGGCGTAATGCTTAGAGGGCCCGCCTCTCGTTGCCGAGAGCGCGGGTTCGATCCTAGCCCGGGCAAGTACCAATGTGATTTTTCCGAGTCATATGTACTTTCTAATAATATTTAGACATCACTGATTAATGCTGATTCCCAAAAGAGAGTTGATGTCAGGCAGGCGGCCGGTCGTGGGGGTCCCCCCACAGTGTTGACTTCCTCGTAGTGACCCCTGGGCAACGTCGCGCCTGACCACCGTAACGGAGTGGCAGGCCGGCGGCTAACGAACACTGTGCTTCGAAGTTTTAATAGTCTGTGCTTCGAAATCGTAAGGTATCCCATCCCACTTGGTGCGCGGTAACGCAGTGGCCAGTGGTTGGTGATCCTTCGCGACGATCGTGATCTGTGTTGGTTGTGAACATGAGTTCCAAACAACCGAGGGCCGCCTCCAGACGGCGCCTCCCAAAAGGCCCTTCTCAGGGCCAACCCCAAGGCCCTTCTCAGGGCCAACCCCAAGGCCCTTCTCAGGGCCAACCCAAAGGCCCTTCTCAGGGCCCCTCACGGGACGCGTCAGCGTCTGAGGCTAGCCGCGCACCTTCGGCGGCAAGCCTCCATAGTGTGGGCCAAACCACGGACTACTCGGACACCGAGTCCATTATGAGTGTGTCGGACTGTGGCTCGATCCGCCGCGAGTCCAGGAAGCGATTCCTGCGTCAAAAGTCCGGGGGATCTCCTGACACTGCCAGGACACCCGCAAAACGGGCCATAGTAGAGGCGGACCTAGAGGAAATGGTCGCCTCTAAGGAGAAGCTCGCGCGGACGACCAGAGCCAAGGCCGGCTACGGTGCAGCCACCGTCCGCTATGCCGACCACTCCGTAGAGGAGATGGAGCGCATGGCTCTCGAGGACCAGGGGGAAATAATTGAGGTCGCCTCCAAGTCCTCAAACCTAAAGGGGACCTTCCAAAAGGCCCTCAAATGCCGGGCAGCCAGCCTAATCGGCATTGTCAAGGAACTTTCGCAGCGCACTACGTCCAACGAGACGCGGTTACTGCAGGCGAAAGTTGACCGCCTGCAGAAGGAGATGTCTGCGCTGCAAGCTCGCATTGCCGAGCTTATGGCCCGGTCTAAAGGGACCTCGGAAGGTCCAGCGGTGGCGGCGGCCCCCTCCAATCTTGAGGACATCATCCGAAAGGTGGTCATGGAGGAGAGGGCCTTTACAAAAGCCTGCTTCGCAGGCATTGAGGACCGGCTGCTGCCGGAAAAGAGGCTCCGCCCTCCACTCGGCAGGACCTCTACTGCACCGCCGCCCCAAGAAGCAGCGCCAGCGCAGAAGGAGCAGCCCAAGGCCACGAAGGCAGGCAAAGGGAAGGGGAAGGGAAAGAAGTCCCCTTCGGCCCCTACCTCACAGGCGGGAGCCAGCGCTGCCCCAGCGCCCGCCCAAGCTCCTGTAAGGGAAGATGCCCTGCTGCCTTCTACCACACCCTCCAACGAGCCATGGAAGAAGGTGGTGGGCAAGAAGCAGCGAAAGGGGAAAAAGCCGGTACCTGAATCCCCGGCAGCCAATAAAGCTCCGGCGGGAAAGAGGAGGAAGCTCGTTCCTCCAAAAACCGCGGCCGTAGTGGTGACCCTCACAGCGGAAGCCGTTACACGTGGGGAGACGTACGAGTCCGTGCTGCGACGGGCTCGTGCAAATATTGACCCCGTGCAACCGAGTGAGGGCAGGGTCACGTGCCGACGGACCCAAACTGGGGCTCGTATCTTCGAGTTTTCGGGGGCTCAGGGCAGCGCCAAGGCCGACACCTTCGCCAGCCAACTAAAGGAGGTAATCGCAGACACGGCCAAAATCGCGAGGCCATTGAAGTGCGTGACTCTGGAAGTGACCGATCTTGATGATTCGGTCAACCAAGAGGAGGTCGTGGCCGCAGTTGCGGCGTTGGGGGGCTGTGACATCGCAGCGATTAAGGGCCGCGCCATCAGACCTGGCCGTGGGGGCATGGGCAGCTTGCGACTGGAGTGCCCAGTCATGGCTGCAAAGGCAGTTCTGGCAAAGGGACGCCTCCCGGTTGGTTTCAGCTCGGCTGGTGTCCGGGCTCTTGAGGACGAGCCGATGCGCTGCTACAAGTGCTTCGGCATCGGCCACACCCGGGCCCTTTGTCCGTCCGCTGCGGAGCGTACAGACCTGTGCTTCCGCTGCGGCAAGGGGGGGCACAGGTCCACCGCCTGCGAGGCCACCAAGCCGCACTGTGCCGTGTGCGCTGACAGTGGTCGGCCAGCCGACCACATTATGACGGGGAGGAAATGTCGTCCTCCCCTAAAGAAAGGGAAAGCGCAGGTGACCACACGACCTGCTGCTGCCGCCGTCACTGCGATCCCAGTCCCAGTGCCGACAACCGAGGGGAGTGCGATGAATACCGACTAATGACTGGGCTTCATCGCATTCTCCAGGCGAACATCAACCACTGCAAAGCGGCCCAGGACCTGCTGGTCCAAACCTTTGCCGAGTGGTTGGTGGACGTGGCGGTTGTCGCCGAGCCTTACTCAGTCCCTGGCACATGGCTAGGAGACGAGAACGGCTCGGTGGCGTTGGTTGCGCGGTCTTCCACAGACTCCCCCCCCATCTCGCTCTTAGAGAAGGGGCCGGGATACGTGGCCGCTGCATGGGGAGACATAGCCTTAATAGGGGTTTATTTCTCCCCCAACCGCCCTCTAACGGACTTCGAGAACTTCCTCGGCGTCCTCGACATGGTGGCCGGCAGAGCAGCGCAACGCCGGGTCTTGGTGGTGGGCGACTTCAACGCCAAGTCGGTGGCATGGGGTAGCCCACGCACGGACGCACGGGGACGCGAGGTAGAGTCGTGGTCGGTGACGTCAGGTCTGTCCCTCCTGAATAGAGGGACAGTACACACCTGCGTGCGGCGACAGGGGGGCTCCATAGTGGACCTCGCCTTCGCCGCCCCTTCCTTGGCGGCCTGTGTCGTGAACTGGCGGGTGGAGCTGGTAGAGACTCTATCGGACCACCGATATGTGCGGTTCGATGTCTCCACCCAGGACTCCCAGGGGAACCGTGCTGGGGCCCAGTCACCATTCCCGCGGTGGGCGCTCACCCGTTTGGACCAGGGGGCCGCCAAGGAGGCGGCCTTCGTCCAGGACTGGCTCACACCGCCAGTCGACGTTCAGGACGTGGACGCCGCGGCAGCTCAACTAAGAGCCTCCTTGACCGAGGTGTGCAATTCCAGTATGCCTCGGTCCCATCGTCCACCTCCGCGACGCGCCGTTTATTGGTGGTCGGAGGAGTTGGCTGCTCTCCGGGCCATCTGTGTGGCGGCCAGGCGGGAGTACACGAGGAGCCGGCGGCGGCGCACCCGTGATCTAGCCAACGAGGATCGTCTCTACGCATCATACGTAGAGGCGAAGACCGTCCTCAAAGCGAGAATCGCCGCCGCCCTGGACCACGCGAGGTTGGAAATGTTGGAGAGTCTCGACAACGATCCTTTCGGGAGACCGTACAAGGCGGCGCGGAAGAAGCTGCGTCCTTACGGTCCCCCAGTTGCCGAGACCCTCGAACCAACGCTGTTGGATGGGGTGGTACAGTCCCTGTTTCCCCGCAGGGACAGGTTCACCCCCCCGGCAATGAGCCGGCCGCGCGGTGAGGCTCCAACAGTGGACGAAGTGCCTCTTGTTACGGAGGAGGAGTTGGAGGAAGCAATGGCCCGCCTCCGTAAGAAGAAGACGGCCCCAGGGCCGGACGGCGTCCCCGCGAGGGTGGTGGCCATCGCCGCTTCCCGGATGGGTCCACGATTTCGGGACCTTTTCGGAGCGTGCCTGGCGTCGAAGAGGTTCCCGAATATATGGAAGGAGGGCCAATTGTGCCTCCTACGTAAGGAAGGTCGGCCGGTGGACTCCCCGTCCGCTTACCGACCCATCGTCTTGCTTGATGAGGTCGGTAAAATGTTCGAGGGGATGATAGCCACCCGCCTCAAGGGACATTTGGGCACAATTGGCCCAGACCTATCGGACGCTCAGTTCGGTTTTCGGCCTGAGCGTTCAACATTGGACGCCCTGTCGAGACTGAGGGATCAGGTGAGCGAGGCGATGGAAGCGGGGGATGGACTGTTGGCTGTGTCCTTTGACATAGCCAACGCTTTTAACTCCGTCCCCCACTCCACCATCCTAGAGGCACTCCGCTACCACGGAGTGCCTCCATACTTGCGGGCCCTCCTAGCCAGCTATCTAGAGGACCGTTCGGTCCTCGTTGCGGATAGGGCGGGTCAACTGCGACGGTATGGCGTCGAATCTGGTGTTCCACAGGGTTCCGTTCTAGGACCACTCCTGTGGAATATCGGGTTCGACTGGCTACTGCGGGGAAATCTTCCCCGAGGCACGTCAGTCGTCTGCTATGCAGATGACACTCTCCTGACTGCTCGGGGGAGTAATTTCGAGACGGCAGCCAGCCTGGCCTCAGCGGGAGGATCCTTGCTCGCTGACAGGATCTCACGCCTTGGACTGACGGTGGCGTTGCACAAGACCGAAGCCGTCTACTTCCATCGGCCTCGGCATCGCCAGCCGCCGGACGCGCATATTTATGTGGGGGGCGTCCGGATCGGGGTGCAGGCCCAGATGAACTATCTGGGCCTGACGCTCGACAGCAGGTGGCGATTCGGCCCTCATTTCAGCGGGCTGTCGACGCGCCTGCTGAAGACCGCGGGGGCTCTCTCCTGGCTCCTCCCAAACATCGGGGGACCTGGGAATCGATGCCGGCAACTATATGCCGGCATCTTGAAGAGTATGGCCCTTTACGGGGCCCCAATCTGGGCGGACTCCCTTCATAGGAGGGAAAACGCAGCAGCGTTCCGGAGGCCCCAAAGGGCTATTGCGCAGCGGGCGGCGAGGGCTTACCGCACGGTAAGCCTCGCGGCAGCGTGCGCTCTGGCGGGCACCCCTCCTTGGGAGCTCGAGGCGTGGGTGCTCGCCGCCAGAGTCTACGAGTGGAGAGGGGAGCAACGGGTGCTTGGCCAGCGCCCCAACGCCGCTGAGAGGGGAGCCGTTCGTGAGGAGGCGAGGGCCGCAGTCGTCCAACATTGGACAGAGGACCTCGCCACCGCAACGTTCGGCCGAAGAACGCTTGACGCGATCGGGCCCGTCCTCAAGGATTGGCTCGGTCGGTCATTTGGCTCCCTCTCCTTCCGTCTGGTCCAGGTGCTATCCGGGCATGGCTGCTTCGGATCGTACCTGCACCGGATCGGGAGGGAAGAGTCCCCGTCGTGCCACCAGTGCGGAGCTGAAGTGGACACCCCAGAGCACACCATGGAGGTGTGCCCATCGTGGGCCGTGCCCCGTCGTGCACTGGTGGCAGTGATTGGCAGCGACCTCTCGCTCCCTCGTGTGGTCACCGCCATGCTGGGGAGTGAGGAGGCGTGGACTGCAGTTGCCTCCTTCTGCGAGGACGTAATGTCACAGAAGGAGGCGGCGGAGCGGCAGCGCGAGGACGATCCCTCAGCGCCAGCGCTCCGTAGAAGGAGAAGGGGCGGAAGGCGGCGCACACAGCGTCCATCTTCACCCGCCCCTGCGACGGCCATAGATGGCCGTGCGCTCCGGCCACAACAGAGCCCCCCCCCACCTGGGGGGGCGTGAGGGGTCCGCCAGAAGGTGGGCAATCGCCAGCAGGGGGCTGGACGCAAACAGGATTCCCAGCCCCCTGCCAGTCAGGCGAGGTCGGAGCGCCACTGGGTTATTTTAGTGGGTATACCGGGAATCCTTTTCCCGGGGAGTCCCACATACCCCTCTCCGTCTTCAACGGAGAGGGGATGCGTAAAGCATTTTTTCCCAGTGCGCACAAAAAAAAAAAAAAAAAAAAAAAAAAAAAAAAAGGCGGCCGGTCGTAAAAAACAATTAGCCAAAACTATTCACAGCATGTAAGGCAGACCCTGGCTATAGCCGGGAAAATGCCAGGTAGAAGAAGAAGATATATTTAAGAGATACTAAGTATGACTTGATCTATTGAACAGTTGATTAATTACGTCCTGCTATATATATCTGAATGAATGTATGAAATTTATTGTTATTAAGTTATTTAGATAATTATATTTTGGAACGATATAGAAGGATGATGATATTTTGACGGTTTTTGATTGTATGTATGGTTAATTGGTGAATTACGTGCGTTTTGTGTTTGTGTGTGAGTGTGTGTGTGTTATTGCCAAAACTTATTTTTAATGGAATGAATAATGATCAGTAAACTAATTTACATCAAGATGCTGGTGGGTTTATGCCGTGATGCCAGTATCGTGGTGAGGTCGTCCGCCATAGCAGCTCTCGGCGAGATGGTGGGTCGCGCTCCAAGCGAGGCCTCGCTGGACGCCTTTCTCACCGGGCCCATGCACCAGCTGTCCGATCCTGAAACTAAGGTTTATTCTAATATACTACTATATACAATACAATAATAAACTTTGCAGATATTTCTGTTTGCATATTAGTATTAAATAAAAAAATTAATACGACCTTATTACACAAACATTAAACTTCAACAATAATTATCAATATAGTAATATAAAACTTAAAAGATATGTTAGTACCTATATCAGTATAAAAATTACCATAGCCTGTAGTCCATCTCATATAAGGGTACTAAATTCAATTTTAAAAATTAATAATTAATAAGATCAAGTGGTAACATTGAAAAATTAATTTACAGATTCAGGAGCAAGTGGTAACACTGATCCAACAGTTGTTAATGGCTCGCTTCAAGAAGTACGATGCTCATTCTGCCGAGGACCCTCTGCCCTGGCTGTTCCTGGCTGGCGTTACACGACACAACCTACGGAGACATCTACAGAAGGCTTGCACGCTATTGGTTAAATCATCCAATTATATTAAGTGAGTTATATGAATTATACTTTGCTTGATGTCAGCATATTTCGATAATATTTAATTGAAATGGTATTAATATTTTCGGATTACTATTTTTAAAAAACATTCATATCTCGTCTACCCGTGATCACGATTGCTGAAAGTAACTGAAACGTCGGGAGTATGTAGTTTAAAATAATAGAATAACGAATAGTAATCCAAAAATATTAGTTTAATTTGAATGAATAATCGCGATAGTTTTAGATCTCATTATATAAGTTATTAGTTTTTTACTCATCTATCAGTAATAGTTGCATATAATTATAATTTAAATACTACATATATTAAAAATATGATAAACAGGATTTGAATCTTAAACCTATCACGTTTCAGTCTCTTTGCTAACTGAGCCATCGTGTCATCATAATTATATCTTTTATATATGTATTATGTTTCAGTCATCGTATAGTGGACATATTAAGTACCCACTTAAACGTCAAGGACGCCGAGCGTGACCTACAATGTCTTGTGTTGTTGACGAGTGTGGCGCGACACGTTGTTTACTCTGATATTGGATTTTTACTTGACTATTATTACCATCTGACCGAAAAGGAGGTGAGTCATACAATACTTATATACTACTAGCTGTGCCTCGCGGTGTTACCCGCGGATTTCCGGGTCGTAAAGTAGCCTATGTGTTATTCCTGGACGTCAGCTTCCCATATACAAAATTTTGTCAAAATCGGTTCAGCTGTTTGAGCGTGAAGAAGTAAAAAACATGCACACACACTCACAAACTTTCGCAATTATAATATTAGTAGGATTAATTCGCTTCTAATACTTTCTAATGCAGTATATGGAATATTCGTAGCGATGTAAAATCCTTGTTCGTTGTCAGAATAGAACATGGTGAATTTCTTTTAAACAGCGCAGCCACGAATGCACTATTGTCAGTTTTAGTGACGTAGATAGTTAAATAATTTGACATTGAAGCATCCAAGAAGGCTTTATAACTTGACAATAACTAAAACAGATGACTTTAAAGCTCTTGATATTAGTTATAGTCCGTTAGACTTAAGTTGAGCTTTACATTTGTGTGAATGAAAGTAAAAGTAGAGTTAGACAAAAAACTGTTAGAAATCAAATATATTTTATATACATTATATAAGCGCTAGATTTATTTTAGATTAAAAATGAAATAAGTAATACTTGTAAAAGGCCAAATGGAAATGTTATGGAAAAAAATTTATTAAGTAATAAAAATTTTGAAATAACAATTCATATTTTTCTTCACTTGACATTGACGTTGCTCCAAGTACAAAGGATGAAGTGAGGAAGGTGCGGGGCGGAGCAAAAGCAGAATAAACCTACACTATCCGTGTTCACACATATGCAAAGCTCAGCTTAAATCAAACGCACTATACTATCTGTAACACATGACGTCATATATATTGATGACGTCACAATTTCTAGGGTTACGACACGCGCCTGCTGTTGTTACTGCTGGAGCTGCTGGCGGCCTGGTGCAGGTGTCTGAAGGAAGACGACCGGAGGACGCTCAGGGAACACCTGGTGACTAGACTAGCAGCTGCTAGCGATGACGGTATACATATACAGGGTGACTGGTGAATTACTATCAATATTTAAGGAGATTACTCGGTACATGATTCTCATTCGAATTGTGTAAAAAAAATAGGTACTTAATTTTTGACCAAATTTCAGTATAAATAAATAAAGTGTGGACACAACACCACGCCGCCGCACGCGTGTGTGTGTGTGTGTGTATACCTAATCTGTAGGGTGTTCACACGATGCGTAATAAATTATATAACTTTTGGTTAACTTTACTTAGAAGTTTATTAATATTTATGTTATATTAATTTTTATTTTGTCATCTATGATCGTCAAATATCACGTCCTCAAGTATCGATAGTAATTCACCAGTCACCCTGTATATACATTTTTTATGGGATACATATGTTATTATTATTAGTCAGTGGTGGCTTATGGTTAAAGAGTCCGCCTCTCGTTGCCGTGGGCGCGGGTTCGATCCTGCCCCGGGCAAGTACTAATGTGATTTTTCCGAGTCATATGTACTTTCTAAGAATATTTACACATCACTGATTAATGCATTCCCAAAAGAAGGTTGATGTCAGGCAGGCGACCGGTCGTTAAAAACAATTAGCCAAAACTATTCACAACATGTAAGGCAGACCCTGGCCATAGCCGGGAAATTGCCAGGTAGAAGAAGAAAAAAAAGAAGACATAATATGTTATTTTTTTTTTGAAAGGTGGCAAACAAGCAGACGGCCTACTTGATGGGCAGTAGTGACCGTCGTCTATGGACATCCGCAACATATATGTTGCGGATGCGTTGCCAACCTTGATTGTTGAGGAAAAGGGAGGGGTGGGAATAGGAAAATAGCAGGAAAGGGAGGGAATAGGGAAAGGTAACAGGCTTTCTTACTCATCGGACGAAACGCTATTTCACGCCGATCTTCTGTCAAGTCAGCGCATGTTTGAGGTCTAGTAACTTGACTACAGCTAGGCTCTACCATCTTTAATTTTATTATAATATATAAGTATATTACTTGAATTATAACTTATAATGTATAATTTGATTGTTGTTCTGTACAGGTTGTAGAACAGCGTGTGCGTCTCTGGCAGCTCAGTTGGATCCAGAGAATCTTCAATGGGCGACCGAACTCATGCAGATAGGTAAAATTATTATATATATAATTATTATTTATTCTACATTATCTACAAGATTCAAATAGACAGTATAAAATTAAACATTAATATAGTATGTATATAAATTTAATGAAAGTGTAGGAATATTGTATATACGCAGAGGAAATATAATTTGGAATTAAATTGAATCTTTGATTAGAATTTTCGTTATAATCGGAACATTTGAACAGATAGAGATTTTTCCATTAGTGTCATAGACAAGATCTATCGGCATACATAGTTTATGGTTTGCGTTCCATTTCAATAGAAATTATTATACCAATATTGTATAATAATTTCTATTGAAATGGAACCATATTTGGTATGAGTGTCGTGGTGGCCTAGAGGTTAAGGTCCCGTCACTCGTGCATGAGTGTGCGGGTTCGAAACCTGCAACTACGAATGTGATTTTTCCGAGTCATATGTACCTTCTAAGAGTATTTAGACATAACTGACAGGCGGTGAAGGAAAACATTGTGAGGAAACCTGGAGTTATAATATCAAATCATAAGTTTGAAATCGCCAATCCGTCTTGAGCAAATGTGGTGATTAATGCACAAGCCTTTTCCACGTGAGAAGCGGCATTTGACGAAGCGGCACGTGGAAGGGCTCTGATAGGCTGATGATGATGCATTATTTGGAAGCATCACTATAGGAAACAAGTATTAATTGATTGTTTAATACTTCCGGTGTATAGCGGAGAAGCGCGCGGTGGCCGGAAATGACGTTGGCGAGTGGCTGCGCGCGGCGGACGTGTCCCTAGTGGCGCCCGCCCCGCCCTCGCCAAGGCTTCTGCGGCTTTTCCTCACCGCCCTCACCGATCCGCCCCCCGGTATGTGACGTCATACATGTACAATGATATAAGAATTTTGATCTACCCTCTGAAACAAAAGTAAAAATTTAATAATAACTTGTCTATGGATAAAGAATTCCTATTGACTCATTAATAGCTTTGACCTAGCTTAAGCGTTGTAAATGATAATTTATCAACTAATGCTATGTTTATCTATAAGATCTACCCTCCGGAACATAATGATAATTTCTATGTACCCTGTGAAACAAAGGTAAAGATTTAATAATAACTTCTATGTATCAACAAATCCTTTTGATTTAATTACGATTCTAAAGCATTATAAATGATAATTTCCCAACTAATGCTATCTTAATCTATAAGATCTACCCTCCGGACCATAATAATTTCTATCTACCGTCTGTAACAAACCCAAAGTTTTGATTGTAACTTCTATGTATCAACAAATCCTTTGGATTTATTTACGATTTTAAAGCGCTGTAAATGATAACTTCTCAAGTAATTCTATGTTATTCTTCATAGAGTGGGGTCCGGTACAGCTAGGGTTGTGTGCGGCGGGAGCTGGTCGTCTGTGTCTTAGATCACGTGAAGCGGCTTCAGCGCTCGCCCCGGCGCTGGCAGCCCTGCTGAAGGATGATAATGAAGCGGCTTCTATAAACGCATTACTGGCGCTTACAGATATCTGTACACGGTATATACTTATTATAGATAATATTAATTTGTAGGTACTGTAGTGTCTAACTATCTGCATATACAGGGTGACTGGTGAATTACTATCGATACTTGAGGACGTGATATTTGACGATCATATATGACAAAATAAAAATTAATATAACATAAATATTAATAAACTTCTAAGTAAAGTTAACCAAAAGTTATGTAATTAATTACGCATCGTGTGAACACCCTACAGATTAGGTATACACACACACATACGCGTGCGGCGGCGTGTTGTTGTATCAGCACGCCGCCGCACGCGTCCACACTTGGAACACTTGGAACGTGTCCACACTTTATTTATTTATACGGAAATTTGGTCAAAAATTAAATGCCTATTTGTTTTACATAATTCGAATGAGAATCATGTACCGAGTATTCTCCTTAAATATTGATAGTAATTCACCAGTCACCCTGTATATGTATATATGCACGTGATTCGTCCAGACCTGCGCTTGCGCATCTGTTGGTGTCGGTCTAAGCCACTGTATATACAGGGTGACTGGTGAATTACTATCGATATTTGAGGACGTGATATATGACGATCATATATGACAAAATAAAAATTAATATAACATAAATATTAATAAACTTCTAAGTAAAGTTAACCAAAAGTTATGTAATTAATTACGCATCGTATGAACACCCTACAGATTAGGTATACACACACACACACACAGACGCGGAGGCGGCGTAGTGTTGTATCAGCACGCCGCCGCACGCGTCCACACTTGGAACACTTGGAACGTGTACACACTTTATTTATTTTTACGGAAATTTGGTCAAAAATTAAGTACCTATTTTTTTTACATAATTCGAATGAGAATCATGTACCGAGTATGCTCCTTAAATATTGATAGTAATTCACCAGTCACCTTGTATATTCGAGTATGTGTGAAATATTTCACTATAACCCGTACGAATTAACTGTGCACTTCCCTTAATTAACTCTCCCGCTACCCCGCGCGGCGCCCCGCATTCGCCGTAAGCGCTCAGTAGCAATAGCATCTTTGTTACATTTACTTATTATTAAATACAAAAATTATCTTAAACTATGAAAAATATCACAGCAATAAAAAAATCTAGCGTCCACTTGCCGTTTTTTTATTGCTAAGCTGTAATATCATATCGGTCCATATGTATCTATTTAATTGGAAAACTTCGTGAGTAAAATAACCTAGTATCATGACGCCTTATCATAAAAACGACCCTTTATCAACATAAAAAATTTATAATTTATATATTTTTTATATAATTCTCAGTTTTTTTGCAAGCGGTATCGTTCTAATGACGTCACAGAGCGAGGTGCCCAGTTACTACGTAGGGATTATAGTAGTCTCTACAGTAACTATTTCGTTTAATCTATTTTTAAAATAATTGATTTATATGCTTTTCAAATTAAAATATAAATGTAAGTGTAACATTGATTGTAAGACTAGTTTCTACCAGACTATACGTTATATATGCCTATCTAAACTGCTTAAAAAAATCAGATTAAGTATTATTTATAATACTAATATTGTATATTTAATGTTTAGATACTCGTGTATAGTGGAGTCGCTGCTCGAGTCTGTGTGTGAGTGTCTGTCGTCTAAGGCAGCGCCCCCTCTAAGACGCGCGGCCGCTCGCTCGCTCACAAGACTATTCCTCGCAGGATATTTAAGATTACGGACACCCTTGTATTACCGGTAATCCCTACTAATATTATAAATGCGAAAGTAACTCTGTCTCTTTGTCTGTTTGTTACGCTTTCACACCTAAACCACTGAATTGATCTTAATGAAATTTGGTGCAGCCATAGAGTTGACCTTGAAAAAGAACATAGGATAGTTTTTATCCCAGACTTTTGAAAGGTTCTCTTGGAAACGCGATATAACCGAACTCCACGCGGGCGAAGCTGCGGGTGGAAAACTAGTATTACAATAAGAGAAACTTGTACTTTATATAATAGTATAGTAGATTATATAATACATATAATATAGTAAAGTTCTGTTGCTTTGTCGTGAGCACAATAATATAGATTGAAATCTTTCACGAAAAAACTTCTTAGAGAATTTTTTTTTGATAATAATAGCAAAGATTCCTCCATAGCTTTTAGCTATATTACGAATATCCTACATAAAGAATCCAATTAGATATTTTTTCGCAAAAAATGCTGTATATGATAATTCTATTAATATAAGAATCCTTTATTCTTTGTAGTTATTGTGCCTTGTTGGCTGACGAGGATCACGACGTTCGTGAGCCGGCGGAGTACTACGTGTCATGCTGCCTCACTGTAGACGCCATCTATCATCACTTTGTTGACTGTGTGCTGCATTACAACAGAGAAGATACAGGTCACTAATATATGTATTTATAGTATTGTTATATATACATAGGGATTATACTAAGTATATCACTTCTGTAGCCCACGTTTTCTATATATACATTGACGTTTTAGATATACATAGGTCTTATTCACCAGTTATATGACTATTTAAATTACAAATAGCGAGATATCTTTTAGTTTGTCACTGGGTTTTCTGATTTACAATTTACTAGTTACATTAATTTGACAGTACTAAACAGTGTTGTAACTAGGCTTTTATGCCCCCGGTGCGAGCTTTCAAAACTGCGCCCCTAAAAAATGTTCTAACCAGGCTCTAAAAATAAAATGGACAAATGTGCATACAAATAAATCTATCTATTTGTTGTTTACCAAAGTAACAAAGTATATAGCTACCATGCATGAGATAAAACTAGATACTAGTCTGGTCATTTCTGCGCCCCTCCAGGGACTCCGCCGTGTGCCTGGGCACTGCTGGCACCGCCCTAGTTACGGTACTGGTACTAAGTGACTGTACAGACTAAGATTTAGCTTCAAATAAATTTCTCTAAGAAATTGATCGATTCTAATTACAGTTTTGTATATTAGAAGAAAATTAATAGACATTTAATTAAATAACTCTTTACATTTTATTTATATTTAACTTATTGCTTCATCAAAATTTACATCTCAAGTCCACTAAAACGCCATTACATACTTTTTCTTATAACAAATCGTCTGTAATAAAAATATTTATCAATTATCATAATGACATCTAATACTTAAACAAGTATTCATTCAAATTTATTATTATTTTTAACTACATACATTAATGGTAGACGAGCTCACGTGTTCACGGTTGCTGCGAACTGCATAGTAACAAAATCATCGAGAGTATATTATAGTGATATTAAATACGTCATCAGCCTATCAGTGCCCACTGCTGAGCTGCCTCTTTCTCACATGGAGAAGGTTTGAGCATTCACCACGCTCGCTCAAGACGGGTTGGTGATTTGTATATTAAATATTAGTACATATATTCAATATTCGTGTTTCCAGAGTCCATATCATTCGATTCCCGCCAGTTAATCTACGACGTGATGCTACAGCGCATGTCGTTGGTCCAGAAGCTGAACGTCCAGTGTCGCCTGGCGCGCGAGGTGTTGGAGCACGCGGCCGACCTGTGTGACGAATTTACCGAGCGAGACCATGACCTACCGCGAGGACTGAACGACGCGCTGCTCGACACTATCACGCTGCTGTGTGGGCCGAGGATGAAGCTGCCCAGTAAGAAAGAAAGAAAAGACATTCATTGACACACGCACAAAGAAAAAAAATCAGAATTATACAAAGAAGGATATAAACAAAAACAAAATTATACAAAAAACAATATTTAAAAAACAAAATTATACAAAAAAGGATATAAAAACATTATTACAAAAATAAAGAAAATTAATATAATTGATATATAATGTGCACAGTGAAAAGGAGACAGCTCAGGCTATGAGGTTTTTTTTATCTCTGCTGATTTTCAGCTGTCTCCCTTGTGGCCAAATGACACTATCAACCAAAAAAAAAAACATATATAGACACACTAACTGCTAGAGATGTAAAGTAGCCTATGTGTCATCCCTGGAAGTCAGCTTCCTATATACAAAATTTTATCAAAATCGGTTCAGCCGTTTGAGCGTGAAGAAGTAACAAACATACACAAACTCACAAACTTTCGCAATTATAATATTAGAAGGATATACACAGACTGACTAGATAGACTATATTATTATATAGAATAGATTGTGAAGACTGTAAAAATATGGTAAAACAATTCTTAAATAATTGTCTAATCTCCTGGCAGCACAGTATTTTGAATTCGGAACTTAATATGGTGGAAATTCGTGCAGGAAACAATATCTTTTTACTTGGCAACACTGTATTTTTAAATTGGAACTAAATGTGATCGGAATTAATCTAGGAAATAAAGACCAAAAAAATAGTTCGATATTTTCGGTTATTGCTTAAAGTTACAGTAAATATTATTTTTATATTGTCTTCATGTCAAACTAATTTATGCTAAATGCTTTCTGGAATTCTGAATTCTTTTGAAACTCTACTTCTTTACAGAATGGTAATTGACAAGCTATTAATCTCAGGAATTTTCTATAAGTCAAATGATGATATCTTTATAATATTAAAAATAGTAGTAGTTGTTCCAAAACTTGTATGTATCAACTTAAAATAGTTTATAATTAAACATTATTTTAATTCCTTAGAAAAACCAGAGAAGGCTGGCGATAATGACTTGGACGATCTTCAGGAACGTGTAACAACTAATATAGTGTCCCATGTAAGTTAACAAAACAAAACAAAATATTTTATAAAAATACATAATATCAAAAATAGACATTTTTGTTGTTGTTAAAGTACTTTCATAAGAATGAAGAGCAACATTTCTTCCTCCTTCACTAATTTAATAATCTTTTTACCTTTTTTTAATTAACACAAGATATTAACGGACAAAGAACAGGTATATTTATGTATTATTCTTAACTTTTTCACTGTTAAACTATTTATTGGCCATTTATTGCATGTTAACATTAAAATAATAGATAATATATAAGACCCTCCGCTCGGAAGAAGTGAAACTTCGTAATGTAGAAATAAAAATAAATTATATGTGTATGAAATCAAACTAAAAAATAACGAACATTATAAATAAATTAATATAGAACAACAAGTACGAATTTAGCTAATCTAACGACGCTCGCACTTTTTACTTCGCTGCATAGCAAGAATATTATGCGCATGTGCTTGTAATCTACCGAATCACTATCTTTCTCTTTCCTACTTTCTACATTTGTATATATCTCTCTCTCTCTTTCATTGGAATATTTGGCTCTGCTCGATGCTTACCCACATGCTGGATTGTAACAAGTATAGTACGCGCATGCGTTCAAGCGCAATGCATTCGCTCTCGCTTAGTCTTTTTATCGTTTAACATTTAACGCAACCTTATTTTAAGTCCTATAAGAAGTTTCACTTCAATATAAATATTGTGATTATTAAAGTATTTTTATAAAATTTATAGTAGTTAAAAAAATTAAAATATATTATTTCGTTTAAATAATGTCAATAGTATAATATACATCATATGGAACAAAAGTAACCACTACGTCAAAATCTAAATGTATGTATACCAACATAAGCCAGTTGATACTTTACACATAGTCCTTTTTATATATATCATAACGAACAAGCTTCGTTAATGCTTCTGTACTTAGATATGTAATGAAATGTATAATTGTGTACTATATTGGCTGTCTTGATATTAATATAATAATCACATATATTGATATGTAGACTAGACCATTAGAATAGTGCCACAAATAGTAGCGATAGATTCGTGAATATAATGAGACTGATAGTTTTAAATATGTTTAGAAAATGAAGCGTACGGTAGCGGAGGTGTTAGTACCGGCTGTATTGAGACTGTATAGTCACCTGCGACCGCGAGGGGGACAAGTGGCCGCCTACCTCGTGAGAATAGCTACTGACCTGCTCAATGATTACAGGCTTGAGGTATGAAACAACGAAAAGGTTATATATATTATATCTTCTATATATATAAAAATGGATTGCTGTTCCTTAGTCTCGCTAAAACTCGAGAACGGCTGAATTGATTTGGTTAATTTTAGTCTTGAAATACTCCTGGAAGTCCAGGGAAGGTTTAAAAGGTGAGAAAAATTGGAATAATTGCCGGGAAAACCATAAAAACAGCCCTTTCCTATTTCCCATACAAACGTTTTTTTGACATTAGATTTGACAACTAACTAATATGACAATCATTTTGTTTGATTGAAACAGGAAAAACCTGATTATTTATGGCCTCTAATACGGAATAGAGTTCGCCTGGTCAGCTATACCTACATATATTACTCTTGACCAAACTAACGCGGACGAAGTCGCGGGCAAAAACTAGTACTATATAAAAATAAGTTGCTTTGCATTCCAAATTTAAAATTAAATATGTATACGAAAAAAAAATCCGTGTTTCTAATATAAAATACAAGTGAAACAAATTACAGATTGACAGCATTAAAATTGCAATGAAAAATGTTTGTCAGAAATACCATTGAGATTGTTGATTTGCAATAATTTGATTGTTTTAAAATTGTGAGGAATGATGGCAAAACTTGTACAAAACACTACTATATTAGCCAATGGAAATTAGGATTTGTTTGTTTTGATATTTGACTTTAAGAGTATCAGAACTAAGTTGTCTTGTAATATAGTTTAGTATAAATGTATTTGTTTCCTTCAGATCGAGGAACTGATAGTGAACGACGAGGAGCTGGTGGGTCGCGTGCAGCAGTTCCAGGAGACCATCGGCCTGGAGCCCATCGGGAACGAGAGGAACCTGGTGACCACGTCCGCCCCTCCAGACCCGGACACGCCGCGCGCCAGGAAGAGGCCCCACAGACAACAGGCACACTCACACAGGAAGAGGGCGCTCCGGATATAGTTATACAATATATAACTTGAGTTATGAAGGGAGAATTAAAATCTGTTGATGAGCGAAAATGTTGAATATATATAAACTGTTCTGTTAAGGGTGTAAAGGCAGTTAGACTGAGCTTTTGTTGTTTTTGTTTATATAACACAATTTTGTCATTCTAAAACTATCAATTTGATATTCAACATAAAAGATGAGTTATTGGTGTGGATATAAGAACAGAGATGCTATGAATGTAATTATGTAATAATTTTTAATCATAATACTTACATTTTTTTTGCAGTATTATCTCATATTTAAAAATAAATAAATTTCTGGTAACATTTTGGCAAAACAATTAAGAATAATAAAGAGAAGAAACCAGAAAAAAATGTTTTAATTTTGCTCCTTATAGGATATTTTAGTTGGCCAGATAGAGTTCAAACGAAATAAAACTTCAAGAATTTTAAAAATAAATAACTGTCCACAATAACAACTATATTAAACGGCGTACAAGAATAATTAGAATCCAAAATAATGTATCATGTCTTAACAATCATAAATCACGTGACATTGTTGAACTTTAACTTTGTCTCTAGATCACTTTCCTTTTCAATTATTAATTCCTTGCTGAAAGTCTTCTTAAGAAGCATTTCTATCGCCTTTTCTTCTGTAAATAAACAAATATTTAAAATAAATATCATCTCCATTACTTCTGATTATTAAAAAGATATTAAGAACAATAACGTTATATAGATTTTTTCATTAATGTATAAGTGAGGACAGTAATATTATTTTCAATACTAATTTTACAACACTAAAAGTAAAGTTACCTGTAATTTGTATGGCAAGCAATTGATGAACGATATGCCTGGCGGTTATCTTAAACAAATCTCTGTTGCTAATTTTTTTCTTCTTATAATAAGGCATCAACAGTTTAACAACGAGTCCGGCGACATCTACTTTCTCCGATTTCTTTTCTTTGTGTCTGTCTTTTTTCTTAACGTCATCTTTTATTTCTTCTTTTATTTTCGGTTTAGCTTTAAGTTTGTCAGGAGATATAACAGTCTCAGTTTTCTTAGTGTGGGGTATTATTTTCTCCTTTGTGCCATGTTTAGTCGGTGATTTGGACATAGTGATTGGACTCTTTGGTTTGTTTACTTTGACTTCAACTTTAATTTTTTCTTTTACTTCAGGTTTCACTTCAGGTTTGATTTCTGAAAACATTTTCAACTCCTGCAATACTTTTTCAGCTTCGAGATTAAGTTTGTATGCTTTATCTAAAGATTGTTCATCTACTATTTTGTCACCATCTAAATTGAGCATTTCATTTTCACTTATTACTTCAGATTTAATGTTAATGTTCTCATGCAGCTCTTTATTATCTTGGCTACTTTGAGTCTCTTCTTTCACAATAGACGTGTTTAATATATTTTGTTCAACAGCGGGGCCGGCTGTAGTTTTGTTTTCGTCTAGTATCTTTCTATCTCTGTCTTCATTATAATTCTTCAATTTCTTCTCTTTATGTTTACTCTTCTTTGTTCTAGACTGCGTGTCTCCAGATCTTCTTCTATGTGATTGTTTATTTGGTGACTTGTGTTCATCTTGTTTGTGTGATGTTCGAGATCGTTTTATTTCATTACATTCCGTTTCACTCTCAGACGATTCTCCGAACAGCGCCTTTATTTTTCTTTTTGCGGTGGGCTTTATCTTTTCGGGGGATGTTAGTTTACAATCTTTTTCTTGTTTAACTTTTACTTCTTTATTTTCTTCGTGTTTCGGTATGCCTTCTAAGGTTATGTTGATCACGATCATCTTTTGTTTTTTATTACTGGAATTACTATCGTTCCCCTCTGTATATGGTTTTAAACTTTCCTTACAGTCGGAAGTCGTTTTATCTTCTGTGAGTAGAGTGGAATCTGTGTCATATATTTTAGCGTTCTCATCTATGACTAGACCGCCTTCGTCCTCACTCAAATCTGAGCTTAGAGGTTCAGGAGATGATTTGGTTGAAAAGAAGTTTTGTAATTTGGTTTGAGTCAAAGGATCTTTTTTGAATGAATTCGCTTTCCTCTTAGTGTCTTTATCGGATTTAGATAAAGTTGGTTCTGTGTTTGATGCACCTGAAACGTAATGCTTAATATAAATATATTGTAGTGGCGATATAAACTATGATTATGACTAAACATACTGTTCTCTAACTGAGCGGCCGTTATAAAACCTAGATACTTTTGAGTACCTCGTTTAGCTTCGAAATCTTTTATAAAATCCATAAGAGAATCCGTTTTCTTTGGTTCAAAAGTTTTAAGACCCGGATATAGGGTGTCCTTGCAACCTTTGATAGCTGCTATCTAAAAAATTATGAATAATGATTAATTTACAAATATTTAATATAAATTTTCATTTAAACGTAAATATACCCATGCCTTTTACATAATATATATCTCTTTACCAATTTCGACATGGCTCTCCTATACAGGCTTATGACGGTGCTTTTATAAAACGCGTCATATTCTAATTCAATGGCGAACTGTTCAACATCCGTTCTCGACAATGTGTGGTCTGTTTCTTCAATACCTTTCATATTTGCAATATTCGTTCTTAACGCTTCAGTGAGTAAGGAAAGATAGCTTTCACGACTCGCTACCGTTAAACCGGTCACCTGAAATATTAATTTTTATTGATAAAACTTCTAAAATATATAATCCAGTAAATAATGTTAAATGGTATAATATTTCCTACCAACCTTGGTCCCTGTACTCTCAGCTGATCTACATTTCGAGTGTTTAGCGGACTCAGCGTCGTTGTTTGTTTTATTTTTCTCATTATTCTTCTTGCGGGCTGCGAACTCTTTTAATATAAGACTTTTCGTTTCTTCAGCGACCCGACGTCTGCTGGAATCACTGTCCGAGTCTCCGCTGCCGTCGCCATAGTATGACTCCGCCTCTCTAGAGTTAATTAGATACATTAGTAATTAGCTAAAACATAAACTATATTCATCAAAATTACTATTAAAATGCAACTTTTTTTATTTTTTAAAATGTCGCTTTGTCAGTATACATAACTTTAGGTAAATTATCATGAGAATGGGTCTAGTAACTTATGTGAAGAAACAGTTCTAAAAGGATACTCTTAAAAATATTCTTAAATTGCTAAATCTATAACCAGACTAGAGTCTAGTCATTTCCTTAATCTACTTTAATTATGTTCATGTCAGTTATATCATTAGTTAGCATTTTCATATAATTTATGGTGATTCCAACTTCCATAAAATCCTTCAGCCCAAATTAAAACATTGTACATCCATACTACTTCACCTACTATAAGTCTAAATTTATTTATATCTATCAAGTTTGATCCATCCACTGTACTAAGTGATCTAAATAAAGTCCATATTATTATTACACACTTCTTCTGTCCGTGCCGTCCCTCGCCATACAAGTGTGAGGAGTCGTTATTATCAAAGCCAGTGTTCCCCAGACTAGCGTTCATCGCCCGCCGCGTGTGTTGGTCGAGCGCGCGGCGGACGGCTCGCTCGTCTGTACACGCGTCACAGCGGGTGATGCACTGAGGGACCTCCTCGCCGAAGAAATCTGCGAAGGTCTTGTGGCGACATCTGGAGAAAAAACAGTAAACTAAAGATACGTGTATGTAAAGAATGTTTCCGTACTGAATAGTCAAATGTACCCTATACACAGTGCCGGCGTTAAGAGGGGGCACGATGTGGCGACGGCCCAGGGCGCCAAATTTTGGGGGCCGATTAATGGAGGTAGGATACTTATAACAAAAAAATAGGAGCTACATAACTTTTTACGTCCACGTCGTTAGCTCTGGGTCACGCTAAAGGAAAGATGGAAGATGGAATATAGAATTCTTAATACACGTTCAGTGTTCACATTGGTTCAGAAAAAAATTAATACTCGATTTTGATTTCTTCAAGTGGGCGCCAAAATATTCTTGCCCAGGGTGTCAGTCCTTCTAACGCCGGCACTGCCTATACAATATGTATTAAAACATGTAACAGAAGATATATATGAAGCAACTAATCAAGGAATAAACTATAATGACAAAATAAAAAATTAATTTACCTGACTTCTTCACAGTATTTGACCATAATTTCGAAACTCTTGTACGCGTTCTTACACCGTTGTTTCTGCTCGGGTGTCTTAGAGCGAGCTATTTCAGATTTCAGTAAAAAGTCTACGGCGTTTCGTTCACTGCGGCAGTAGTATATACGACAGAAGGCGGGCTTACCATCACGACCAGCTCGACCTGACTCCTGAAATATAAACAACATACATATATAGTAAAATATCTTTAAAATAAATTAAGCTGCATTTAAATAGGGAACAGTATTAACGGGTTCATATAACAGAGTATTGGAAATATTTAAAAGTAAGCCGATATTAAACATTTGTTTTTACTTATTACTCACATTTTAATAAATTGTAAATATAAATTATATAGAAGCAAACTAATTACATAGACCTTATTAGTCGAAGAAATAAATAAATTTTGGAAGGTAATTTGAAAACTAACAAAACCTAAAGATATAACTTAATAATACAAAAAGTTTGAAAGTTTTCTGCATATTTATAGTATATTATTATATATTAACCTGGTAGTAAGCGGCCACATTCTGCGGCAGACCCCAGTGCACCACAGCCCTCACGCTGGCTTTATCAACACCCATACCAAATGAAACAGTAGCACTCACACACGGAACTTCACCATTAGACCAACGGTCTTGGACAGACACACGCTCGCTACTCTTTAAACCTAGAAAAACACAAATCAATATATGAAAAATATAAGTACAAAAAAAGTTAACGATACCTCCCGGGAAAATTGTTGTATGCCATAAAAATGCTATTTTGCTTTTTTTATGAAAATTAATCTATTATGGATCATTATGTCCATACAAAGTAAAAAAACAACAAAAACGCTATTTTTACAGAGTTTGTCAGACGCATACCTAATTTTGTAATTATAAAATTTTTCAGATTTTGTTTTAATTTGAATCTTTGAAACGCTCTACTGTAAATTTACAGTTTGGATATACAACAACTTATATAAGGATTCTATTTACTTCAATTTATGTTATAAATAAGTTTAAATAATTAATAACAGAAAGTTTCACTTTCTTGTATTCACACTCACTAATAGCTAATTTATTTGTAATTTTGTGTCTATCTACTATAAAGTACAGTTTAGATATAATATAGAAGGTTTAAAAAATTATATATTGTTTTTATCTCTAATGTCTTAATTTCAAAAAGTTAGTTTCAATCTGTGTAGGCAATTAACACTTATGAGTTATGACTATATTTTACCTTTTAAAAACAAAGTCAATTTTATGGCAACGCTTTTACCTAAAACCTTAACATATTTAGACTCAAAAGGACTTGTATCCAGAGCCGTAAAAATATTTACAATAAAAAAGCCTTAACATACAAGATCACAGAAATAAACTTAAACAAATATGGAATGTGATTTGTAATATAGATTTTTTTTAATATCAATAATAACCTACCACCATGATATGCCAAGCAATTTAGACCTCTTTTTGTTAGCATGCTGGCAATATCTTCTGTCTGTTCCCTTGTCCGACAATACACTATGGCTGCACTCCTATCTTTCTAAAAATTATAATTCATACATATTTAAAACACCTTCATATTATTTAATATAAAATCATAAAGTGCTTTATTCCTGGCAAATATAACATTTGCAGGATTAAAAAATAATTAAGCTTACTATTGAAAATATAATTGTAGAATAATATCATATTATATATTTATTACTTACAGGTTTAACATTAACTTCATCCTTCAAATTTTTCTTTAAAAATTCTACCAGGTCCCCTACTTCATCCTGGATACAATTCTGATAAACAACATCGTAGTATAAATTTCTTCGGAAACTGGGAGTTTTGTACTGTGCAACTGGGTTTAGCAACTTAAGATTTGCTAATATATCTTTAGTTACTTCTGCACTGGCGGTTGCTGTGAGGGCAACCCATGGTATACTTTTAAATTTTTCCCTCAGGTTACCTAACTTGAGATAATCGGGTCTAAAGTCATGACCCCACTCACTTACACAATGAGCTTCATCTACAACTACATATGAAACCTTCTTATACTTCACTAGATGTTCCATGAGTGCTTTAAATGTACCCGTGGCTGCCTGCTCCGGTGTTACATATAAAAACCTTGTATTAGGTTTCATACTACGAAGGTCATTCAAAACTCTTTCTCTGTCTTTTTGAGTCATTTTAGAGTTTATAGATTCAGCAGCGATTTTCAATTTAGTCAAGTGATCAACCTGATCCTTAATTAAAGCTAATAAAGGCGAGAAAACAACTGCAACCTTATTCTCCTGCAACATCGCTGGCAATTGGAAACATAATGATTTTCCAGAACCAGTAGGCATAGATACGAAAACATCGTGAACTCCTGAAAGTAAATAAATTTGGATTTTATTTCTCACTATCAAATTTTAAGAAATAGTGCGCGCATTTTTAAACACTTCACATTCTTAGATTGGTAGTATTGTTATTATGGATTCAAGAAAATATTCACAAATAGAAGCACATACATAATTTTCAATAATAGTTAAATTATAACATTAAGAGAAAGCTTTTAAATAATCTTTGCTCACCCCTAGCGATTGCTCGCACTGCTCGTTCTTGCAATTCACTTTTAAACCTTCGGTGACCAAAACATTGTAATAATTTTTCTGTAACGTTATCCATCGTGAACTCTGAAACACTGTGTCTTGGAGGTATTTATAATTTTATTATTTACATCACTAATCCTTCAGATGTTTGAGAACAGAACTTGAAATCACATTTAATATCTTATATGCATAAAAATGAAAACAACCTAGAAATAAAAATACTCCAAAACCGGAGTTTGACATTTTGACAGTTCTAATATGTATCATGGGTGCCAACTTTCAGGCGCTTGTTCATCAGTATATTGTATTAGCATAATAACTTCGCTGTTAACCTTCACTATTTTTCCCGCCAACTTTGTTTTGTTTTGTTATATATTATGAAGTTACAGATTAAAAGCAATGATAGCCATCCAGATCCGGTTTTTAAATACGAATATTGCTTCTTTAGATAACTTAATAAAGTAAGTGAATACATAATTTTAAAACTAAAACTTTAAATTAAAGTAATGTGATGAAATTCAAGATTTTCATAAATTTTTATGGGATTTAATGTTGTCATTATTTTACAGCTACAATGAGTAAGCGAAAGAATCCATCTACCAATAATAATCTGAATGCAGATTTTTGTGATTTTTTAATGGAATTAGCCGATTATGAAAAAAATGTCAGTCGTAATATTCATAAATACAATGCTTATCGTAAAGCTGCTAGCGTTTTAGCTGCGCATCCCAAACGTATTGAATCTGGACAGGAAGCAAAGAAGTTAAATGGTGTAGGAGAGAAAATATCCAACAAAATTGACGAGTTTTTACAAACGGGAAAATTAAGAAAATTAGATAATATACATAATGACGAAAAGGCACAGGCTATTAGTTTACTGACACGGGTTTCAGGAATAGGTCCTGTGAAAGCTGCCGATTTAATAATTAAGGGTATAAAAACTTTAGAAGATTTGAACAAAAACAAGGATTTGTTAAACCACCATCAACTGATTGGTCTGAAGTAAGGCCTTGTAATTTTCATAATTTTAAATATTCCAAAATTTCAATGAATATGTAAATGCTATACATACTTAGTTATATATCATAATTACTTATTGTTGTAAAACATTTGTTTATCTCAAGGTACTTCGAAGATTTCGAACAGAAAATTCCTCGTGAAGAAATTCAAAAAATAGAGGCAATAATAAAGAAAAATATTTTAAATTTAGATTGTGATTATACTATTACCATTTGTGGCAGTTACAGGTAAATTAATTTCATTTGTTTTTTCCATGAAACGATTTTAATTTGTGTTTCGTTAATACTTTGCTTTCTTCAAGGCGCGGTGCATCACAAAGTGGCGATATTGACGTACTAGTTACACACCCAACAATGAAATTGGATAAGGAAAAAATAGGTGAAAAGCTTTTGAAAAAAATAAAAGAGGCTTTAGGTGAACTCATTGTTGACGTGATATCAATGGGTGCAACTAAGTTCATGGTAATTTTTTATACTTTTTTTTATATCTACCTCAAGGCTTAAATTTTTTTATCAATATATTTTTAAATCTATGGCTTCATTCGCATTGGAATCGTGTAATATTTTGCCAATGCCAACATCTTTAATTGTGAGACGAATTAATTATATATCAATTTAGGTTGGTTGGTTGTTAAAAATATGGCCTTGATCCGTGCAAAGATATATCAATTCTATAAATATTGCTTTAAGCTGTTAATTTTGACAATTCAATGTATAATAATTATTGAGACATCACATGTCATCAGGGCGTGTGTCGTCTGTCAGAAGAACATTTAAACCGGCGTTTGGACATCCGGCTTATACCGAACGAACAGTATCACTGCGCGGTTCTTTACTTCACCGGAAGTGACGTTTTCAATAAAGATATGAGAGCCCACGCTTTGGAAAAACGTTTTACACTGAATGAATACTCCCTGCGGCCGATAGGTGTCACCGGTAATGAGAGTCGTGTGTATCAAATACATATATTTGTAATACAATTTATAAAGCTACATTTCTATCTAGGTGTTCACGGACAGCCGGTGCCTATCACATCAGAAGAAGACATTTTCGACTACATCGACTATCCTTACAAGAAACCGGAAGAACGAAATCTGTAGACATTATTTATTACATTACAATAATATTATTTATCTTCAACGCATTACATAATCTCAATATAATTATATTTTTCATTCAAACATTCCATACATTCTGTAATAATAACGCAACTTTGGATCATGCACTTACAATGAATCAATCCTGTTGATAATACAAAAATAATATACAAAGCATATAACTGGTTTAAGCGAACAGTCTTCACGCAATGAGATCTACTTACGCGAAATAATATTAAAAAAATAAAATAAATGTACATTAAAAAAATAAATTATAAATCTATAATTATTTTATAATAACATTTTTTTTAATATACTTAAAACATAGCAAGCAAAATCAATTGACTAAATAGTGTTTAAAACTAGTTCTCATTAAATTTATTAATAATTGACAAATCCACTTAAAACTTTATATAAAAATTAACATTATCATAGAGTTTGTATCACATTCATTATAAATCACTGAAATATAATAATTTATGGTTAACAATTTTTTTTCTTCATAAATGCCTAATATGTCTTTGGAATTTATCATTAAAAATCTCCACTTAAACCAGAGCAGGAATTAAAATATTCTATTCTTAATCAACGTTAGTATTTTAACATTCCAAAGTTATTGGGATATGTTTAATTTAATAACTGTTCAATCTGAAATATGACTACTTGTAATTCTTCTTACTCTAGTCTCTAGAGTTATTGCAGAAGGAAAATAATATTTATGATTATTTATTACTTCAAAGGAAGAAATAAATTTAATCTGTCATATGAATAGTAATACTTATATAGCTATTGGAATATAGATAAATTTGCCAGTATTTTTTTTTTGTGGGATTGACAAGTAATATTGGCTGTATGATGCCAATATTATATAATTATATAATGTTGGCATCACTGTACAGGATGTAAAAGTTGGTATAAGTGTGAGGTGGGGTCGGCGAGCGCGTCGTCTGGGGTCCGCATTTCCAGTACGCGGCCAGCGCCCATCACGAGCACACGTGTGCACTCTAACACTCCAGCCACACGATGAGCCACGAACATCACCGTACTACTACTGAACGAGCACCTGATAGTGTCTAATATGACGCGCTCGGTGTCCTGGTCTAGGTTCGCTGTTGCTTCATCCACTAGAAGTATCTGAAATCAGTTCATTATTTGAAATAACTCTTTACAATGGTTACTTTAATAAGAAATACGTTCAAAGGTGTAAAATTTAGAGTACCTTAGCTTTTTGTAACACCGCTCGTACAAGACACAGTATCTGCGCGTGTCCTTTCGACAGCAGTACGGCTGGTGAGTGTAGCCCCCCGTGTGACGTCACCAGCGCCCTCGCCCCACACGCGTCAAGAGCTCGCCACACCTCCGCGTCCAAATACTGACCTAGAGGGTCCACGTTCTCTCGGATGCTGCCAGAAAATATGAAAGGCTCCTGCGGGATCATGCCTATTCGGGATCTGTGGAAAATAAATACACTCCTAATTAATATATTACAACTTAACATACACATTTGGCACTTCTAAGTATATATTTTATTAAAAATATATTTATTTCCATATCATATCACTTTTAGTTCATCATAGCATGCCTAAAATAGTTTTAAATTGGAATACTTGTAAAAAATTATGAAGTGTAACATATTCTATAGCCAAAATTTCGTAGGCTTGCAAATTTATTTACAACGTAAATTTTTATTAATGGAGTTATCATTATTCTCAGCTATACGTTTGCTTTTATGAACATAAAAAAGAATACAGACATAGATCACGCAATCGCACATCCGATATACGCTAATTTTTTTATGATAAAGGGAGCTAACGATTCTCTCACTCATCGGACGAAACGTAACCCTTAAAGACTACGCTGATCTTGTGTGAGAGGGTTATACATTCCCTGTCGAGTCAGCATATGTTCGAGCTGCAATAACTTGACCCACGCTAGGGTTTGCCAAATTGAAAGTTATTGCTTAAGTAAATAAAAAACTACCTTAAAGCGTGCAGATTCAGCGTGGCGACATCTACTCCGTCTATAACGACTCTTCCTCTGCTGCAAGGCGCCAGTCGTAGTGCCGCTCGCAGTAGAGAGCTCTTACCAGCGCCTGTTCTACCAACCACTCCTACCCTTTCACCCGGCGAACATGAGAATGAGACTCCACGCAACGCTGATCCGTTATTACTGAGGAATATACATAAAAATAGTTAATATAATATATCTTATATATTTAAATCAGCAATTCTTGTATATATATTTATATATAATCGGAATCGGCTCCAACAATTTTCAGGAAATTTAGTGTATGGGTGGTTCCGGGAGCGATAAATCGATCTAGCCGGAAATCATTTTTTGAAAATGTTATTTTATAAAAAAAAATAACAAAAAGGAGTCGTTTAAAATATGACTCTTCCTTACATCTATTGGCGAATAGTAACACTATTTTTGCTAATTGCTTTAACGACACAATAGCAGATGGCGTTGTTAAGTACCAAGAAGTAATTGAGTGTTTGTTTTGAGGTTAGACTAAGCAATTAATTGTTGATTTATATTGTTTTGTGTCTTCTTAACGTGTTCACATAAGAATGCCTAAACGAAATAAAAAAAAAAAAAAAAAACAAAATAAATGCTAATAATTCGTAAATACCGAGCAAAGCTCGGGAAGCAGATATTACGATTTTAAATTAGAAATTAAATTTATTGTTTAAATTACCGTTTCATGAAACTATTCCATGCTATCTAGCTCACAGTTGGTAACATGACAGTTATAAATTGCGTGTACTTGTTAAGTGACTAAAGATGCGCTCAGTTACAACACAATATCAAATGCCAATGTGCTTAGTAATATACTTAAGCACATACATTTACAATTAATAAAATACACCGTAGTCTTGTAAAATATAATACTGGCGGCTTTATTATTATTTGTCTCCGGGCAACTCAATATAAAATAGACACAACAAATGGTGGGGGGGAGGAGTTGTCAAATTAAAATTCTGTAAAATCGCAACAACGCTACGTACATATAAACTATTTATTGAATAAAATAGTTTAGGAAAAAACTAGAAATAAATCTCTAAACTAGCAGATTAAAAAAACATTGCAAAAAGTCTCCGTATCTTTAATATACAACTAAAGATATTTTTTGTTGTGGATGTAAGAGTTAGATTGAAAGTGGGTTAAAGGATTGTGGGGAAACTGTATTCTCTTTAAAGGGAAAATTTGCGACCCTTGAAAAGTATAACATAATATAAAATATAAATTACATTATACAAAGTAGAAACGAATAGAAAACCAATCGACAGCCTGGTTTACGAAAAAAAAGTAATTGAGGAAACCTTATAAAAATGCACTCACTGTATAAAAATGTAATTTTAAATATAAAATCATACCCATATTTCAGATAAACGTCTTCGAAACTAATCACCCCGTGAGACGGCCAGCCGTAAGGTGGTGAATCACCAGCGATCTTTTCACTTTCCACCTAAAAAATAATAATAATATTAAATTTTTCCTTCTATACGTCGTCATCTTTATCACTAATACGCCATCATCAATCCTACTAATATTATAATTGCGAAAGTTTGTGTGTGTGTGTGTATGTTTATTACTTCTTCACGCACAAACGGCTGAACCGATTTTGATAAAATTTTGTGTACAGGAAGCTGACGTCCAGGAATAACACATATGCTACTTTACATCCCTAGCAGCTAGTGTGTCTATATGTGTGGTTTTTACTTTGGTTGATACTGCCATTTGGCTACAAGGGAGACAGTTGAAAATCAGCAGAGGGATAAAAAAACCCATATACTGTCACAAGTTGTAACACAAGCTGTCTCCTTTTGTCTGCACACATATATTAGTTATATTCATTTTCTTTATTTTTGTAATATTGTTTTTGTATTTATTTATTATTTATTACATACCTGTGTAATATATTCTCCTACTCGTTCCACGGCTATCATTTCCCTTTCAGTCTCTGTGAATGAGTTCAGTACGTTGCTGAGCATAGACGTCATAGACAAGGCATACGATATCGCCAAGCCAACGAGACCTGATAATAAATATAAATAAGTCAATAAATCTATATTTTTAGGATTACATATAAGATATAATTTAATAATGAGATCGTATGAATTTATATTCCATGTTTTTATTGTATAAAATATATAGGTATGTACATATATGAAAATTAAAAGGATAATAAATGGCCAATTCATTACATTTCAATATAAGGTTACTTACTAATTAAAACTTTACCCTCAAAGTGATAACTCAATATTAGAAGATAATCTAGTGACCAAAATAATTTTAAATTTGGAACGAAAAAAAAATAATACAATCAATTTACAGTACGTTGAAACAGTACTGTGTCTTTAACTTCTTAATTATATCAATGAACGTAAAAATTAATTCAACTATCTACCGGGATCAGCGGCGTGTGTCGCACGCTGCATTGCCGCGAGCAGCGCTGCAGCGGCTACAACAGCAGCGGCGGCCGCTTGCAGTCGTAACGCGAGCCACTGTGCTGCAGCCGCTGAACACAGCGCTGTCCGCTGCCAGCGTTCAACAGCCTCCTCGCCGCGAGCTGCCCAGCGGGACGAGCCGCCGAGCGCACGGATACTGCTCACACCTATAATATAATTTGCAATACTTTACTTATCAACATAAATATATTGAATTATAACGTCATATTAAACTGACATTTATTCAATATAGTAACTATAATTAATGATTTTATAATGTCAGTAAGGTATGATTTTTAACTGTCATGGTAGCATACATCGAGCAGAAATTGCCTAAACAAAAATACCTGCTTTTTTAAAATTGATATATCTAATTCGTTTATTAATGCAATGAAATTTCTTTTCCTCATATGAGTTAATTAATTCTCCATATACGGTACTACTAAGAAATACAATAATATGGATACTTTATTAAGTATTAACAAACATTTGATGGCGTTACATAAGTATCTAATTTTCTATCATGAAAAATATTCTGCATAAACGATGTTTTGTTTATTTTGATTTTTCCATACAATAGAAACCATTATTTAAAAGCTTATTTAAAAATAAATTGATTACCTTCTAGGGTGTCGTTAAAATGTACATAAACAGGAGATAGAGCGACGCTCTGTAGACGCCTTAGTTGGCGGGAGGTGACACGGTAACGACGTTGTAACCTGCGTTAATAAATAAATTATATATACCGGCTTTTGCCTGCGACTTTGTCCGAGTAAGTTTCATAATAAGAAATGTATGTATATCTAACCAGACGAACTGTTTCGATTTAGAGGCAATAAATAAACAGATTGCGGATTTTATTAGCTATTTTTTTGTTCTAAGGATTTCAAAAGTATCCTTTGTCCATCCGATGATTCCTACCTACCTCCCCACAAAATTCCAGCAAAAGGCATACAGCCGTTTTTAACTTAGAAATAGTGTAACTAACATGACTTTTTACATATTTATATGCACATATGAGTACACACGATTAACATAACATACAATTATTATTTATATAATCCAATTATTAAAATACTATATAACGTTTTTTGTGTCCAATGTGATTTTTACTAATTTAGGAACATATGAGATTTATATAATAACAAATATATAATCAAATATTCAAGTCAGTCAGTTAGTTGAAGTCAGTGGTGGCCTAGTGGTTAAGGGGCCCGCCTCTCGTTGCCGAGGGCGCGGGTTCAAACCTGGCAAGTACCAATGTGATTTTTCGAAGTCATATGTACTTTCTGAGAGTATTTAGACATCACTGACATACGGTGAAGGAAAACATCGTGAGGACACCTGGACTTATAGTTTCACAATTATAAGTTTGAAATCACCAACCCGTCTTGAGCAAGCGTGGTGATTAATGCTCAAACCTTCTCCATGTGAGAAAGAGGCCTTGCTCAGCAGTGGGCTCTGATAGGCTGATGGCAATCAAATATTTATAATACACAAACCTGTAGTAGATGAATGTCATGGGAAGAACACCAACCAACAACCAAGGAAGACCATACACTGTTACAGCAACCGCTCCTACACACAATAATACAAAAAGAAAATATTATACACATAATAGAAGATATATAAGAAAATATTAATATAGCATATTATATAGAAGAATAATTACCAATTAGAGAACAGAATTGTGCTAAAAGAATGTTCATAATGAATGGTAGAGAATCATCCACTGTGTATGTATCAGATGAAAACCTGTTTATGATACGACCCGCTGGAGTTATGTCGAAAAATTTAACATTCGCCTGGAAAAGAACAAATACTTATGGTATATTTAATATTAAATAGTTTTATATTGTGATAAAAATGCCTTAAAATATGTTTTTAACAGATCAGCAAGTATTATTTATATGTAATTATTATTAAAATACCTTAACGATGACTTTGAGAAGTATTCTGTGTATCTTCGAAGCTGCTTTAACACCGCCATAAGCAAACAGGAAGGCCCTCATTATAGTGAATACCAAATTAAGTCCAGCTAAACCGAAATAAACTTCTAGGTAATAATTATCAGTGTACGAATTAAGTCTTAACTTGGGTTCTTCTAGGACAGTAGCGACATCTAGTGACGGTTGAGTGGTCATATTGAAATTATTAATAACAGCCAATGTATTTACAATCGTATGAACGATATTGTCAGCTAAATTGAACCCGTGATCCAGTACTGTTGTGTTCTCATGTACATTGTCTATGAAGAGAGCTGTCGAATTCTTTGTTTTGTTCCTGACCCAAAATGTTAGCCAGACGAAGGTGAAGTTCTGTGATAGCTGCATTAATATCAACGATATTATGATGCATGTTGTTAGAAACGCTCCCACTGATCTGAGGTACAGACCGATCACCCACCAGTCCACTGAACCTTCTGACATAGCTTCCTGGAAACAAGGAATATAATCTTTATATATATAATTCTTCTGTGAGCGTGTAAGTCACTGAACTTCTCTCAAACGACTGTACCGATTTTGATGAAATTTTTTGTGTGTGCTCAAGGGGACCTGGGAATGGTTTAGAATCACAATTATTCCCGCTGGACAATGTTTTTTTAATTATTTTTTAATTAATTAGTAGTTTTTTATACAAACGTTTTTTTTGTGACATAAGATTTGACAACTAACTAATACGTCAATCATTCTGTCGAAGTTCAAAACACGGAGATTAATGGCTTTAATAGGTAAACTCCAAAAATATAAATAAAAAACGTAACAGAAATTTCCTGATTATAGGGCGATACGAAGTTCGCCGAGTCTTCTAGTATATACATACAGTGCAACCTCGATACAAAAAATCGGATGGGAACAAGAAAATATTCGTTGTATCAAATAATTCGTTGAACTGAGATTTGTTATGTTGAAGTTAGGTCTGTCCAAAATTTGCTATAGAGTTACTATATATATAGTTATGTGTACGCTTATATAGTGTTATACTCACGTCATTGTCTAAGCTATTTCTACTGACGTTATCAGATTCGTCGTGTTTCTTCTCTTCTTCTTGGATCTGGGCCGGTTCTTCGCCTAATGAGTCCGCTTCACTGGGAAAATATTCTTCGATTTCGTTCAAGACGGCTTCGGGTGAACCTGAAGGATTTTTGACAATATTAATTTGTTATAATAATTATAATGTAGAAATATACTCTGAAGTAAAATAAATATTTGTCTATCAATTAAAAGAAAAGTTCCGAACTATTGTTATGGCATATCATATAATAGTAGCTTTATAAATAGCTTCATAATTTAACTATTAATTGTATAAAAAATATAAATATATACTTATTAACAAGTTTAATCATTAGTGGTATACAGGCGACTTTAAAAACAGGTTCTGTTTTTAAAGTCGCGCTAATGTTCATACATTAAGAATTTCTCATAGTTCAAATAGTATTACCGAGTGCGGCGATCCGTCCCTCCTGTAAGAGCAGAGCCCGCGCCGCCCCCGCCAGATGGCGTGGTGAGTGAGTCACTAACACTCGTGTGGTGTGTCGCAACACACCCATCACGCAGCGATGCATTATATGTTGTGCTACCGACGCATCCACGCCCGATAACACGTCGTCTAGTAAATATACTGAAGAAAAGAAATTTATATTGTTAGTAGATTTATATTAATATTGAAACCTACTGATTGTTTTTAATAAGTTTTAAGGTCAGACCCTTATGTGTTAGGAAAGATATGAATAGTCAAAATTAAAGAAGAATTCAATGTTATACAGTAGATATATTTCAACATGAATTTAAAGCTATATTACTGTAGTTTCATCAATGTATTACGAATACCTACACATACAAACCACATTATATTGTTCATAACGAATTACCGGTACTCCTTAAATACGACACATATAATATTTACACATTTGTATTCTACCCTACAATAATATATATACCTTGTTTGTCCTGGTACACAGCCCTCGCCAACGCCACTCGCGCCCTCTGTCCTCCGCTGAGAGTACAACCTCCCTCACCCACATACGCATTCCAGCCGAGAACGTTCAAGTCTTCTGTATATGCAACAAATACATATGCATTAACATATATAAATCATACCATTGTGTATTTATATTCCAGATACTCGGTATATAGGTACTATTGACGACAATATATTACATTTAAAATTTTCGTAAGTATACATTAAAATAGGACTACTTTTATTAAATTTTTAAATGACAGATAATTTCATTTCGTCTGCCAGTGATAAAATAATAAATTCGAGAGTGGATTCCGCAGTATATACTATTTTTTGCCAGAGACTTCATCCGCATTATTTTCGGATTTAATAATATATGTATAGCTGACCGGGCGAATTCTATTCAGACCTAAAATTCGTAAGTAACTAGATATTGAACTTTACTTAGTTTTTTTTTAAATCCAACAGAATTAAATATCCTATGTCCATCTTCTTGTTCTAATTTATCTTTCCGAAAATTTTCAGCCAAATCCCTACAGCCGTTCTTGCGTTATAAATAGTGTAACTTACACAACAATCTTTTATATATATGTATATGTATATCCTCAGTATATTATATATATGTTTATATACCTGTGAGAGCACACGCGTCCACCACCGTCCTAAACTTAACCTCGTCATAAGGTTTGCCGAATAGAATGTTGTCACGTATTGTACCGCGGATGAGCCACGGCTGTTGAGATACATAACCGAAACCTGGAAGTAAATACGAAAAACGGTGATTGAGATAAATGAGAAAAGAAGATTAAATCAATACAGTTAATACTCTCATTAAAATTACGAAGAAATAAATATACATTTATAGAGAAACCAGGTTTCAAACCCGGAACCAATATGACACGCATTTTAGTTGTTATTATTTTTTTATAATTCTATATTTTATATTTGAATTTCAATTAGACAAAATGATACTACGTTCAAATTATGCCTATGTTATAAAGGGTGCTCTTTTAAAACACTTTTTAGAATTAAAAAGAAAGGTTGGTGTAATTTTGTTGTAATTGTGGTCAGTGTAACACTCACTGTCAAGATTCTCTGGTATCTGTATGTCACCGCTTTGTTTAATCATGTCACCTATAAGCGCCAGTAGTAAGGATGTCTTTCCGCTGCCCACTGGACCAACTATACCTATTAATTCCCCTTTACCAATCTCCAATGAAATATCCTTCAATTTGAATGGCTCATGAATTGTCCCATCCTGAGAGGATTCAGAATTAGTTCTATCGAGTCGTTTAGATAAATTCTTCTTAGATTTTCCTTTGTTTTTCTTAGATTTAGATGCCACCTTCTTCCAAACCGACGGCTTAGCCCATGTGAATGTGGCGTTCTTTAATATAATAATTTTATCTTCATCTCTATTAGTGTTGAGGCGATCGTAATAATATTCAAGATCCATGTCCCTGAGCTAACGGAAATAAAAAATATTTATAAATAAATTTAGTCTTTGGTCATTATCAAATAATTTTACACTACTATGAGTATATTATCATGTTAAAATATAGTGTTGGAGTTCTAGTTCCCACTTACATCAAGAAGCTTCTGAATACGTTTTATAGAAACCCAAGCTTCAGTGAGACCATTCAACACCCAGGGGAATGCATTTAGAGGCGCAATCAGCATGTTTATTAAGGCTATAGTTGTGAACACCTGAAAGAACTCATTTTATTATTAAAAACATATTATTATTGAAATATATATAAAGTAAACAATTATTTTCAGAAGACGATAATTGTTATATTGTCGATGAAGTACCAATACCTCCTAAGTGTTGAGAATCTAATTTTACACCAGAAGAAAAAAACTGTTTTCAAAAAAAGGTTTTATTTATTTTGATTGATAGTAAAATAGTTTCTAATACATTACCTTTTTATAAGTTACGAATGAATATGTTCATGTTTACATTTTATAGGTAGGTATTTCGTTACTTAGGACAAAATTGTCAGTTGTATTGGTACATCATCGACGATAATTGAAATTGACGCATTTGAATTTAAAAATATAAAAGAACTGGCTAGTTACAAAATATATGTATATTAAAAAAAAACAAAAATCGCAGTATAAAAGCAGTCACCGTGGGTGCATCGAGGGTCAGTCCGCGCAGTGAGTGAGTGCCGAGAGTTAGCGCGGCGACCAACACAGGAGTACTCGCCCATAGCACTACACAAATCGCGTCCAAATACTTCCTGCCGCGTAGGTAATGCAGTTCCTTCTTCCGAGCCTCTATAAATATGACATATTTTACCCATAGAAATCTAAGGACTTATTATTGCATTCATGTATTATTCAGGTATTAACTGCTAGATTGGTCAATGGATTGAACTATGTGGCTTAAGTACAGTCTCACTATATTATAAAGATATTTTAGTTACATGCAGTGATCGCAAAAATAAATTTCAATGAACATGTCATTGACACATTTTACTTGCAAATACGGTATGAATATAGAATACTTAGAAATTAGCACTATTAATACGGTAGATTAATTATTCATAAAGACGTTATATTGACTATTTTAATAATAATTTAAAAATTTTGCACTTAATTCCATGCTTAGGTAAATATAAGCCGCATCCGAAATCAAAGACAAGCATGATAATAACTATATCTAACCAGAAAAAATTAAATTTAAAATGTTAAATTCAAAGACCGAAAACTGGCCGTTTATAAAAGATACTCTAAAACAAAAAAAAGGTATTTAAACTAATCTAATATGTTGGAATTACTACGCGATTTTTTATTTTTGACTATATATAAACTACTATACACATCTCATCTGCCAGTGACCATGGTTGCTGTGAAATAGCCCAAACGTCGGGAGTATGTAGTTAATAGTAAAAAATAAAAAATCGCATAGTAAATCCGAAAATATTAGTTTCATTTAAATGAGTACTCGACAAAATCTTATATTTTATTAGGTATTTAAACGATTCGAATGATATTACCGTTGACTCTGTCAATGAAGTAGTCTTCCCAAACATGAACTTTGACTGTTCTAATACCGCGGAGCATATCGCTGATGAGACTAACACGGTCGTCCTTGAATCTCATCATTTCCGTACTCAAATCACCAATCTTATTGGCTATCAACTTGTTTATAGGAATAAGTATCACTGAGAACGCCACTCCGGCTAAGAAAGATACACCCACTTGGTCGTATAGAAGGTACAGTGTGATACCTAGCTGTAAAAGATTAAAAGAAAATTATTCAATATAATATAGGAAAGTTAAGTTAAATAAAATAACTATAATTATAAAGAGAACAGGAGACTGTAGATAATAAATTAACATCGATTACAGTCAAGTAAGCCTGTAAAAAAAATTATGAAATGCTTTGTGGTGGGAGAAAACCATAGACAAAATTATTAAAGGATATTTTTTTATTTTACTCACTTGCAAAGGAATGCTCCATACCGCATGAAAACTTGGACACGCGTTAACAATACGATCAGTGTCAGTTGACATAAAATTAGTTATTTCTCCAACTGAAAAGGCTCTGTTCAGTTCTGTTGACGTCACGCTAAGAGTCTTCCTTAAGATTGTAGAAATAATAGCACCTCGCATCTTTAAACCGATGATCGACATCAACCAGTTGAAATGTACGTTGAATAAAGCTCCAATCACAGTGGCCGCCAGTAATGACGCAGCATAGACATATCTAAAAAAATAATATTAAATTTATCCCATACTAGTTTTTGCCTGGACTTCATCAGCGTTAATTCCACAATTAGTAATAGGTATATGAGTAGCTGTAGATATTGGAATTTATTAAGTTTTTTTTTTTGGATTGAACGGAATTGAATATCCTATGTCCATCTCCTGGTTCTAATTTATGTCACCGCCAATTTTCAACCATATTCCAAGAGCCGTTCTTGAGTTATAAATATTGTAACTACCACAATATTCTTTTATTTATATATAGATTAAAATATTAAAAATTACCCATAATGTTGATCGATACTGTCGTCCTCAACGAATGTTATTAATTTGTTCAATAATATCGGCCCAGCGAAACCAGCCATATCTGATACTAGTTTAAGGACTCCAATACCATAGAATTGTAGAGCAAAACAACTGTGCAGTGCGCGAAAGAGAGAGACGTTCTGCCGTCTCAACGGACGTAGCAGGACGCGTGACGTAGGCGTGACAGCCGTTGAAGTGGTCTCTGTTACGTCATCCGTTGATCCATACCCTAATTTAAAAAAAAAACACAGAAATGTTATAAGACCTCTTTGGTTTTAAATATATAATTACGAAGATCCTATATATTTTAGTGTGAAACATAATTTTTTTTTTGTATATTTCAATTTAATATGTTACCTTTATAATAGAAATCAAATAAAAAACTTTAAAATAATGTAAATTAAATAAGACCAAAAAGTTTTTTTAATATACTTATCACTTGAATTACAGTTCAAATAGAAAATATAAAACAAAAAGTTTATCAGTTTAAGCATAAATCAAATCTACAACCTACTTTATTTTACGGAAGAATATTTCTGAAAATAACTAATCAAACTAAATAAGTAAATATAATTATATGACATAGATTGTCTACATACTAGAGCCTATAAATGGTTGATGAGGAACTTCGGTAAACTGCTGATAATTGTCAACATTTCCAATAAGAGCCCTGTCTATTCTCGCTCCAACATATGAACATCTGTATTTTGATGGTATATCATACAATTCTTCGACATCCTGCAACTTCTTTTCATATCCTTAAACAAATTAAATGTTATTAATGACTAATAATTATGATACCATGATACTCATATGAGTTAACCACATTGTTTTGATAAGTTTATTCTTATATAAACATTTCAGAGCCATATCATAAGCTGTATTCATATTAGTTTTAAGCATTTATTTTTAAAGAACTTATTAATATAAAAAATATATGCTCGGAAATAGTTATTAATAAAATATTATAAAGCATTTCCAAACTCTAAAAAAAATATATTATTATTCTATTAATAACACAGCACAACAAAATCAAACTTTTTTTTTGTTGCATGAAGTTTTTCTACTGTTGTTTACTAATTTGGGTGCGCTAATTTTAAATCTGACCTCAGATTTTTTGTAGCAGCTCTAGTTAGTCAGATACAGGTCCGTCTTGAATTTACATAAGTTGTCAATAGTTTCTGCCAATAGCGGTGTAACTTAACTAGTCCCTTTATAAATTTCATTATGTCTTCCTCAAGAAGGAGGTGTTTAAATAATCCTGAGTGTTTTTGTGCTATTTGCGGATAATATATGTTCCAAAAATGTCGTTTAAGTGTGTCAGACTTTGTAAAAAGGGCATACTTCGACTACTTTGGGTTTCCGTTGCCATCAAACGCTAAACCTTTGATACCAATTTTGGTGTGTAAAAGTTGTATTGAATCTTTGCAATTATAGGCAAACAAAAAAAGACCAAATTTTAAGTACAAATCTCCCATGATATGGCGTGAACCACCCAAACATCATAACGACTTTTATTTTTGTGTAACGAAAATAATTGCTCTAAGCTCTAACTCTAACCATAAAAAATGCTCTAAGTGGATATATTCAAACTAAAAATCTGTCGTAAGACCAGTCTTGAGTATTAATGACACATCAACACCACAGCAGCCTTGTAGATCTTCGGAAATCCAGACCAGTGCAGCGGACAAACCGAAACGCCGACAGTGGTAGAGACAATAGTCTCCGATCACTAAATAAAGAGTATCTAAGTGACTTGATCAGGGACCTTGGCCTGTCTAAAAGTTGATAGATGATAAAAATTTCATCAACCATATGACAGCTATTGAGAAATGTGCATGGGAAGAGTTTGTTTGAGTAGTGAGAAATTTTTTGAGAATACTAAGCCTAACGGCTACATTCAGCACGTTGGACAGTTGCTGATACACTTCCAGGGGCTTGGATGCAACATGAGTATTAAGCTTCACTATCTTCACAACCATCTAGACTATTTTCCTGAAAATCTAAGTGACCTAAGCGAGGAACAAGGAGAGCGCTTTCAAACGGATATTCGCTCTATGGAGAACAGGTATCAGGGGTACTGGAAGGAATATATGATGGCTGGTTATTGTTGGAGCATTCAAAATAGTACTCATGATACATCTCACTCTAGAAAATCCACAAAAAGGAAATTTTATTCAGAATCAATATATTTAATAATTTTTTAAACTTAAATATTGTGCATTTTTAATGAAAAACCCTGTCTCTTCATAACTCCAAAACTAGAGCTGCTACATAAAAACGGCATATATTTTTGAAATAAGCGTGGAAAAACTATTCAGATTCATGTAAAAAATCTCATGCAACAGACATGCTGTTTTCCAGTGTAATTATTAAAAAAAAATTCAATATATTTTTAATTTCAAAACCATCGCCTTTGTTTTATTTGAAAACCAAATGTTACCTTTTTGTAATAGTGGATCCACCCATGAAAATGTAAGCTTTGACCAATAACTCAAGCCTTGCATAGCAGTCCCGAGGATACCTTCATCAATTTGGGGCAGTAGTGGAGTATATTCACTCTAAAATAAAACATTCTTTTAAAAATAATAGTTAAGTATATTTACATGATTACTTTGAAAGATACTTACATGTGAGTGTTGGGAACCAACGAGACATGGTGAATAGAATGTTGGTCGGGAATCGCTTGATGGTAGTAATGTAAGAAAGTATAGAACATGACAACACAAGGTGGCGATATTGTATGCTGTTGTCGAGCCCGTCAGTATGGTGCTGCGTAGAGATGTTACATTGAATAGCACTATTATACTCCATAATACAAGCTGACTGAGCGGCCCTCGAGAACTTTGCCCCAAACGATGCTTCAAGGCCAGGATATAACCAAAGTGAAAGATCCACGCCAGACATTTCGCACTCTCAGTAAAATAATCAATGGGGTATAGATGATCTTTGTCATTACTTATAAAAATATATAAATGTATAATAGGAATGAATACTAAGCCTAATACTATGAAACTACGTAAAGTTATCGCTCGTTCTTGAGTTTTTTCTCTAACTACCCAATGTTTCCTTAAACCAATATAATATCCTGAAAAAATGGCAAGTAGAAAGTACACCGGTATTTCTAAAAACAATTCTTGAAAACAGATTCCAATGTCCTTGGTTACATCGTCCCACGGTCGTAGCCCATCTGGACCACATATATATCTCCAGTCCCATGTAAAGTTTGCAAAATAAACCATCTTTGTTGTTTTATAAATATTTGTAACGTCCACGACATATAAATTTTATACTAAGTTACTCTTAAAAACATAGTATTCGGAGAAATATAAACACTTGATAACTCTACGAATGGATGTAATTCACTTTTAAATATACCTAACTTTTTATTTATTAAAAAACATCCTTAGAATGACAAATTCAAAAATCTAAATAGAATCAGATAAATAAAGACTGACACTGACATTTAAGTTTCTTTAACACTAAACACTGAGAGTTGTAGGTACGTTGTATTCTCTGTGACATCATTATCGTTACCACATTTCCTTTAGGATGTTATTCCCCCACGGGGAATCACAATATTCTTTAGATATTTATAATTTAGTAATAAACATAGTATATTTACAAATATTAGCTCAATTTTACAAAATCAAATAGTGCGTTACATATGACACACATTTGATTAGGCTAAATATACAGTGAAGTATTATTCATCAATATAATATATTTGATTCCATTGTTGAAGTTTTGCGTATTTTACTGTTTTATTATTATCTATGTTCATGACAAAAAATCTTGACATATATGTACATTGACAATTCCAATCTAAGCAATAACAAAATAAATAAGAAATTGTCATGCTCTGCGATATTACATAGTTAGCAGTTTGTTACACATAAATTACAAACAATCTTTAACAAAGTCAAGTAGCCAAATTATAATCTATTTTTTACATTAATGTTTTAACGGTACCAACTTTGGTTATGGCTACAGATCCGATAAACCAAGACGATTTGGAAACTGTGGAAGAGGATATTGACCCTATTTTGGATATTATTGATTACTTAGTGAGATGCTCTAACATAAGATTCAAAAATTCTCATTCTAATACTACTGAGGTACATACTAATGAAAATATTAGTGCTGCATATGACTTGTATAAAAAATCACCGACGCTTTTCTTGATGCAATTTGGAAAATATCTTTCACCTAATCATCTTAAATATTTTGAGAATGTGGATCACAATTATAAAAATTCGAAATTCAAACAATGCTTAGACGACCTCAAAATATATCACTCAACTGAGTGCAGTAGCAGAAGAATAAGAAACAGACGGTATAAAGCAATGCAAAGAATGAAAGTTGATTCAGATTATTTCAGTGAAAAACAAATGATGTACCGCAATCCACTACTATACGAGCAACTGGTCGGACAGTTTCTGACAGATGAGGAAATTAAGGAAAGGGATGCCGTCGATAGTGAAAATCTTACATTCCTTGGCATGATACTGGATACAGTCGACAGAAATGAAATGAGAGAAATCAAAAACAAACAAATGTTAATGGATGAGGATAATTGCTCCGAGCAGACAAATGATTCAGTCGAAGATGATTCGGATGATGTAAATGAAAATGAGAACAAACATTGGGGTGGCTTTGATATCCCAGACACAAAACCAGAGCCCAAACCACAAGAGCAACCACAATCTATGATCAATGCGAACGAAAGAAATTTATTAAGAGAGGAATTTCTACAGGAAATGTACAGCAGCTTTATTGAAGGGAGGGATATTAATTTTGATTACAATAGCGTCGATCACAATGAAGAATATGATGACTTGGATCAAATATCCCAAGATGCCGAAGACAAATATTTTGATTCCGAGGACAACAATGTTACAACACTAGAAGAACATATGGCCCTTGTACATGAGTATGGAAGGAAGAATTCAAGTGACAGTGGGAATGATCCTTTAGATGTGTTTATGCAACACATATCAAATAAACTGCAATAGATGAAAATATATTTTATTTTTTAATCAAATCCCACAAAACAAATTTTACTAAAAAGTAGACTAAATGTATACATTACTAAAAAAAATAATTTGATCCTGTTTTAAAATATCTTTTGTAAATTAAACTTTAAGTCAAATTTAATATAATATTTATATGTCTTAATGTAAATTTTTGTTTGACATTTATAAGTCTGGACTTTTCGATAAAGAGATTTCTGAATGAAATATTAATTACTATTATTGAAAAAACATATTAATACTTTACAGTCTTCTACTGATTTATGTTAACACAAATTATTTTGTGTGTTTGAAGTTTATTAACGAATTTTTGAAATATTAGTTTTTTTTTAAATTTTATATCGGTTTTGAAGAAAAAAAATTAGAGATTTACAAATGTTTTCATTTATTAGTAGAATATAACAATAGTTATCAACATGCGAATATTAGATATACGTATTAGATATTTTTGTCTTTTCTCACTATATTATATCTTCTGATAAATTATTTAAAATTATCCGTCTTTCTATTTTATATATAAATTAAAGTATGAATACAATGAGGACATAAAATATACCGAGTGAGAAACTACAATGTACAAGTAAATCACTACGGACAGCGCAGAGTCGTCTAAGCGATAACTAATAAAAACTGTGAATGTCTTGTTGCCCTTGTTAGCTGTAGGCGGACATAAAATCGGGTAGTAAAAAATATTAAGAATTCTAGTCTAGACCTTAAAGATCTGTGAATGGAGAACAGATGTATGTCAATATGTCAGTGAAATTAACGGAAATTGCGTCACGAAATGTTCGTCTAGACAACCTATTAAGTATTCTTCCTATCGAACAGATTTTCTGTTATAAGCATTTTATGACAGCTCAAGTTCAACCCTAAGTATTAAACAGCGTTGTCGTATATTTAAAAAATAGCAATGTCACAAAAGTACTATTCATGCCGTTAAATTACGTACATATATTTAAATAAATGTTTTAGTTAATGTTAAACACAATGATAAAAATCGTATTTTTCAAGTAGATTAGTGGTAGGGTTATTAATGACGTAATATGTCATTTCTGTTTCGTTCGTAAGTTGTATCGACTATTCATTGATCATTCCGATAACAGGTTACTAATTTATTATTCAAATGCAATTTAATATCTGAAAAGAATTATTTTATTAATAAGAAAATTGACTTAAATTTCTTTGTGTAAACTAAGAAACTTAAAGAAATACATTATTCGTGATATTTTTAGAAATATTTGACACTAATAAGATATTTATATTCTGAAGTTATGGATATTTTCAGACATTTAATGAAATGGTTAATGCTGTACAAAAAATAAAACACTATCTTAGTAAAAAAAGATGTGTCTGGTATACAAATACCTATACGTTATATTTTATTATAAACTGGATTTAATCAACGTCATTTAAGAATAGATAAACTACGCTATTGAGTGAAGGATTCATTTAAGATATTTATAGCCCATATATGAAATCAAAATGCAAATATTTCAACCAAATGAAGTTCCTTTTACATTATATATATAAATAAACTGTATTTATAAATATTAATAGGATTATTTATTTGTTGTCGTATATTCGTTATAAAGTCGTGTGTCTTTTTTAACTATTTTACTATACCAAGATATGACAGTCTTTAATGTATTATCTACTCAACATATTTAGAAAAACTATTTTTTAATAATAAATATTTTCATATTAAATCTTCATATCCTCTCAAAATCATATTAGAAGTTTATCAATAAGTTTCAAATAAGTAGATTACTGTTGATTTTAGTCATTACGAAACAATCTTTAATTATCTGTTTCCTTAAATTAAAAATTACAAACACTTCTAACTAGAAGTTGGCTAACTAGCCAATAATATACAGGGCGATGGATTTATGTAATGTATTATTTAAAGCGACATCAGACCATTATACCTAACCTATATGGTGGTGTTATCAAATTAATTGCAGTTGAGTAATATTGATATAAGAAAGTCATGTTGCATATATAGATTATACAATAAAAGTATTAATTAGTAGGCATTATAATGAAAACAGAAGCAGTATTAGTATTCTAGCATAATTTAAAAAGTTTTAACCACAAACAAACACTTATTTAAATTCATGTTTATTTAGAGGAACGTAACCATGTCCAGTTAGATATTTTGTTATTTTAATCAAAACGGTTGTCTAGAATTTAAAACCTGAAGAGCTTAGACTTTTACTTCTAGAGACAAATTTATGCAACGTCATTATAATGTTTAATTCTTACTTAATCATTAGATACTTTATATTCTTAGCACACGTTAAATACTGCACAAGCTGATATAACTTTTATAACAATTAAAGTCTCTTCAAAATTCATTTAAGTCAGTGAATTATTTCGTTCAAATGTTTTAAATAGAAACTACCTCTCTATAAATGTATAGCAGTGAAGTTATTTTTTTGTTTTGAAGAAGAAAGAACTCTTACTTTAAAATGTAGGCATTTCATATAATATAGACCGTTAAGAAAAAATGGAATAAGTAATTGTTAAAATTAATTGTTCTATTTTTAAACAATTTTTACTTAGAGTTATTAGGTAATATTTTGTAGTATAAATTTAGTATCATCTTTTTTTTTCATAATTTTCCCTCTAAATCATATGTACAGTTACATCGGAAATATCATCTTATATTTTATTCAATAGTTTGTCTTTTTAAATAAGGATATTTCGTAACCTCATTTTCTCTATGACCGCTTTGTGATAAGTGATTTTTAAAACAGTGTTCTACAAAATTAACACACAATTGAACGAATATTTTATGCCAAAACATTTACGTTATACTATGAAAAATCTTAAAATACAATTCTAAAGTTACATTTATTTTTAAAACTAAAGTATTACTTTAATGATATACAATATAAACGTATTAATTTAATAATTTAATATTCTTATTTGAATCCCAGCGTATGCAATTAACATTGATTATAATCAAATATTCCAATGAACAATGTCTATAAAGTTGTCAATATAGTATGAATTTTCAAACGATGATTCAGTACAATTAAAAAGTATGAAACTATAAGGTAAGGTGTGTGCCAACTGCCACGTGCCGTGACAATGGTTGTGCCTTGTGGGTTGTGAGTTGATGCGAGCCTTTGGCCACCGTGCTTTATGGACAGACGGTTAGCAGACGCCGCGCGGAAAACTCGACTCGATGATACAACTCCATACTGTGACTCTACGTCTTTGACGTCACTACAACATGCATTCGGTGAGTTATATATGAATTTTGACAATTATTTCTGTTATAATAATCAATTTAATATATAATTTCTGTTATTAACAAGAATAGATGACTTAAAAAGCATGTAATTAATTTTTAGAAGTGTTAAAGACTAATACGCGATTGACTATTCGACTGGCGATATAATTTACGATTATAAAATAAAATAAGTGTTTGATGTGTATAATTATATGTTAAAAAACTTTACGATTGCAGTGCTGTAAAAATTGAAATAAGTGACGTCTACTATACGTAATTAAATCAATAACGTTACTCTTTCGGCACTTTCTAAAAATAAGATAACCATTACACTCGTTAGACATGAAACAATCAAATAATTAAAGCATAACATATTACATTCACGCTCGTAAATTTAAATTTAAACTGATCCGATCGCTTCTAATGTCATGATTGTTGGGGAATTACGCTTTTTTTTATTTTGACAACACTATTTAATAGAATAAAGATGAAATAATTGAAAAAATCTTAATAAAAAAATGTTATTAACGTGCCAGTTAAAAGGTTGAATTAAAAAACTTATAGTATACGTATGTTATTTCGAAAAAAATATAGGTATTAAGTGTGACCTTAAAAAAAACAATTGCATGAATACATTCGAACTGTTCTTTATTCAAAAATAAATACAAGCTCTCAAAAAAAAAATACAACCATTGAAACAATGGCACACTAAATCCAGGGAAATCATGTAAGTAATGGCGACGGGCGAAGTTCGCAGACGTCGCGTGGGCTCATCTTCACCTTGGGAGTAATGGTCAACGACACATAAAACGTGTGAAAGTGTTAATATTTCTTTCCTGCACCCACTCGTAGCAGCAAGATAAACAATAGTTTAGTTCACACAACATTCAAGGGGTTCGTTACAAAATTAATTCTTAATATTGGCATTATAAATAGGATCTTATACTTGTAAGGATTGCACGTTATTATTTTTTAATATTAAAATTTTGTGATGTAACGTAACTTTAAAATAGCCTTTTCATACGAACATCAATGTATCGCTAACCATGACGCGGTGGGCGATAAAACGCCCGTGGCGCCGTTCAGTCTGGTTGAAGAGTATTTCTCACGCTCCAACCCGTCCCCCAATAATGGCTTACGCATCTAAGTTTAATAAATAGATGACTCAAAACTTTCACTAACCAAATTTTGGATGGATACAAGTTTTTCGGAAGTGCCTCAAATGGTTGATATTATACGAACCAGTTATATTCTGCCAGACGGATAGTGAACTAATTAAAAAAATATTTTTTTTCGTTTAGCTATTCGAAAACGTTAATCAAGGAAATTTGCATTAATTTTGTTTTTACGACGTTATTAAATAGAATGATATATCTATCAGTGTGTTTAGGAAAATGATTAAATATTTATAAACATTTTTAAATTGTGGAATTCATTTAAAATTATGGTTCATTAATTGGCTTTTTTTTTCGATCAAGTCGTATCAATAGGCAGTTTGTTTAAGTAAAAGATAAACAATCATGTTTACGATATATAGCTTATCAAAAGGAGAATATAAATAATTCGAAAGTAAATAAAAAAAGTATATTGATTAAAAATATTAATTTGTTAAAATCATATATTATATTATACCTACTTAGCGCGTTTAACACAAATCTTTATCATCATTCTAAACTTTGACAGTTCCGATATTTTCATTCATAAATCTTTAGGTAGTAACGTTCAAGAATTGAATAAGCTTTAACTTTTAAGTTAAACACTGTACTAGTTATAATTGACCATGCAAATGCTTTAGGTATGTTAAATGCAAGTGCACTTTTGTTATTATTTTCGTGACATACAACGGTATTTATAACAAGAGGTGAAGCAGCCTCATTTTGTTATTGAAATTTATCTCGTTATGTGTGTCCTCTTAGATTATTGTCTGAAACCATTTTCAATAAAACAAAGATGGTTTTAAATTTGATATGCTAAAATTTTATTTAATATAACATCTTTATTTATAAAGCTTGTGCATAGACTGAGGAATTAATTTATTTTAATAGTTTATTGCTGGATATGATGAGAAAATAATGTTATGTAAAATAGGAAATATCTTAATCTACTGTCATTTGTAGAAACTGCATGACAGAGTAATGAAAATTACGAGGCTATAAAAGATATTTTTTGGCATATTTATTTTTTATATTTGAAAAAAAGTTGGCAAAGTCAATCTATATAATTTTTATAAATAACAATCCAAAACTTAATGAAATCCAAACATATTGATAATGTATTGAATTGTATAATGTAAGAATCATATATTTGAAATCTAAAAAAGGATATAAAAATATCCAATGCCTCACCAGACAGATAAGAAAGTTGTTGTCATTATATTATATGCACATTGAACTTAACAACAAATATAGTATTTTCAACAGTTTTTCAATGTTACGTAATCATGAAAAAATACTCATTTTGCATTTAAATCTAAGGAAAGAATAGATATTCGATAGCAACTCAAAGTACGTAAGCAGACCGATGGTAAAATCCTAGCGTATATACATGTACCTGTATTTATTATCTAGCTAATGTAACTGATAAGTATGGCATAGTATTGTGTTTGTAGGGTAAATTTATACATACATTCGTCGACGTTTTCACCTGAGGACGTGAGTGGTACACATGATCAGTGTAATGTAGCTTGTAAAACTATAGGGCTCGGTTAACCACAATAGATGATAAATTTAGAAATTGAAAGTGCCACCTAGCCATTGCTAATATTGACTGTACGTGATCGTTTATTGGTGATTTTTTATTTTCATACCCATTCAAAGATTCAAAGAATTAATAACGAGTATATTAACGATAATTTTTATGCCATTATAATCTTTGGAAATATTCGCAATTGTTTTTAATAGATTAATTAGTTCTGAATCGTAGTAAATTCTGTAGTAACCTAGACGAAGTAAGGTTTTGATGAAAGAGAGTGAAAGGACGATGGGGCAGGACAAATTAAATGTAAAATATCGTACCCCTATTCAAAACGTGTAACGTTCATATTGGTGATGCACAACACGCGCAGCTTTCACTGCGGACGGCACTAATGTATCCTGGTAATATGCCTTTCGTAGAGTCCAGAAATTTTAGCCAAACAATCCAATATACATTTCCTTACATATTTTTTTGGTAAGTGACAATAGAAATCGTGAATTTTGTGAATAAAACGATCTCCACGCGTAACAGGACGAAGTTAACATACATTTTCATCCGTTATAAAATAAATACAATCCACATTTTTCCGTAAGTGATTGGGGTCAGGCATTTCGTACATAATCATGATGATGGTTATATTATTAAATTAGCTCGTCTTTCTTCCCGCCGGCCGGTATTTTAACGAGCGGAGAACGAGATGCGTACTCAAAAAACTGTTGCCAATTCACCACCGCTCTAATTGCATGGAAACCGATGTGGTTATGCGACCGATATTTATAATTAAAAAAAGGTAACGTAATGGCGGGTCGGTGTGGACGGTAATAAATTATACTCGTATATTCTGTGAGGGTTTGAATCATTTATTTCGGTGTTTTTTTTAAGGTGACAGCCTTTTTAATGAACTTAATTCACCCGTTACGTCTGTTGACTAAGTTATCACAGATTTCATATGAAGTTAAAGCTTAATATATAATTTACGTTGAATGATCAGTATATTTCAATATTGTTACCACAAAATAAGTGTAACTTTGTTTATACAATTTTATTAGGAAACAAACTAATTAAATATGGTTTTTGTAATGAATTGATTAAATCGACATTTATTAAATTGTCTTACTGGCTTTTTAGTTAATTAAAATAATATTTCAGTTTTTTTAGGTATATATATCGATCGGTACAAAACCTTTTCTGTATTATAATAATTTTTTTCCTACAAATTTTTTTACGTTTTTGTGTTTTTTGACTCGAATTAAGCTTTAATATTTTTTTTAAGAAAATTCAATTTTGAAGGAGCCTCCTTTTTTAAATAAGAAATTTGCAATAATAATTTAGTATATTCATATCTCTCTCTTTGTATTAAGTTACTGTCCTTAGCAATACATAATGTTTAATACGTATTTACTTGAAAAATTATAATTTCATATTCCATACACATATATGTGTAACATTATTTTTTACTCGACGATAAAGATAGAATAATTTGATATCCTTCATTTCAGAAAAAGAAACTCTGTTTAATCGCTTTTGTGTCTACGTGTTTGGAAATTTTAGTGGCTCCGGAACCCAATACGTCATTGTTCAAACAAACGCCCAATGCATCTTGTAAGTAGTAATAATAACATTAAACAACTTATCTAAATTCATGAAAAATGATATTGAATTTTTATTTATTACGTAAACATTCTTTCAATCGGTTTTAAAACTGTGCTTATCTTTTTCAGATAACGAAAAAACAGACTTAAGCAGTATAGCTTCCATTTTCTCTCCTCGTATGGACTTTGATCAATGGAAACCATTGACTGGCCGTGGAGATCCCCTACGCAATGATCCTACTTACGATTACGAGCCACCGGTTCTAGAAAGAGTCCATTATTGGGCTGATGATAGTCGATCGGAACGTGAAAAATATCCGGAGAGAAAGTCCGAAGTGCTTGTGTTAGGAGTGTCTTCACGCAAACCCAGTGTCGCGTCAAGACCGCCCGTGCCTACGCCGTCCAGAAGACTGACGCGGCCACCAGGATTTTCAAACAAATACGAAGATTATACTTACAAATTTGGTGAACATTACCCAATGACCATACTTGTACCACCGCCACCACCTCCGGCTGGTCAAAAACCACCTCTATTTATACTCAATGATGACAAATTTCCTCTACCAACATTCCCTCCGAAGCCAGCTGATTCAACTCAAATCATTAGAGATACTACAACTACACCGGAACTTATAACCTCCTACGCATTCCAAGAAGCTAATCTCATTTATCAAGAATCTACATTAAAACAGAATTGGTTCAACAATGTCAATAAAACAACAAGCCTCCCCAATAATACTGTGAGCAGTGATTATGCTGGCTGGGGTCCAACTACACCATTCGATGATGCCAATGATTCACACAACATCATATCATACAACGATCACCATAACATAGAGTTTACAAAAGAACCGCTCGCATACTACAAGCCAATGTTTTCACAAGCTCCACCGTTACCAGAAACTACTGAAAAAACTATTACATCGCCAGCATTTTTACCAACAGTACTTCCACCTCTATCTACCATCAGTGATGTTAATGAAGATTGGCCATCACAAGAAACGACGCAAGAAACATCAACAGAAACTCAACATTACTATAAGGAAACAACGACGGAGAAACCTACAACACAATCTTTTCATCCCACTTCTGCTCCAATAAAATCCCAATCAAGTATCATAGATATGTTGGGTTCGATGATATCTATGCCCATGGTGACAGATCCTGATAGGCCAGAAGATCATTTGTATGCACACGCATCAAATACCGTTCAAATATTTAAAGAACATACGACTGAAGAGGCTGATCTAGAAAAAATGCAAACAATGCAACCACCTCCACCAATAAAGCATACAGAAACCGTAACAGAGGCACCGAGGCAACCATTCCACATAAAACCGCATGTCTTAAATAATTTTATACATGAAAAACCTACCGGTCATACCAACGATCCCTATTTGCATATGCGTTTTACAACACCACCTCCAACCGTGACTGAAGCCCAAACTATACCAACATACTTAATTATACAAGGCCATTCTAAAGTAAAAACCTACGGTTCAAAACCGAAACCATTAAGTGGCGCTGGGAATAACGAAATACCAAAACCAAACGAAACCAACGAAGTGAAACACCTTCATCCCATTAAAGATAAATATTCCAAGAAGACGGAAAAAATCGATCCAAGCAGGGAAAGTAGGGCGATAAACTTAAAATCACTCGTGGATAATGGTCTCGGTTCAATTGAAATCCAGGAAGCTGATGTCGGCATTAAATACGATGTAAGCGATGGTAGTAAGGTGCCTATAGAAATATATAGAAAAGGAATAGTTGATAGTGATGAAAACGATTACTCGCATAAACATAAACTTTCAATAAATGAAAGAAACAAAAGACATATAAATATAGAAAACGTATTGTCGATAGAAGATTCCTTAGAAGATGACGTTTACGATTTATTTTCAAATAAAAAAAATGGCACCGACTTTGCAAAACTAATTTCTGAAACGATTTTAAGTGATGACGATGATAAGAGCACTGATGATAGATGAAGGAACTAGTTCCTTTCTAATTAATAGCCAATTCAACTAAATTGATGCCAAAAAACGATTGTTTACAAAATTTTATACACATTCAGTACTAGAATTTTAATAGGAAACTAAGAAATTGGTTATAATAGAATTTGAAGTTATTTAATACGTAAAATATATATTTAATTTTTAATTTGGAAAGTTAAAATGAAACTAATTTATTTGTTTTATCCTAGATAGTAATTTTAACGCGACTATGTCCCACCGTATAAAACGATTAACGACTTTTGATGTAAAACATTGCTGTACAAATTTATATTTGTCAAAGATGACGAAAATGTGAAGAAAAATGATTTATGATTAATTTATTTATTTCAGCAATTGTTTCAAAATATTTTAAAGTATACTTACTTTGTGCCAACATACCTACATTTTAGAAAATGTATAGATATTAATTAATATATTAATATGTTAAAAATACATATTTTTATTGTGAACTTATTTCCATACTCTGTAGTAACCATCTTGAATCACCATATTAAATAATATTAATTTATTATTAGAAATTGAAATATATTGTTCTTAAATATAATAGAAGTATTTTCTTATTTTACCTTTATCTATTATAGTGTTTATTGATTTCACTTTTTTTATTATGTAGGCATAGATAAAGACACCTCAAGAACGACGTATGCGTCAAGCGTTGCAACGGGCTCGTCCCACTAACACACGTTTCTTACCATCTTTTTCGTAGAAATATACAGGTGACTTAGACAAAGTGAAAGCTTGTTTATGAACTGCTAAAGACGACATTTATTGCTATTGGATTAATTGAAATCACAAATTAATAACATCTAATCAAAGTAAATAAAAACAATTGTAGACCAATCTTAATATTGTATTTGAATGGACCGGAAAAAGTCAAAGATAATTAATAAACTGATACTAATATAATGAACTCTATTTATTTTAAAATTTGCGTCAAGTTTAGAGTGATTACACCAGTCCGCATTGCAGAGACATACCTTATAATCCGCCTCTGGTAGTCTGAAATGGACAGAAAATGTAATTATATTTATTTTGAAAAAAATATTAGGTAATTGAATAACATTCGGTAAATATATGCTGATTTCGTGTAGTAATACTTTTAAATTCTTTACGCATTTATGTCACTATATACATAGATTTTATATAAAGATTTAAAATAAATAACAGTTTTAGCGAATTCATGAAGTATCTTACAAATATAAATACCTATTAGGTCAAAACTAATTTTATTTCTTTCGTTCAAAATTAAAGCTTTGATGTAATTCAAACGTATTTTTATGGACAGTTTGATTGGCATTTATATTAATATTTCTATTACCTTTCAAATCTACAAGTCATGGCTCTAGTGGGTGTATCCATAGCTCTGGGGAATGGATCCTGAGCTCTTGTTTGGTAACACCCACGTTGGACAATCCATGAATGTCGAGCTCGGGCAATCCACGAACGAACAAAGCACATTGCATTCTCTGTAAAATCTTACTCTATACTTACATATAGTTACATGATTTATTTTTTTGGAACATAAATAATTTGTTTCAGATTTAAGAAGCTATTTATGTTTAATAATGGCATAGATAAGGAAGGAATTGTATGCTGTTAAAAAAAAATAAGTAAAAACCTCCAGTGCAGTTAACCAGATATTTCCGGCTATTATTGAATCCTAGTGAAGTGTCGACAAAGTTTCCTCCACATTGATCCCAGGTTAAATGTGTAGATGAACAATTGTAGCATTGAAGAGCTGATGTATTAAAAAGTGATAATAAAAAGAAATTCAAAAATAATATATTTTTACACTGCATACTTTACAAACTAAAGAAAGTTCCTTTAGTTTTACATAATTACTGTATAAGAAAAACGACACCTAACGAAGTATTAACCGCAATGTCATATTTGACAAATTAGGCTTATGATTAATTTCAGTTATAAATAAATATAAACTTTTTGATAACGATAAAAAAGTTACTCCTGAAGATATATTTTAACTCCAATATAAGAATTCCCTTTTTTATGATTCTTTCCCCTATCCCTACAGTTCAGTCGGATTTAAAGGAAAAAAAGATCTTAGATAAATTTTACTGTAGGTACTCAAATGACGTTAATAGCTTCACTTTTTTTTTTTTGGCGCACTGGGAAAATATACTTAACGCATCCCTTCTCCGTCGAGGGACGGAGAGGGGTATGTGGGACTCCCCGGGAAAAGGTTCCCGGTACTAAAAGAACCCAGTGGCGCTCCGACCTCGCCTGACTGACAGGGGGCTGGGAATCCAGGTGCATCCAGCCCCCCGCCGAGCTTCACTTATTTCGACTTGGTCTATTGCAGTAAAACATCTTACAATAGCATTTTATTTACAAAATATGATTGCCTTATTTTTTATCTAAATAAAATCGTAGAACCTAAAAGGTAGATTATGATACGGAAGAAGAATTATAAGAATTAACTATTTAATGATTTATAGTTAACTTGTAACACTTCTATTTTTACTTATCGCTAAGGGATTTTGAATACAATATTAAAGACGGTCGTTCTAAAGTGGGATATATTAAAATCCCCTAGAAAGGAAAAGTAAAAAAGAATAATTATCTCGGCTGAGTTGCTAATAAGCAGCATTTTAAAACTAAAAAGACAAATTCAAATCGTAAACACTTCAATTTCGTTTATATTATTAGAAATTGTTAGCACCCATAGGTTATTAGCCGTAAGATTTAAGTGATACCTTACATACTTTAATTGCTGAATAGTAACCTTCTATACGCATGATTTGTTGATTATATTTTGTTCCAGACTGATTTAAAATTATTTTGGATAGAATCAAATCACACACCTTCATTGCACAAAACTGTTAAGGAGCATTTTAATCTTGACGTTTCCCTTTTCCTTGGACCAAACATCCATTTCGTTGTCAATGGATCTTCCCCGATTTCTCTATTGCTTAAAGTACCATTATAACACAAGAGACCGTAGGAATTTCTTATTAATAAATCTAGATATAAAAAAACGAGACTTGTCAATTTCATTGCCCTTGAGATTTTCATAATTTTAAAACGATTATAACTTCAAGGCAATGCTTCTATTTATTATTGAATTAGATTTTAAAAAAAGCCATTAAAAATATATTTTTTGCCATCTCTCTCTTTTGTAATTTTACTTAATATAAATGACAGTAAATAAAAATACATATTAATATATTTTTTCAATGTATTTGAATGTTTAATAAATTCATAACTATTCACTATCGGTGAGGTAACAATTTTGTAGAATTATTTCTGCGATCTATAATTCTAAATTTACATTCTAATTCATAAATTTGGGTTCACCCATATTTACTTTTTTTTTTTTTTACTAAACATTGAAAATAATGGCAATATCTCAACAGACTAGGACATTCCAATGACACAGGGTGTTCCCGAAGCGTGCATCCGCCGCGCAACATATTCAAACATTTCAAGAACACTGAATTTTAGAGATCTCTGACGTCACCCTTGGACCCAGTAACTAAATTATCAAACAGAGAAACACTTCAAACGGTCTAACAATTATATACAATGGAAATACTAATTGGACATTCAATCCTTACATACATTAATTTGAACAATTGAAAATCTCTATACATCTTGCGAGTAACATATCTCAACCCTCCTTAACATTTAACATGCATGAAATATATTTACCACATCACATTCTTCAGACACTCAAAAATATCATTGTAATTTCAATCAAATCCACAATTAAAAAAGAAACTATTCCTCATTGTTCTCTCTATATATAATAAAATGCATGACATATTTTTATTTATATATTTTATTATTATTTCAATACTAATTTATCTATGTGGATAACATCTGTATAACATATTCTAGATAAATATCAAACAAACTTTAAAATAAAAGTGACACTGCTGATTCGCAGTGAGATACAAAGAATATCTTTTAAAAGTACTGTTCAATATATTTTTCTTTATATATTTTCAATTTTTTTTTCACCACCATGTATATTAATATGTCAAATTTAAATTACTTTTAAAATTTTCACAATACAATATAAACCTCTAGCGGTTTTAATTCTTACAATTTATTACAAGTAAAAGAAAATTGACACTTGAAAATTATATTTTTTTTTTTTACAAATACTATGAAACAGTCAGTGACTAAAAACATATTTACCAATCGTTAAAATATAAAGAAATAAACTTTACAAATACAACAAGCATTTCTTCGTTTAAATTCAAAAATCAATAATGATGAACATTAATAATGACCAAAGTATGTGTGATGGTAATAATTTATGCTCAAACTAAGAATTCTACGTGAGAATATTTCAATAGTAATCAACTACTAGGAGGGTGAAGACTACAGCTTCCTGTTGGCGGCGGTTTAGCTCAATGTATTGTTCACAACGAGATTTATTGTTCCAATATTAAATAGTGATTGATACCAACAGACTTTCATCAACTTGTATGAAATAATCATACATCATGTATTTCAACATGTATACACAATTTTGTTGAACAAATAAAAGAAAATTCAGATATACATAACATCAGTTGCACTATTATTGCATAAAAAAAAATCTGCTTACAACAAATTTATCAAAACCATACATATCAATTCTAGTGGGACGTATCACCATACTGGATTTTGTCTCGTTGTGTTGTTATTGCATCTGAATATTTAACTAACTGTCCAGTCGAGTCCCCAGCGCTCTGAAACTTTTAATTGTGCAGCCGCAGCGTCTTTCAGTGAAAACAAATGTGTCATCTCCTGTTCCGTCTTAGCTAATGCTATGGCCTTCTCAAATAGTTCCAGCGACCTCCCTAAGTTGCCCCTAGAAAAAAGATATAACAAATTATTGTAACAAATGAAATTATTGTCTTACAATATTGTGAATGTAAACACTCCTCAAGAGTGAATCTAAACCTTATTTCTTCATTACATTTCAGTTTACTTAATGTATAAGACAAATCTATCAATAGTAATAAATTCTAAAAATGAGGTAAACATCTTAGAATAGATATTTGTAATGTCCTTAAGAGTAACTTATAAATAATGCATGCATATCACATACAAGGCATAAAACAAAATCATATGGCATTGTAAAATCAATTTCTGATAGCACATGATTATATTAGTTAGATAACACAAATAATATGCAGTGATAACCTTTATCTCCAGTAGCCAAATCAGAAAAACTGAGAAAAATTACTTTATTTAAATTACAACGCCTTATCTATACATTATATTGAGACATTTTTATTAATAACAGTAAATATGGGCATGTGGACATTTAAAATAAATTATTGCTATTTTAACTGACTGGCAACAAGTGACTCATCTGTGATGTAATCATCAATGAAAGATTTTCTTTTGTAATACCAGTTTATGAGCAAGATTTTATTGATACAAAAATAAATCTTACCTTTGAACTTCAATAGTTCCGAGAGTTTCGTATGCAAAGTCACATTTATCGTCAATTTCGATCGCTTTATTAATTAATTTAACAGCTTTATCAAAGTCTGTGCTTTTCTGTAACTGAACCAATCCTTTATGTACATATAATGTTGCATTGGTAGGATCCACTGCTAATGCAGACTCGAACAGAGCCTCCGCATGACCCCACTCTTGTTGATCGGAGAGGACTTGGGCATATAGAATGTATACCTCGGCACACCGTGGGAACCTCTCGAGAGCACGCTCAAAGTCAGCTCGTACTTGGGTCAGGGCGGTGACATTTTTATGCAATTGTGCATGTCTATAATCAGCATAGCATTTCTGTATGTAAGCAATCGAAAAGTCAGGATTCAGTTCAACTGCTTTTGCAAACTCGGCGGTCGCTTCGTCCATCCGTTCCAGAAGAAGGTAAACTTGACCACGGTGGTGATATATATCGGAATTGTTGGGATCCAACTTAGCTGCAGTGGCAAAGTCTTCTAAACAACGATCTGTGTTTTCCAGTTGAGTGAAAAGTGAAGCGCGTTTGATGAGAGCATTGACCCTTACTTTAACTGGAGCATCACTATCAATTACCGCAGCCAGGTCAGTCAGGGCTTCATCATGTCTACCCAACAGCAAATAGAATGTTGCCCGTAAAAGTAAAGCTTCAAACTTATACTTGCCATTGGAGTCTAACTCTTCAGTGCAAGCATCTACCACAGATTCATAGTCTAATGAATCTAGAGCACGTTTAGCTTTAGCAAAACCATTTGTTGCATTTTCCTCTACTTCTACTTTAACAATGGGATCTTCAGAAAATGCAGAGAAGTATGTTTTAATAAAGTGTTTCGATGGCATAACAGGACGTCTCTTGGCTAATGCTTCTCGTGCGTGTTGTCTTCCGAGAGCTTTAAGAATTCTATCAGCATTAACCAGTGAGCTCTGTACTTGGAATCTTTCAAGGATACAAGCAGAAGTAACATCTTCCAGAGCAAGAACTAGGTCCCCACTCTTTTCTGCGGCTCTGGACCGCCGAAGGAAGGCTTTTACATATTTTTCATTAAGTTTAAGAGCAAATGTGCAATCTTCTTTTACTTGCTCCCACATCTCACGTTTCTCGTAGCAGGCCGAGCGGTTTTGATAAAAGGTAGCGAGATCAACGGGACGATCTGGCGGACATGTCTCAATAGCTTCGTTGTACAGAGCAATCGCCTTATCATATTCACATGCGTGGAAAGCTCGGTTTCCGGCACCCTTTAACTTCATAGCACGGTCAATGGCGCTTTCAGATGCCTTCGCATTATCTTCGTTATCTAATGAAATTGTTGCTTTTGCCTTTAACTCGGCTTCTTTTTTCTTGTCAGGATCTTCTAATCTATTCCTTAGATAAAGGTAACCTAACCCAATAGCTAAAGGAGCACCCAATAGAATGGCAAGTTGCCACTTAGGAAATGGTGTACTACCCGTTGACGCCATCCTTGATAACTAAATAAGATATTAACGATTCACCATTTATTTCTTTTCGAATAAATTAAACGATATAGGGAACTTAAAATTTTATGATTTACCAAGTCCTACCAATCTTGTAACCTTTTCATTTGACGCTTGGTCTGACTGTATAAGAATTATGACATATATCACAGATAAAAAACAAATATCTTAACACAATAAAAAGCAAATGCATTTAAACAAACAAGTTATTTATAAATCATAAGTACAACAGCACTGTATAAAATTTTCTTTGTAGTTCAGATGTAAGAATTGAAAAGTAAAATAATGTCAATAGAATTGTAGAATATAAAGTAATATTAATATCTAAGAAGTGGTTTTGTCTATAATGAACCATTGAACCATTTATTGCTTACACTGATATTCTTGGTGCTTGTGATTATTTCAGTATTTAATTTTTATAGAGTATTATCTATAAAATCAATCTAAAAGTTTCTAAATCTTTGATATTTCTAACTTTTCTCAATATAATATAAAGATATAAATATCGAAAACAATATTAATATATCTTTATATAATAAATATAGACATAAACAGTTGCTGAGAATTTGTTTCAGGGGTATTAATTATAATTTTCGTAGATTGCCAATGTATTATAAAATTGGGTTTGTCACATACATATTTCAGAAAATAAATAAACTAGTCATGTGACTGTTAACGGTGTCGATGTAAAATAAATTATTAATTTCTATGTATATTAGGTATATATTCTATGGGCTTGACATTTATAACTTTGTCAAATAATGTCAAATGTCGTAAAAATAGGAAAATTGAGAACCCTCTGATTTTTTTAAATTAATAGCTTTACTGAATATAAACTTATTAAAATAACTGTAGGACTAGTCTTTATTTATCCAATCTAACAAATTCTCATTCATCACTTCAAAATGTTTAGTTCGAAACTATTAAATATAGTAGGTATTTCAAGGAATAAACATAACCCTTTGAGTTTGAATGATTGATTTTATATAAAATATTTTTTATTTCTAGGTGAAACTAAATCGTTGTATCAATCCGAAAACATTTGCCAAACAGAATGTATCATTTCAATGTACTCAGAAGCGACACAAAAGCGACTTATACGAGCCTGATTACCTCATTGTAAGTAAGAGTTGTTAATGTAAAGTAATATAAAACTAAAAAAAATTTTTAAATATTTGGATGCTTTTGCGAATACTATATTATAATATTATCGACATTCTCGTCATCGTAATTGTGCAAGTAGTTCTCATTAAAAGAAAAAACAAGAAGAAGAAGAAGAAATAAACTTTATTGCACTTAAACGTATAGGAAATAACATTACAAACAAAAACAGAAAATTTAAGGCAAGGGCGGCCTTATCACTAAAAGCGATCTCTTACAGGCAACAAATGTTATAGTTAAAAATAAAATTACTTACTAAGAGAATTGTTCTAGACTTCATCTTGCCATTATTTCAGACTTTTTAATGTTGTTATTTCTAGAAGTGTCAAAATATAATAAAGTTGGATTAATAATAAGACAGAGAGTGTAAGAGTTTTTCATTTAATCACATCTATTTCAACCTGGCAAGTACCAATGTGATTTTTCGGAGCCATATGTTCTTTCTGAGAGTATTTAGACACCACTGACATATGTTGAAGCAAAACATTGTGAGGAAACCTAGACTTATAGTTTCATAATTATAAGTTTGAAATCACCAACCCGTCTTGAGCAAGTGTGGTGTTTAATGCTCAAACCTTCTCCATGTGAGAAAGAGGCCTTTGCTCAGCAGTGGGCTCTGATAGGCTGATGACGATATATTTCAATCACAATATATACCATTAGGTATACCTTCCTAGTGACTATATTCAAGCTAATAGGGCTAACAACTATTTTCAAGTCAAAATTGAAAAAAAATCCTTAATAGTCATAACAATTAAATGTCTAATAAATCCATGCTGGTTTGTGTAAGAATATACCAATAGGACATTTTACACATAAACAAGTAAATTAATCATTTATATTTTAAACTAGCTTTTGCCGCGACTCCGTCCGTATGGAGTAGTGACTTCCGGCAAAATTTTTGGTTCTTCCCACATAGTTCCCGTTTTTTTTTCGGAATGGTCGAGTTCCCGTAGAGTTTTCAGGATAAAACCTATGTTTTTTTTATTCACAATGACTCTTAACCAACAACATATTTATTTGTTTATTTGAATAAAGATTTTATAAAATTATTTCGACCAAATTAGGTACCATAAAAACGGTTTTTGTGAGTTAATCTTAAAAGATAGACATATACTATCGCGGAGTGTTTTTTTGATCATTAAAAGAGCTATTTTTTTTTAATACATATTTTTTGTGTACCTTGAACGGTTTTCACGGCGCACGCAACGGAAGACTTCAAAGATGAAATAATTTCTCCCGTTTTTTACACATTTCCCACTATATCTTTGCTCCTATCGCTCGTAGCGTGATGTTATATAGCCCACAGACATCCTCGATAACTGGACTATAAAACACAAAAAGAATTATTCAATTCGAACCAGTAGTTTCGGAGATTAGCGCTTTCAAACAAACAAACAAACTCTTCAGCTTTATAACATTAGTATAGATAACTTCTGATCGATGAAGTTGTATATTGAGTTATAATTTTTCTACTTCCTAACATTGTTTTGTCTGTAAGAAATATTTTTTTAAGATCTTAAAACATGACATGATGAGTCATCATCATCATCTGCCTATTGGTTTAGAGCATTAATCACCGTGCTTGCTGAAGGAAGATCGGCAATATCAAACTTGTAGATTAAAATTATAAATTTTGTTTCCCTCACAAATTTGCCTTTCACCGCCTGTCAGTGGTGTCTAAATACTCCTAGGAAGTACATATGACTTAAAAAAGTCACATTGGTACTTGCTAGATTTCAAAACCTCATCCTTATGCATGAGAGGCATTCTTTTAACTTTTAACAACTTGTTGAGTATATTATTTAGTATATAATTTGTGTATTTTATTTCCAGAGTATGCAACCCGATGAACCTGTCTATAATTTAATAAATTTGCAACTTAAGGGTTATGACTTCACTCTACTTGAATCATGTCAAAAAGAAATACATAGATATGCTGAAGTAATGGGAATCGAAGTTGAAGATGGGTTTGTTGATTACTTAATACTCATTTAGATCATTAAAATTACAAAGAATAAGTAAATATAGTATAATATCATCATTATATTTTTAACATCTCCTAGCTGAGTACAAGCTTTTTTTTACAATTTTCTCATAAATATGTTTACTCTACTATTGCATTGATTTATCATTATAACTATAATGTTTTTTTTTAGTTGGGCAACACCAGCTCAACAGTTGAAGATTCAAAGATTTAGGCCTAATAGCACAGCCGTGGAATCTGAATATCATCTTAATGTTTATGAAAGGAATGTTCAGGTAATGTTTATGTTCTTTGATAATAATAAAATTAAAAATAATATATTATTACTTTGTTTTGATAATTATAACACAGGGGTGTGCACAGAGATTTAGGGTAGGGTAAGCAGAATATGTAACATATTATATGTTTGACAAGAAAATACAAATTTTCATCATTATTTCCTTCTCTATAACATTGATAACAATGATATCTAAGACTTTCGCGAGGATTCATTTAAATGAAACTGATATCTTCAGATTACGTTCAAACTACAATAAAAAAACTACATAAGTTTGAAAAATAATAAAATACGCGTTGTAAGCATTGACTTAGGCGCTGACTCCACGAGCGAGAGAATCGCAACGAGTCCGCGCTTCTATCGTCGGACAATCTCCACGAACGAGCGATAATTCCGCCGCGCGTCGTCGCGTAACGGAACCGCAGAGTTTCCGCGGCGACTCGTAACGGTATCCCCGCGTTTCGTTGACGACGCGTTCCGAAAGAAAGAATTCAGTTGCCAGACGAGACCGAAATAGTGGCTCAGTCGATAAAATAACTCTTTATTATGGATATAGTGCTATGGGGTATTTCTGCTCGTCGCGAGAGCGCGGCGGGCCCGCTGCTAGTCGCGGCCGGCTAGCAACGATGTAATGAGGTTTCGCGCGCTCGTTGCCACTCGTCTCATCGCGGCGATGATATCGCCGTGTGGAGACGGTTCCATAGAGAATGTATAGAAATACGTGGCACGACGATAAGATCGCCGCGATTCTCTCGCTCGTGGAGTCAGCGCCTTAGTAAGCATTAATAATATTCGCGCATAAAGATAGATCGGTCCGATCAGAACTAACATCTATACACTATATAAATCTCCCAATTACCTCGGAGTCACGAAAGTGCCTTAAAACGATTACGAACTGTTCAACGAAACGTTATGAAAATTATTTAAATCGGAATATGCAATTGAAATCCAAACATTCTTATTATTATTTGAAAACAATAATCAAGGAAAGCAAAATAACTTATTTATGTGTACATAGCATGCTAGTTAATTAAAACTATCATAATAGTTTTTATTAACACGAGTATGTAATAGTAAGTTACCTTTTTTATTTCAGTCTCAACTGGTCTCACTTCTTCCCTTTATAATTTGTTTTAATTTTACTATGAAAGAACGACAAATTATAAAACTCAAACGGTAATTGAAAATGTGCTCTTAACATATTTCGTTAATCACACCCTCAATACAGAGCTCACGAATAATTTTCCATCCATATTAAAATCTATTCATTTTCGTTTAGAATGACAATAATAATAACAAAATGGCGAAAAAAATAATAGAATAGTACACCAGCTATTTAAATAGTTCCTTTGCATTTGACAGTTTCTGTGACGTTTTAAACGAGTAGGGTTAAAGAAGCAGTGCCTCCCGAACATATGTAGTTGCATAGTTTTTGTACACACATACAAATATTTCCTGCATACAACACGAGATTTGTAGATCGTCAATTAGGTTATTGGTGTGTAATATATACACCCAATTGATGTGCAATCGGGTCTAGCCGCTAGTTAATCGGAAATGTTAGTTTTTATGTTGATAGATGTCACTTTTAACAATTCTACTAAATTTTGAATCAAATATCCATTTTAAATGGCTGTAAACATTCGTATTTCGTAATCTTCTATCTTCTTATTCTATATATATAAAAATGGATTGCTGTTCCTTAGTCTCGCTAAAACTCAAGAACAGCTGAACGGATTTATCTTATCTTAGTCTTGAAATGTTCGTGGAGGTTCAGGGAAAGTATAAAAGCTGAAAAAAAATTATTCATTACTGGGAAAAGAATAAAAACAGCCCTTTTCTATTTCCCATACAAACGTTTTTTTTGACATAAGATGTGACAACTAACTAATATGTCAATCATTCTGTCGCACTTCAAGACACGGAGATTTATGGCTTACAGGTAAACTCCAAAAATATAAATAAAAAAACGTTTTAGATATTTCTTGATTATAGGGCGATACGAAGTTCGCCAGGTCTTCTAGTGTAAGATAAAGTTTATAAGTAAGAATTAAACAATATAGGTTTAGTTGTTGTATGGGTAGGGAATGCATTGCTTATTTGCATCTATGGTGTTTAATATAGTTTTAATATAGTTTTTGTTTATTTGTGGCTGATATTATTTTAATACTAGTATTGGAAGTATAATTTCATATGATATTTGCCTTATTTCTCCCATTATTATTTGTATGTATACTAATACTGCCAATACTATTGTTTAAAATAGCAAACTGGCAACACAAAATTTCATGACAACACCAACAAATTCAAAGTCGCCTTAAATATTTTTAGTTTTTCTACTTAAATTATCGATTTAGTGGCATATTGAACAGAAATCTTATAGAATTTCTAATAGTTATTAATTAACATATATGCATATAATATGTTATTGCAATGTTAAGTCATAAGTCAGAGTTCAAGATCTATTACAAATTTTCAATTATTTTATTCCATTTACCAATCAATACAATTGACTAATCTCTTCATATATTGTATGTTATTTGCATTTTAATTATTTTTATGTCAATGATTTTTGAATATATATTTTTTATTATGAGAATTTATTATACACTCTCTCAAAAGTTTCATAGTGGTATTTTATGCTTTATTTATGATGATAATTTATACTTTGCAAAGATTTTATGTCATGTTTATATTATTTAAGAATATATATCCTTTGCCACTATTATATATATAATAATACATAATTAAACTTGCCAAAAAGCAGTATATACCATACATATAAACTTTTTTTTTTGTAGTCAATAAATTAAGTACAGTGAATAGAACTTTAGAGTTTGATATTGTTAATAGACGATGTCTGTGTGGTCGCGCCATTACAGTGTTAAAATTTACATATATGTATTACTTAATTTTTGTGTATACCAACATATGAATATTAATATCGTTGAAAGTTGTTTCAAATTTGAATTCCTTGTTACAATATTATTTTCATTTCCTGTTTCTCAAATATTTGTCGACGTATTTAAGCAATGATAATCTGACGTATATATTATTTTGCAATTCGAATGGTTTAAACATGTACAGGGTGACAGGTGAATTACTATCAATATTTAAGGAGAATACTCGGTACATGATTCTCATTCGAATTATGTAAAAAAAAATAGGCACTTAATTTTTGACAAAATTCCGTATAAATAAATAAAGTGTTGACACGTTCCAAGTGTTCCAAGTGTGGTCGGCGGCGGCGTGCTGATACAACAACACGTATGTGTGAGTGTGGATGTATACCTAATCTGTAGGGTGTTCACACGATGCGTAATTAATTACATAACTTTTGGTTAACTTTACTTAGAAGTTTATTAATATTTAGGTTATATTAATTTTTATTTTGTCATATATGATCGTCAAATATCACGTCCTCAAGTATCGATAGTAATTCACCAGTCACCCTGTATATTCACTAAGCTCTTCTGATTTAGGTTTCAGATGTCCCGGCGTGGGCACTGGGGACGCTTCTTCGAGTTTCGCGCGCACTTCTTCCCGAAGGTTGCACCCTAAATGTTCACGAACACACACAAGCTCATGACGAAATAAGATACGTACCTGACAACGATTTGATAGAACTCAAACAACAGCTGGAGGAAATGGGCGGCAGTCGCGCTGAACGGAAGAAGAAGAAATAATGTGTTGATAATAAATTAAGTTTGTAGATGTAAATAAAAGTTAGATTTTATTAGTGTTTTATTCTCCTTTGTATTGTTTCTTGATAAAATATATTAGAAGTTAAGCTGTTTTATATAGGAGAAATTTGGAAAAGCATCCGTGTTGAAAAATAAATAATTGTAGTTCCAAAAAGTATCACATCGGCACTATCAAAGACTACTTAAGGGTTATGATTTTACAAACAGCCCTGTATACTGGTATATGGAAGTATGTTCGGCTTATATCGAGTTGAACGATTTAATATTTTTAGTGACACCTAATCAATATGCACTTTTCACATACAAATTAACTAGTACATGCTTCTTTCTTTAATAATGATTTTTAGCTAAACCTAAATTGCATGTTTAGTTTGCTGTAAGTTGTGTATGTTTACATTGGCACATTTAAGATTTTAATTTTAAATGAGAACTAAAAATGTACGCAGTATTTTCTTCATATCTTAAAAACAACGTTCTAAACTTATTTTAAAATTTCCCCCATCTACGGCAATACCTTCGTGGAGCAAAATTTAGGCAAACAGTTGAAATAGAGATAGGCCCTACCTTCACTCTTCCTAAACGTATAAACGGAACTACAGATGTCACTTTCAGTATTAAAGCTCTAAGTGAATATAACTTTGTAAACGAGTTACGTGTAATAAACACAATAGACCGGGCGCTAGAGGTAGTTGAGTATGCAAAATGTGAGTACCAAATTTTGCCAACGGATTTAAGCGAGGAAAACATCAAAGAATAATAATGTGGATCTTGCCGGTCAATTTTTTGGTCCATTTTTTTTTTACCCCCTCTTCTCTTATTAATAAAGGGAATGTATTTAGTACATGATATAAAATCGCTTTAATGATTATTTTCGTAACAATTTATAGTATTTTCTCGTGTTATAAGTGAAGATGGATGCTTAAATAATAAAAAAAAAACAAAAATTACAGTAATAAATTTTTTTTATTGATAAAAAAATGAAAGTGAAAGTAGTTAAAGGAGGTAAAAAATTAATATTTTTTATTTTCGCACTTGTTATTGATGCATTCACATAATGAAATACAAAATAATTCCGATTTTTTGCATTTACAAAACATTGTGCGACAATTTGAAGTACATTTACATGGTAGAATTAATGACTCTGGTAAAGACGGCTTCGTCATTTGTCGTGGACGTAAGTCACTGTTGAGCTTTTCGTAACCAAATGAACATTAATCAATGGGTGGTAATTGTGTTTGATGAGCATTTTTCCATATAAATGTTTGTACTGTAGCCCTTAATAAATGCAAATGCAAAGCATCTGAAGTGCATATCACTCTCATCAAATTGAAATTGAAACCTATATTCTGAGATATCAGTATAAATCTGAGTTCATCAGCAGATAATTTCTTCTTTGAAAATAAATATGTGCAAACTACTTCTAACTGTTTGAATTGCTCGTCATTTAGGTCAAGGTTTCCCAAAGGCATGAGAGCTGTTTGTACAAAATCTTCAGACGCAGCTTTCATCCATTGCATTTTACATACTACCAAATCTGATAGTAGTGTCGCAACCACTCACAGCATGTAATGCTGGCAAAATATTGCATATGTTTTCACCCAGGGATTTAGCAGTCAAATGGCATCCTAGAAAGCATTTCTTCGTGTGAGAACCGTCAAAAACCTGATTATTTATGGCCTCTAAGACGGAATAGAGTTCGCCTGGGCAGCTATACCTACATATATTACTTTTGACCAAGCTAACGCGGACGAAGTTGCGGGCAAAAACTAGTATGATATATAAAAAAACGACTTAAAATGCAACGTCTGTACGTCAGTAGATGTAGAAACACACCAAACAAGTGAGCGCGCTATGCTTACTGTATGGGCGGAGAGGGGATGTGAAGGGAGGGGGAAGGGACCATAACATCTGGCGGCAAGATGTATTTTGTCATTATTTAGGGTCTCAGGTATAAGAATCCGGTCACAGTTGCCGTCACTCGGATTTTGCATACTCAACTACCTCTAGCGCCTGGACTACAAGTTGTTCCTACATATTGCAAACTCCCCACATATGTGAAATGTGATGTTATAAATAGTTCAAAGGTTAATAACAGGCCTTTTCTTGCACAGCTTCACGAATAATGCTCTCTATTATTAACATTTGTGTAATATTACTGGATATACGAAATAAGAGCGAATTGAATTATCGCAACCTAATACGATATCCACTTCAACAAGTAGGTCGACAATCCTTTCCCCTCAACGAGATTACCGCCTTCTTGCAACACAGATCTGGACGATATACTTTCAAATGGACCAAAATCAAATCAAATCACATCATAATATGACTTGACTTTTATGCTAACGATGACAACTGTCAATACGGACATCATTTGAGGCAAGCTTATACATAAGAGATAATAATATGCAATTTTAGATCTAAGTTAAGTGATAAGAACTCATTTCCACTCAAGCTTATGACTTATAGTTTTACAGCGATTCTGAATTTCGTAATTCACGCCTTTCGAAATTTATTCTGGAGATTAAATTTCAAAGTAATTTTGATTTAAACTTGATATTAAATGAGTCATCGGCAACTGTTTTTCAAGATAGCCATTAATTTCACTAGGATTAGTCGCTATTATATCATATATGTATAATATTAATAGATTTACTAAGTTGCACACTAAATTGTAAACATTTCTGCTTCAAGGGATAACTAAAATCAATTTATTGTAAGTACGACGATCAATAACATTGAAGTACAGTACGATTAGAATTTTGATGATTGATTTACAATTGCCTTAAGTATGTCAGTTTTGCAATTTCGAAAGGTTGCTTGCAATATACCTAAGTGATATATTGAATCTCTTTGTTAAATGATTATTTGAAAAAGTATACGTTACAACAATAGGTAACATGTATAGGTTATTCCTAAACAACTTAATTCGTCATTTGATCAAATTAAATTTAGTAGATATAAGTAAGTTATACTGAATATTTCTTACGTATAAAGAGCCAAAATTTGTGTTTGGAATCTTAAATGTTCAAGCTCCTCTCTCTACCTAACCAAATTTGAAAATAACCTACTAGGCCTGTCTTCGAAGTACGTTCCAAGAATGAATTAATATGAGTTCCTGACAGGTCCAAGTCTTTTAGTAGGTTGTAGAAAGATTTAGCTGTATTACGTCTCACTCCCACTTTTACCGCGTACAAATAGACGACGAACCTATTTCGAGTGAGTTCGTTTGTAAGCTCGTAATATTTATCGACCTTGATGGCATACCATCAAGGTCGATAAATATTATTGAGACCAAAACCCCCAAACACCATAGTGTTTGGGGGTTTTGGTCTCAATAAGAATCATTCAACGGACAAACGCGAAATATTAACGAACTGGAAACACAATATTTTAAAAGTATTTATATATTAATAATTTTAAATGTTTATCAAAAACAAAAATAAGAAAGTCGTTCATTCGTTTTCGACGATTAGATCTGCTATAAGTTTGTTGAAATATTTCTTCAATACAGTATTTATAGCTTTAACAAATCGCGATTTATTACTTATTGCGAAAGGATCTGAGCTCTAATCGGTTGATATGAAGCTAAGTGTTTACTAAACATATCTTGTAGATAGATTGTAATAAATTGTTTATATATTAATATATGTGTATAAAAACGAAAGATATATTATTAACTTACACAAAGGATTTTTAACTATTCCCCGTGTATTGTAAATAGTATACTTATAGTTTGACGTTTTACTTTGCAATATCCTGTAAATCCATAATTTTACATTATATATTCATAATACCTAATTATATTACTTCAAACTTCAAAGACGTGTTTTTCAATATACATAACACTTGTGGAGTCGGCGGGGATTGTGGATTTTTTATTATTCGTCTCCTCATAAGTTTTAATGTCACGGAATTGTTTTGGAAATTTTTAATCATTTTTAAATAATTTTATGAAATTAAAAATTAGTTTTAAATTTAAATAGAAAATTATGGAGCGTTAACATTTTTTCATTCATAAATCTTCCCCTATTTCAGTATTAATAATGTGGGTTATTGAAAGAAAAACTGGAAATGTTTCGTATGTAGTGTGACGACGATAACTTGTGCTGAACACAATGAATAAAAAAAGGAAAGCGATAATATACGAAAGAAGCCGAGATTAACAAGTAAAATCTGTTATTACTTGGAGATTAATAAAATGTTTTATTACACAAAAGAAAGAAAATGTCAACAACTACTTAGGTAGTATGTTTTCGTATGAAATGTGAACAAGAGAATGTACTTATGTAGTTACCTATACATTATACAAGTACATAAATGACAAATTATGTCAGATGACTTTCAGTTTCAAATATAAATAAGATGAGATATACAGGGTGACTGGTGAATTACTATCAATATTTAAGGAGCATACTCAGTACATGATTCTCATTTGAATTATGTAAAAAAAATAGGTACTTAATTTTTGACCAAATTTCCGTATAAATAAATAAAGTGTGTACACGTTCCAAGTGTTCCAAGTGTGGACGCGTGCGGCCGCGTGCTGATACAACAACACGCCGCCGCGCGCGAGTGTGTGTGTGTGTGTGTATACCTAATCTGTAGGGTGTTCATACGATGCGTAATTAATTACATAACTTTTGGTTAACTTTACTTAGAAGTTTATTAATATTTATGTTATATTAATTTTTATTTTGTCATATATGATCGTCAAATATCACGTCCTCAAGTATCGATAGTAATTCACAAGTCACCCTGTATAGTTTCTTTAAAGTTTTTAGGATTTGTGCATCAAGTTTCAAGGAAATTGAAGTCAATCAATCAATTCATTAATCAAAATATAAGTCATATTTTTATTTAAATACACTTTTAAACCGTTAAATAATAAAAGTCATTAAATACTTTTTGAGTCTGTATATCTGCTATAATGATAAAATGTTTATTGTCTTTATAGAATTCACCAATAAACTTTAAAGTTT